CCAGTTTAAGATGCAAATGTTGGGATTTGTATTTAATCAGGTATTAGACAAGCTTTCCGGAACAGACCTGCTGCAGTGGTGCAGTGGTGCACTTGAAATAACTTGCAAGGTGGGCGTAGTAGGCAGTTGCGCCAGGGTTCCAGCGTTGGCCTTGACCAAAGTAATGTGTGGGAAGATTAAATCCTCAAAAGAACGTAAACAATGGGGCATCTTAAAGTAATCCTTTAACAAAGCCCCCTGCTTATGGCAACTCAAGAGCAGCAAGAACAGCAGCAGCAGCAGCAACAGCAGCAGCAACAGCAGCAACAGCAACAGCAGCAGCAACAGCCAGCTGTAATCGCATCAACTGCGCTGTGCGACTTTCACTGCACCGCTCGGGATGGTAATCAATATCAATGCAAAAGATAATCTCCAACCACTGCGAACCATGGCCGTAGGCATCTTCACAATTCAGTGTTTAGTATTTTAAGCTTCACTGCTTAATCCGACTAAATATGCGTCTTCAAACTTGATTTGCATCGCATGGCTGTGTGTGCCAGGTTTAAAAAAAAAAGTGAGTGCCCCAAGCCTTTTGCCAAGTTGGCTAAGACATATGCACATACTTGGGAATGTAATAAATATAGGAATTTGGGGTCGCAGATAAGATCAGCCTACTTGGGCGGCTAGTTACAAAACTAGTTTTTTTTGGCAGCATATGTCATTATCAAATTGGTAGTTAGTTTCAACTTACAGCTGCCTGTTCTTATGGTTGCCGCTGTACTTATGTATAATATTTTCCATGCAAAGCTTCCAGCTCATTAAGCCTTTATTTATTTGTTCAATCAGTTATTAAGAGGTCCACAGGTGTATCCAGACAAACGAAACGAATATTTGTTTATTGTTCTTGGCAGTTTTTCATTTGCTGCATAAACTTCAAGTCCAGTTGTCGAATGATATAGAAGGACTTGGAAAATATGACAGCAATATAACATAACATATGTATATTACAGAGCAATACAACATTTCTATTAATCGCTTGCGATTAACAAGGAAAAAACCCCTTGGGAAACAGATTTAAAAAACTTACGTTAGAGTTTTAAAAAATGAATTCATATTTCGTTGAATTCCTAATTCAATTGTTAAAAACTACCATGTCCTGCACATTAAAATTAATTTCGCCCTATTCAACTTAATAACAAACTGCAATAGCAACAAGTATTTAGCTAAAGATGATGACTTTAAACAACAATTATAATATTAAATAATATCAGGACCATGGCCAACGTGCAGCAAATGCATTAACTTTTACTCATTATTTATGAGAATTTCTCATTGGTTGCAAAAACTTCACCCAAAGTCGAAATGATAGTTAAAGGTCAAATTAAATTACGCCAGTTGGAAGTTGAGAATTTTGTCAAAAAACTAACAAATATTTGGGGTGCACATGCATATTTGATAAAAGTGGATAAGAGCGAAATGCAGCTAATTAATCAACTTTTCTGTGCAACAAGCAACGCAGAAATAACAAAAGGCAAGCGAAGAGCCAGAAACTCCAATTAAAGTCGAAATTGGTGAAAAATAATAAGTTCAAAAGTGAGACCAAGCCACATGATGTGGTTGTTCAAAAACTATATCAAAAATTATAAAATAATTGGCTACACATATACGCTTATTTAACAAAAGTGGAAAATACCAATGTGCAGCTAATTAATAAATTTCTGCTGCAATTTTTAATTTGTTGCGAAAACTTTTCTTCACAGTTAATTAAGTTGTCAAAAACAAGACATAATTAAAAAATATTTGGAACTCATGCATATTTAATAAAAAGTTTACAAACCCAGTGTGCAGGACATTTATGTATAAACTTATGCTACCTTGTTGTTCAACTTTTTTCTTCTTCTGTATGAACTTTAATTAAACCGAAATTTGTGGAATGATAAAGTTGGATACACAAGTGTATTTAATAAAAAATTCAATTCCAGCAAATGAACTATGTAACAAGCAACACAAAATTTCAGAAAGGCAGAAAAATGGTAAATAAAGTCAAAAAGGGTCAGCTAAAACTAAATAAAGTTAAAAACTTAAATTAAAGTCTAATTAAATGGTTAAATATGAAACGGTCAAAAACGAGTCAAAGCCACATGAAGTATAAGTTTAAAACTATAACAAAAATTAAAAAATAGTTGGTTGCACTTGAATATTTAATAAATTTTGGACAAAGCAAAGCAAGTTAATAGTTTTATTCTGTAATTTGCCAATTATAATTTGTTCCAAAAACATCAATTTTGTACAATTTGGCGAGTTAAACAAACAATTCGAAAATTCGATAAAGTGACAAAGTTTTCAAAAATTAACAAGTATTGGGTTACACATGGATATTTCGTAAAAGTTTAGAAACGCAGGACATTGACAAACTTCTGCTATATAGTTTAAAAGCTGCATTTAGAATTTAAATGGCAAAATACTAGGTAGATAGATATAAAATCCTGTCGCAGAAAATAAATGAACATTAGCTGAGTAACAAGCTTTTAGAAAAGGCAGCTAAATGGTCAACAAAAATAAACCGAACTCAAGTATCAATTGGCGAATGTTGAGGAAAGTCAAAGCTGAGGCAATGCAATGCCACTTGATGAAAATTTGATCGAAATATAGTTTGGTACTCATACGTACTTAATAAAAAAGATACGAAATCAATGTGCAGGACATTTATTTACTGTAAAGCTTTTAATAATTTTTATTTTCGCTGTAAAAACGCCAATCAGGGAAAAATTTATTGAATGATAAAGACAGTTGAATGCACATGTGCACTTTCAATATAAAATTCAATTGCAGTTAGAGTCAATAACAACCTGAACTCGAGTGTCATTTGCCGAATGATGATGGGGAAAGTCAAAAATGGGGCAGAGCAATATGGAGAGCCACTAGATGAAAACTTTATCGAAAAATAGTTGGATACACATGCGTATTTAATAAAAAGTGGACAAAACCGATGCGATGTGCAGCAAATTAATAAACTTCTGCTATGGAACACAAGCGATGAACAAAAAACAAAAAAAATAAGAAAAAAAAAACCAAAAGGCAGCCAAAGAGTCAACAACAAGAACAAGAAGAAGAAGAACAACAACAACAATAACGAAGGCAGGAAACCTCCCTCGCAAACGGAAACTCATTTGCCAACAGTTTGAAACCAACTTCCGGCCCAGTAACGACGACAACGACAAGGGCAGCCGCCTGCGACAAATGCATGACAAAAGTCACATTTAAAGAGAGAGTAAAAAGCGTGGGAGCGGGTAGCGGGGTGCGGGGGAGAGGCGCCGCCAAAGGTCGTTCGTTGAGTGGAGAGGAGAGTGGGAGAGGGAGAGGCAGAGGCATTGGGAGAGGGGTTCCGTAAAGAGAAGAGAGGTGAGGTTGTTGGTGGGTCGAATGTATCAACAGCAGGAACAAAAGCCCAACAAAATCAGCGCTACTTATCAAAATTAGAACAGCAAATCTCGCCAAACAAATTAAATATAGTAAAGCAAACTTTCTACGTAATGCGTTGTTTCACCCCACGCAGTGTTCCTATATATTCTGTATACTGGAAACTGGACAGGAAACACGTAAACCCCATTATAACACCATAATTCTGGTGAGATATGGCTTGCAATGCGATTCGCGGAGGTATTGCAATATCTAGTGTGTTACCTCTTAAAACAAGTTATAGATATTAAAGTAAAGAACCCCCTTAAGTTTTTACTTTAATTTATTTTAGCCTGCAAATTAAACTATTTCCCCGGAACAATGGGATAAGATAATCAATTTTATAGCTGCGGCGTTTTCCGGAACGTCTCCGGTTAGCGGGCAAATCGCTGTGCGAGTATGTACCCCCAAGTCCAGGCTGTCCTTTTAGCTGTTAGCTGTTGGCTGTTTGCCGGTGAAAGCCTTTCGCTAAGTACGCACAGCACAGCACAGCACAGAACAGCACAGGGTACATCTTACATAATTTAATTAAATCCTTTTTAATTTGCTGGAGGCAGGGACCCCCCCTCTTTGCCTTGCCTCGCTTTGCTTTGCGTACGAACGGCGCCTTCTGTAGTAAAGCTTTGCATGAGCTCGGCTTGATTGACAAATGAATGAATCGATGCGGAAAACCAGCGGGGAGAGAGTGCATTATTGATTGGATTGCCCTGCGGATGTTCAAATTGACTTTAAAGTGCCCCACTCAGCAGGAATCCATTCGCTCGTGAAAGTGCCTTTAAAATGCTTAAAGCCATCTCCCAAACTGACTATTCAATATCTTAGCTTTATTTGGTTGCAACTCCGGTGTAAACCATATTTTGGTGTCGTTGTTAGTCCAACACTTGGTAGGCAGGCGGTCTTTGTTATATTTTTAAATGCTATCATTAAAGGACGCCCAGTAGAGCTGGCACATTCGAGTCGCACGCAAGCGGTTCTACTTCTACTTCTAGTTCTACCACTGCCTTTACTATACTTGGCTAAAACGGAAAGAGGTCGATAGGGCAAAGTGCGTGTGTTAATGACAAAATGGTTACACAAGTTCGCGGCGGGCACGCACAAACAAATAACGAAAAAAATAAAGATAGCTTTGCCAAACAGAAATGCAGATACCCTTGAAGATATAGTATTCGGTATAAGAGAATTTCCAAACTATCCCAGAAATCTGTCTCATTATTTTTAAAGCAATGAAACCTTAAGCAGATTCAATTTTAAATTGAAATTATGTAAAATTTAAAAATCGTATTCAATGGATTTTTATGTTTCATTTACTATAGATTTATACATATGATGGATTACATATTTTCCATCAAATTATAGGACCTTCCACTTGGATATAAAAAGAGTATAAATGCAAACAAACTACTTTACCTATTTTGTTTATATTTTGATTTATATGGGAAGTGTTGTCATTTAAAACAAATAGTCCTACTGCTTAAAAGAAAAACTGCCTTAAACCGAATAATGTACACACAGAAATGCATTGAAGAACTGACTGAAACTCAAGTTGAAATGGTCTCTTGTAGGTTTTCACCTGCACGCTCCGCGCTTAAGGAGCTGCGAAGGGAAGGCCAGCCCCTAACTGGGTGGCGGCCATGAAAGCGTGCTATATATGGATGGAAGAAGTAAAAGGAGCCCCAATCAATTTGAGCATCCATTCAGCGTCTTGCGGTGGCTGCTGAAGGAAGCTGGCCGAGAAAAGGGGCACTCAAGCAGGGCTTCGCCGGCGTTATTGGGGGCGTAACCTTTAACGGAAGGAAACGAGAAGCCAGCCAGCCAGCCAGCAAGCCAGCCAGCCAGCCGACCCGACCGAATCATGAAACATTGTAAGTTCCTTATAATGATGATGATGTGCTAACCGCCTGCTGCACGGCTATTTCCGTGGTAAACAAATTCTGCAGCCTAAGGTTAAGGTCCATCCAAAAGATACTATTTCATTCACTGCAGTTTTTGTGTGCGTTTAATCAGAGCTGCTCTTAATTAATACCCTTGGTATTGCGCAAATTCAATTAAATTCGCAAACATTGAAAAAGGCAGCCCATGATAATTAGGAGAGATTTAATTATGGTTGAAAAAGTGGCTGCCAGTGTAATTGAAAACGAGAAGTAATGTCAATGAAAACAGGCAAATAATTTGCTTAACAATTTCGCACACGACAATTAAATGTAACTTTATTAGCAGCGACTTTTTTAATGCAATCATTTCGCACCTTAAAATAGCATTGAAGGTAATTCGTAATTAAATATGAACTATTTTCAGCAAATATTTCCATACACAAGGACATGATGGAATTCGGATAACTGCAACAAGGAAACGCAACGCAACGCACACAACTTAGAAATAGGACACTTTCACCGAGTACTTCATTTAGTGGCTACAAACAAGAAGCGCGTTCCAGAGACCATGAGGCGAACCGATACTCTCAGCAGTCGAGGAGCGCGTAAATGAAAGCAAACAATCAAAGGCATCAACTTTGATATCGAACCACCCCGAACCGGGACTCTTTTCCCCCCTCCGTTGGACTATCAGAGGTAAGGAGGATCAGGGGAGGAGGGAGGAGGAGGAGCAGCTCCACCAGGACCGGGAAGACCGGCGAGACCGGCGAGGTCCGCTAACGGGACCTTAGAGCGGTCAGGCAAAGCGGTCGGTCATGGAACCACCCGGTGGTCTGCCACCGGACAGGGACAGGCAACTGGTGCTGCGCAATCAGTCGTCGGCCCTTGTGCCCCTCGTGGTTGCCACACCAGCTCACCCATCAGGAGCAGGAGTTCCCCCAACAACAGCAACAACAACAACGGCTAATCCACAACCAAGTGGAACGGCAACGGCAACGCAGCCCAGTAAGCCAACGAGCTTGAGCCTCCAGCCGCATGCCGTTCTGCAGGCGATGCAACAGTTGTCCCCATCGGGGGCGGGCGGGAACAACAATGCCAGCACCGGTGGAGGTGCCACCACGGGTGGTGCAACGAGCAGCAGCAGCGGCAATGCGAACAGCGGCAGCAGTCCCGCCCTGGCCTCCACCGCCACGGCCATTTCGGCCACCACGCAGGCGGCGACCGCCTTCAGTGGCAGCTCGGTGGGTCACCACCACCTGCAGCAGCAGCCGCACCACCACCATCCGTCGTCACATCCCGCCGCCGCCACCGCCGCCGCAACCTCAGTTGCAGTTCCAGTGACCCACCATCAGCATCATGGCTCCATATCCATGGCCGCGGGATCAGGGGGACTCATCGGTTCTGGCAGTGGCAGCCAGCAGCAGGCCATCGAGAAGCTGTCGCGACCCATGGCCTTCGATAAGGTGCGTTCACTGTACTCCATTCCTAATAATAGAACTATATTGTATATATATTTCCGTACTCCATTAGATGGAAATGCTGGTGCGCGAGATGCAGGATCAGGAACACGGCGTGCCCGTCAGGCAGCAGAAAATGTTCCTCACATCCATACCATATGCGTTTATGGGTAAGTTGGCTGGGGAAGCCCTATTTTCAGTACTCCAAGTATATAAAAAAAAATAGAAGAAAGAAGTGAGTAGCAGAGTAAGATTGCTATAATAATCTTGAATTCAAGTAAAACATTGTTTTTGATATTTTAAATAAAAATATTCACAAACAGATAGTATATAGGCTTATATTCTTATATATTGAAATGCATTCAAGATTCGATATCCTTTACCATCTTGTGCCTTAATTAATAAGAAGAATAGGGATAAAATGAGTTCATATAAAATCTTGTTTTCATTATGTCAAAGTCTTCATAAATCTTGAGGAAAAGGAAATGGTTATTATGATTCTTTCCAATAAATGTTATTCTTATGAGGGTTGCTTTCAAGTGCTGCAAGTAATAAAACTCACAATTGACATTTAAAATTAAAGACTTTCAATATTCCAACTTCCTAAGTCATAGAATCTTGTATGTAGGGGAATGTTGTCAGGGTTGGACCATTTTCAGCGTTGGGTCATCTCAATATTTCGAATATTCGTTCTAGTACCTTCTGTTTGTGGGTCTTTAGAAACTTCTATCGGTCACTCGAAACTTTCCACGTGACTACTTATTTCGGGATTTCATTTTTCTACGTGTCGTTGTCCTGTGAAAAATAAGTGCTCGAAAAAGTTTTTTTAATCTGTCCGAAAAGGTGGAATAACACAAGATTACAACATGTCATCCGCAAAGTGAGCATAAAAATACGTTATATAGGTGTTATATTACAAAATACTAAGATATAGTTTCATTGATAGATATAGTTTGGCTATATCATACCATAATAGATTAATACCGCATGTGGTCAGGGTTGGGCCACTTTTGTAGTCAGGCATGGGCCATCAAAATTTGTTTTTTCGTGTATTTTCGATTTTTGTTGTAATATTTAAGTTTTTTGTAGCAAAAATATGCAAAATAAATTAAATAGATTTCCTTAAAAATATATTTCGATGGATTGAAAGAAGATGAATCATTTTTATCTATTTCTTTAGTGTTTCTCGCTACAAAGGAAAAAACAACTCTGAATAATTTGATATTGACTGTAATCCCAAATAATTAAATAAATGAACAAAATTATGTCAGATTTACCTGAATTAAATTTTATTCCACCACGTTACGATATTGTCAACGATTTTCTGAAGGTGGCCCAACCCTGACTACATGGCCCAACGCTGACTACATTTTTTTTTTCAAACGCCTATAACTTTTTTTGTTTTTGTTTTTTTATTCTCTATTTTTGGTGAACCTCTTGCTTGTACCTTTCCAAAAATGTATAAACTTATTCTGAATTGTCATTCGTTCAGAACTTATGGACATAGGTCAAAAAATGGCCCAACCCTGACAACATTCCCCTACTTATTCAAACCTTTTGCCAATGGAATAAACTTGCATGAAACTTCTACGAATGAAGAACCCTAACGAAATCATATAAGTCAGCAACGAATTGCAACGAAATATACTTTTAAAAAACCATTTTAAAGCTGATTCAAGCACACTTCCGCTATCTTTCAGGATACGATTTGATTGAGTGGCTGATGGACCGCCTGCAAATCGAGGAGTCGGAGGCCCTGAACATTGCCAACCAGCTGTGTCTGCACGGCTACTTCTTCCCGGTGAACGACTCGAAGACGCTGACCGTGAAGGACGACTCGTCGCTGTACCGCTTCCAGACGCCCTACTACTGGCCGTGGCAGCACAAGGCGCCGGACAACGTCGAGTACGCCATCTACCTGGCCAAGAGATCGCTGCGGAACAAGCAGCGGCACGCCCTCGAGGACTACGAGGCCGAGGCGCTGGCATCGCTGCACAAGAACCTGAAGGGCAAGTGGGACTTCATCTCGATGCAGGCGGAGGAGCAGGTGCGCCTGGCCAAGGAGCGCAAGAAGGGCGACAAGATCGTGGGCGATTCGCAGGAGCGGGCCTACTGGCGGGTCCACCGTCCACCCCCTGGCCAGTTCACGCCGCTGGAGCCCTGTCCAGTGCCGTCGCGGGATCGCCAGGGCCTCAAGCCGAACAAAAAAAAGACTGTCGATGACATGCAGCGCGACGTTGACTACTTGGCCAAGTCGCTGAATCGCACCAGGATGAAGATGTCGCAGGCCTGCGAGTCGCTGGTCTGCTATTCGGAGACCTTCACCGAATACGATTTCTTTCTGCAGCCGGCACTGCCCTCCAATCCGTGGGTCACCGAGGACATCACCTTCTGGCAGCTGAACAACACCTTTGTCGACATTCCCACGGAGAAGCGGGTCAAGCGCTGGGCCATCTCCATCGAGGAGCTCGTCTCGGATCCCACTGGCCTGCAGGAGTTCACCGGGTTCCTCGAGAAGGAGTACTCGCACGAGAACATCCGCTTCTGGATCGCGGTCAACCGGCTGCGTCGATCTGCCCACTCGCAGGTGGCGCGGAAGGTCAACGAGATCTACGAGTGAGTGTTCCTGTTAAAACCTAGTAATATAATATAATATAATATAATATAATATATATAATATAATATAATATAATATAAAATAATATAATATATATAATATAATATAATATAATATAATATATATAATATAATATATCTTTCAGTTGAGCATAGCCTTAATGCTTATTACCAATCTAAACCATTCCTGATTTCTATCTAGTTTCTATCTTTCGCATACATTATCTTGTTAATCTTTTAATCTCATATCTTTTATCATATATTTTATAGGGAGTTTTTGAAGCCCGGAGCCCCTTGCGAAATCAACATTGATGGCAAGACAATGGAGAGCGTGCTGCGCGGCCTGAAGAACCCATCGCGATTCACCTTCGACTCGGCCTCGGAGCACATATACATGCTGCTGCTGAAGAAGGACTGCTATCCGCGCTTCATCCGCTCGGAGCACTACAAGCGCCTCCTGGACACCGGGATCCAGCCGTCGTACAAGAAGCGCTTCTTCAACTTCGGCGGCGTCAGCGGAGCCAAGAAGAAGATGACGGCGGCGCTGAGCAGTCAACCGAACCTGGGGGATGCGGCCAAGGGACCAGGTGGCGGAGGCACCTCCTCCGGCAGCTGTTCGATGATGCAGGCACCGCCGCCCGGGAATTTGGCACGCCGACGTGGCAGTGATCGCAGCCTGACGGGATCCGCTCACGAGCTGGCCGTGATTGGGGTGAACAAGGATGCCGGGTCCAAGGTACCGCACTCTCATTCCCAGAGCAATCTCAGCGAAATTCCCTTCAGGTAAGTAAAGATCTTCGGACGGCAGGAAGAGGTGTGAGTGAGTCAGTTTTCAAATTATATTTTATTTTTATTGAGCGAGCTAATTTTCTAATGATTTTTCGCCACGTTTCATTTGCCTGAACTCGAAATTCGAATGAAAAAAAAAGCGAAAGAGCCAATCTAAATACATCGTCTTTTTATTTGACAAAGCTTTTAGTTTTCAACATTCAACATATATATACTAACTTTTTCACAATGCGCACGAGACCCCAACCAAAAAAAAAAAAGAAAAGAAAAAACGAGAATAAAAACAAACAACCTGATACCCAATTGAACAATCGATACTATAACAATTGATTACTATATATCATATATGTCATACGTCACACACGCACTGCAGTAGCGATTCAATTTATCGAGGCGATATGCCACAGCGCCACATGGCGATCATGGATATTGGGATATATGCGGCCTACGGGAATCGCGAAAGTAGTTTGCAGGCACTTCCGTAAGACATGTTTATTGATTGGTTTTGCGAAACGCTTACCACTTGTACCACACACAATCTTTCCAAACCCAAAACCGTATTGCTAGTTTAATCTCTCCATCTGTTTTTCTCATCGTTCGATCTGTGCCCTAGTCCCAAATACAAAGTAAAACCTCCCAAAACTTCAGTTACTGCCTTCTGTTTCTCTCTCCTTGTCGCCTTTTCTACCCGATTTTGAAGACGATTAACAGGTCTTTGAATTTAATTTGAAAGCCTGGAAAGACTATTGATTCAGTTAAAACTAATGGGTATCTTGTAATAAAGACTCTTGGCATCTATTTCTTAAAAGAAAGTTATTTAAAACGAAAGGATGTCTTACAATTTCTGGGGAACGGGCGACACCAAATTCTTTTGTAAATTGACTTGTTGTGTAACTTTTTTTATAACCGGTACTTCGGTCTTTCGCGGAGAAATAATAGTCCGAATTCTTAACTCTTTTAATGCTGATCTCAGCCCGTCCAAACCGACTAATCAAAGAGAAAACCTTAGTTCTATACGGGAACCTCTAGAGACACTCAATATATAATTCCTAATTAATGTATAGCATACTTTTAGACGCCCTTTAAAGTGGTTTTAAAATCTCGAACTGTTTTGAAAGGTTCCTTTTGAAGTGAAACTTCTTTTTTTACTAGTAGAGTACCGGATATCTAAAAGTCGGATTCCCCGACTTTGGCAAACCCACCTGTTGTTTCCTGTCATCTGTCAAGCGAATTGTTAGTTGCCCTCGGGCTCTATATATCACCACTGACTGTCACTGCTGCGATCCGCCTCTTTTCTTGACTCTAACAACTGTCTCCGAATATAGTTTCAATCGTTCCTATGCTCGAATGTTTGCTGTTGTTCTATTGTGTGTGTTCTCTACTGTTCTGTACTCGAAAAAAAACAATATAAAACAAAACCATGGCCGATTTGACTGTTTGTTTTCGGATGCTTTTCCCCATGCGCCTCTTAAAACCCTTTTCTGTTACCAATTGTACATATTGCATTCGAGTATATGTAAGTCTTAAGTGTTAAACACCAGCATTCCTTTTGAACACCGTCTAAGTGTAAAGACCAGGCTTCCACTGGCAAATGGTTCTAATGCCTTCTTCTTTTATATATATTATATGTGTGCTGACCCGCAGAGAAACGCCAAAGACGAAGTCCACCGCCTTGGAGACCACGGAGTCCACAGCGTCGTCCACAGCCTTGGTTGTGGCAGCGGCGGCCAGCAGTTCCGTTTGCCCGTGGGACGATCCTGCCGAGGAGCCAGCCGCACCGCCGCCTGTGAAGCTATCCGTGTGTCCCTGGGATCTGGATGGTGGTGGTGGTGGTGGTGCTGGTGGCACCACAGAGCCGGCATCGCCGGCGGTTTCCACTCCGGCCATCGGAGCAGGCGGACCAGCGAAGATCTCAGGCACCGCCGGTCAGGCAACACCACTGCGATTGAATAGGTAGGCGCACCACTCACCCACGGACGCTTCGCCAGCGAAGTTTCGGCCAAGCCAGTAACCCAAACCAACCTTTCAATGCGCAGCACTTCCTCGGACAACAGCGACGTGAACGAGCGGATGCAGCGGAACCTGGGCATTCGCCACCAGAACACCGTGGACAGTGGCGAAGCGGGCGTCAAGCGTTTGATTCCCAACTTCCAGGAGCAGCGCCGGGCATCGGTGTCATTTACACCAAGGTAAGCACTGGGTTTTCAATGGAACTCCTCCTTAAGTGCAATCAAAGTTGAAATAATGTAGAAAAGTTTTCAGTAAGCCATGAAAATTGAAATGGATCAACTTGTTGCTTACTCCAAATATAATATTATATATCAAAAACAGAACATTTCAAGCTCTAGTAAATTTATTTCAGTTCTATTGATTTAAATTAGTTAATTTAACCAATTCACAGTCCGTTGGTTGGAAATCAGTTTCAATCACACTCCTTTCTTGTGTAAAAACCTGGCTTAATTGTATCACTTGAATTCAGGAAAATATACCCTTTGCAGTATGCAACAATTTTTGAATGTTTTTAAAATGGTAAACCAAGTCCAAAGCTATACATATATGATTTGTTATAACCTTAAACCTTACTAGTCAATTCTATATTACAAATATATACATAAATATAGGTTAATTTTTATTGGTTAATAATTTGTTGTTACTGTTAAGAACCTTAATTTTTGTAATGATTAGCATAAGCCCCTTAAACAATACTTTTCCGATTTGAAACCAAAGGCACTTTTGTAGGACTCTAGTCTCATTAGGTCCTTAAATTATGAGTGATGTGGTATGTGTTCCATATCTAAAGGGTTTCCCATTTGCTGTTTATTGCCAGCTGTACTCCGGACTTCCAGCTAGGAAGGACGCCGACGACCACCTCCTCACCCACTGTGATCGCCAGCAGGTCGGCACCACTACAAGCGCGCAGTGCCGTTTACGGAAGTGGCTCGGTCATTGCCAAGGATCCGCCATCCGGATCGGATGTGGATGCCGAGCTGGAGGAGGAGCTGAACAAGCTGTCCCTTGGCGAGTCCTCGACCACGGAGCTGCCGCTGCTGGTAGTACCCACCCCCACGCAGACCCCGCCGCCCATAACCAAGATCACACCGCCACCGGGAGAGTCCGAGTCCGATGACCAGGTGGCCACGATCGCCGCGACAGAGCCGCCCGATCCGCTAACTCCGCAGCCGAACGAGATGCAGCAGGCCATTGTGAAGGAGGTCCAGATCGAGCTGATCGAACAGGAATGCAGCAGCATTAGTGGTGGTGTTGGTGGTGGTGTCCACACAGAACCAGGAAGTCCGCCCACCATCAAAGTCCTGGAACTGGAAGTGATTACACCCGGTTCCGCTGAGTTTGCAGCAGTAACAGGAGGAGGAGCAACAATAGCAGGAGGAGCCATCAGTGGAGTGGACCAGGAACAAGTCGATCAATTGGATCTGATGGCCACCACCACCACCGAGGATTCCCTGCTGGCGGACGAAAGAGAGCGGGAGGCCGGCGAAATGGATGCGCCGGTTCTCGACGAACTCTCACCCACCACCGACGAGTACCAGGAGGGATTGCAGTTCGGCAGCGATGCCAAGGATGCGGTCGACGACTTCGACAGCATAGACGTTGGCTACATACCGCCTGCTCCGACTCCTGCCCCCTCGATGGCGCCACTGGCCGAACTGGATGTGGACACGGTGGACGATGAGCCGTGCGAGGTGGCGCCACCTAGCAGGGAATCGACGGCAGCGATGGTGGTGGCGGCGACGTGCTCCTCGGCCACGGCCACGCCCACTTCCAGCAACGAAGAGGCGCGCAAGAGGCGCAAGAAACGGAATGCGGAGGGCAAGAAACTTAGCAGCTCGCAGGATGAAAAGGATAAAGCCGGCGGCAGCAGCAGCATGGATACTGATCACAATGCCGTGTGTCCCTGGGAAGATGAGTTAGTATATAATACAGTAGAATCCCGATAATTCGTACCCCGCTAAATCGAAAATCGCGATTGATAAATCGAATTCCCGTCTAATTCGTAAAAAAAGTGATCCCCTTGCCATTTCGAATTATCGGGACTCGACTGTATTTCATATATATTATACATTTTACATTTTACATTTCCGCTGTAGAAACGTCACCACCAACGACGGCACCTTCGTGAAGACGTACGCCACACTGGGATACTTATGAATAAAGCCAAATCTGTTCAAGACGGTGGTCAACAAGTTGCTGAAACGGAAGCCATACAAGAAGTAGTAGGGCATGGGTAGCTAAGTTTATTATACGGAGTATCTATTATATAATACGTACATGCAACACATATTATGTAAATGTAAGTATTTCAATAATTGAGTGTATATGTAAATGTTAAACGCTTCTCATGTTCTTGAAACCACCAAACCCAACGAGGCGCAGTGGTTTATTGCTGAAAATTTCAATATAAACTAACAGAAAAAAAAAACACAAACGGTCTACGAACGCTATCAAAAATGAATATATATATATATATACATTTCATTTAAATGAGTATATATATATATATACTTTATCTACAGACGTACATACTTATTTACAAAAAGCAAAACAAAAAATAACTAAAAAACAAACGAAGTGGCTATGGCTAACTAGAATTACGAACAAGAGAGAATCGTTTAAATGAAATGCACAATAATGCGTTAAAAGTTGAACTAACTCCAGTCGAAGAATGCCGCCTTCTGATCAGTTGTAAAAAACGATAAGTGAAACGGAGCTTAGATTCGGCGACAGATACAACCTACTCTAATGTATACAATGTATATGATCTTTCTGCGCATAAGAAGAACCATTTTCCATAGTTTATTCTCGAAGCTACATATTATATATAGCCCCCCTTTCAACCGTCTCAACCGTCTTAACAAGCCAAGACCGATAATAAATAGCCCCCTGATTGTACAATAAAGTTAGGTCAAACTTGAATTAGCACAAAATGTCTGCGATAGCCACATGACTTCTTAGTTCCCCCAAAACAAAAACAAAAACAAAGAAAAACAAACATAAAAACAAAAAAACCCAAACATAAAATTGTGCAAATTTTACCTATAGGCAGGGATGTTGGTAATGGGCAAATTATTATTTAGAATACCCAAATTGTTTTAAAGGTGCCTTGAGCTAAACAAAAAACAAAAAAAAAAAAAAAACAAGAAAGAAACCTGCGATTGGCGGTCAATAATGGGGACAATACCAACCTATGCTATTTAAAATTGTGATGAAGATCTGTTTGCGCACTAAACGCCCTTTGCCAACTCAAAAGCCCCTGATTTATTCAACTAGAAGTACAAAGTCTTAATGCGGATGTGACATGGCCTATAAACTAATACTTATTTCTCTTTTTTCGATTCAGCCGCAGCCAGTCGTCACTCACAAAAACATTTTACCAAAATGTCCCTTGGATAATTAAATGCACAAGTTAAAGCGCAAGTAGTTTCCATTTGATAGCCTTTATTTTTTGCTTTGTTTATTTCTCGCTTTAATAGTTAATATTCGTTTCATTTCACGTGGACATGCCAAAACTCACGAGCCCCTAATAAATGTGCAGTGAAAATGAAACACAAGCTAAAAAATTAATAACTAAATAAACCGATTTTTAAAATTCTGTGCCACCAAAGTTTAGATTTCTCCTGGAATAGATTAACCCAGAAAGTCTTAAGTTTGTTTTTAAAAGAAACTAACTTGCGCCAATAACTTGTGCGTTTTAGATTATAAACTACGTCCTATGACTACTTAGTAATTTTCTCTATTTGACTAGAAAAATGTATTGAGCTGCCCGCCCAAACAATCGCAGAAATCGAGCTATGCTGTATAACACTAACAACTAAAAACAAACAAGCAAAAAAAAATAAAAAAAAACCAAAAAAAGAAAAAGAAAAACCAACATCGATGGAAGTGAACCGTGATGGCCCGCATCTTTAAGATCAAATTACTGTTCCATTCGAACGTGTTAACCTTAACAAAAACCAAAATGATTAGAAAATCAAATTAAGATGAAATCCTGGTTGTTCGCGACTAATACCTTTATATGAATCGAAAGAAGATTAACTTATCGAAGAACTATTACAATCTAAGTATATTTCTATTTTCATTGTGCATATGAATTAGCTACTTACTGTCGATGCCCGTTTTGCTGGTAAACAATCTTTATATGGGATGTCTCTGAATTCTCTTTGTGCTTTCTATGCTAAAAAAAAACAAATACATTTTTCAACTACTTCAATTAACAAAAGCAAAAGCAAAACCAAAAATAAAACCAAAACCAAAAAACTGTATAACGATATGTACCAAAATGTACCAAGAAGCGAGTTAAATGCCGAAAACCTAAGCAAATCAAAGCAAAATGTTGCATAGATATTACGAATCCGAGGGGTACATACCGAGTATATAGAGATATAGGGACGATTTGCCGAGTGTAGGGCGTGCGTACAAAATATGTACATGAAACCACCGTTAACTTTGCTTAATGCGAGCCGAGCAATTAAAGAGTTAAAAAATAAATAAATAAATAAAGAAATAAATAAATAAATAAGATCAGCAGCAGCAATAGTTTCAAATTGTTGTCAAAATATAATAGCAGCTTTTAGAACAACACCAAAGAAGTTGTAGTAAATGCGGAGGAAAATTGTATTGTTGTTGTTTTTTATGTACATTTACTTTTTTGTATTACCGTTGTTGTAAGTCAAATATGCCAAAAAAAAATAGTTTATTAAGAGTTTACAACAAAATTTAAACGCAGGCAAGATATGAATTACTTTATCGCAAATCGCAAGAAAAAGTTCCGAATGTTTTGAGTAGTCAATGGTGAATATCTTTTAATTGCTTATACTACGTGTTCCCATACATATTTATGGGATCCTTGCCGAAACAGAAATCTTTACTAAATATTAAACAAGAGCGGCTGTCGACTTTACTTTTCCCGGTACTCAAAAAACCTGCATCCCATTTATTTACTGATTCAATAAAATGACAAAACACTAAGCCAATTAAATAAACTGTTATTATATAATAATTAATAAGGTAACAAATGAATACGATATGTTACCGTTTATTTAATCTGTTGGCTCTTAGACATTAAAAAAAAAACCAAGTTAATTTATGGCTTACAATTTAATTGCAAAATATTACATATATCCTCTCCTTTTTTTAAATCCATCATGCATATGAAGATGTTCATTGCTTGAATAGAAATATTCATTTCAAAAATTTTGTTTTACCAATCAGTACAGTATTTATGATTTTTGGAGCGATTTAGTTTTAATAATGAATGTTTAAATTCTAACCAAACTTATACTTTAAAAGCAAAAATGTTTATTTAACTGTATTATATATGATTTTTTGAGTGCCGGGTAAATATAGAACTAAAATACCATAAAGGGTCCGATGAAGAGATTAAGCCGCCACAGCGCCATTTTGATAATAAACAAAACAGAATTCGATAACTAATGTATGTATGTTTAATAAATTACATAAGTACGTACTACTTCACGCGACAGGTGGGTAGCATTGCCCTACAAATATTTACTTTAATTTCTGGATAATTAGTGCTCATATCACTGATTAGAGAACAGGAATGCGCAAAACAATATGCTTAATACATAAGATTCCAGAGCTTTTAGTAACGCCATGTAAATTCTGGGTCATGAATACAGTTGTGAAGAGTGTAACCGAGGCGTTTGTTATTATGTATTCAAGTCATTTACTATAAGTGTATACAGCTTATACTATTATAAAAGTGTTAAAAACATGAATTATTTTGAGAAAAACAAAAACACAAAAAAGAATATACAACAAAAATGTTAGTCGGTAAAAAAAAAATCAAATGTAAAACAATTTAATGTAGACTGTACTAAAGAATTCAAGGAAAATTGAATATCAACACTCCATCACGCAAATAACTAAAAGGAAATTCGCAAATTGAATAGAAGTTGATGGGAAAATTATTTGCACAGTGCAGAAAAACGTGTTATAAAATTATTATACTATACAAAAATATATATTATTGAATTATGCTGATGAAATTAAAACCATAAAAGTATGTAAAAAAAATTCAAATACAAAATGATTTAAATGAAGTACAATAAATATTCAAGTGACGAAAATGTAAGCGTTGTTTTAATAACATTCAATAACCCAAATGGATTGGAAATCTTCTTTTCAGAACGAGAACCAGACTTCGAAAAGGTATACCTGTTTTATTTCTTTGTATTTTAAAAATCGAAAAATTTGCTTCAACCTTTTAAATATTATTTGTTTTAAGGTTTATAAACCTTATAGTTTTGGAACAATTTTTAATTTGCAAAAATAGATATTGTTATCAAAACATAGTGCGTGGCGAGAAATATGTTAGGAATTAAAATTAGGAATATATATTTTTTTACATTACAATTATTACATTTAAAACAAAAACAAAAACTTGCATCATTATGAGTTTACAAATTATTTTGGAAAGAATCGAATAAAATTTTAATTTGTTTTGTAGAAGCAACAAAATAAAGTTAAGGAATCAGTTAAACTGTCCGTTTAAGTCGGAATAATTTTATTTTAACAAGTGAAGTAAAAATTTTTTAATTATAGCAGTTAACTTTCAGTCATTGATCCGTCCCGATCCGTTATTGTTTAAATATTTTAGCGCTTGAGGTACGGCCACACTGTGTAACATTTAAGCGCCATAATAGTGGTCAATCGATATCACTTTTAATGTTATCGATAAGCAGCAAGTGGTTTTGTTTTGATGAAGTAGATTTAAATTTATAAATTTATCCCGATCCATGGAACCAGTGGCCATCCGGCCAAAGCCGCCGGGAGCTGGAAATCGTGAAGTCCACCGGCGGGTAATAAAGAAACCGGGAAAGAAGCGGATTTACCACTGCGGCGTCTGTTTGACGGAATTCTCGCGACATTTGGCCACCAAAAAACATGAGGCGCAGTGTGCGGCCAAATTGAGGCGTCTTTTCGTCTGCCGCCACTGCCTGACGCTCTACGGCGAGGAGTCCCGGCTGGAGCGTCACCGGAAGCGGAAGCACGCCGACGGACAGTTCCTGTGCCTGCAGTGCGGCAAGCGGTACGCATCCGCTACCTTTCTGTATCGCCATGTAGTCAGCTGGCACGGCGAGCAGTCCCTCTTCTACTGCGCCATGTGTGCCAACAACTGCAACGATGCCAAGTCCTTCAGTGGGATGCGGGCGCTGCAGGAACACGCCGAGGAGGTGCACCACCTCCGCTCTCTGGAGTCCACGGCCAGCGAGACAGGTGGGCCCAGTCAAATTCTTTCTTGGATAGCTGTTATATCAGTATAATCGGCGTTCCAATTGGCCAGCCACACCAGTTTACTTAAATTCGCATCTGGAATAATGTAATTCAATCTTTGTAGGCAGTCTTATCGACGAAACCGAAGACCTGGAGATGCTGGAGGAGAACATCGAGGACATCCTGCCCAGCGTTGACTGGGACGATGATCTCACCTTCGGCTGGCCCATGGACCTGGATAAAGAGTCGTGCATGGTGGACGCCAAACCGAGCGTTTTTGTTTGTCCTTTCTGCGCCAACGGGTTCTCGGGCAGTCTGGCTTTGGTCAGGCATTTGGAGCAGGTCCACGAGCGGAATCCCTTGGACTGCTGCTACTGTGGAAAGAGTCATGGCAACCGGGAAGCCCTGCGATCTCATCTTAAACGTGTCCACGTTCTAGTGCGTGCTCATGTGTGCACTGTTTGCCAGGCGGACTTCGCCACCGCAGATCACCTGAAGAAGCACATGAATGGTCGGCATGCGGACCACAAACCGTATGTGTGTCCCACCTGCGGCAAGAGCTTCGCCCAGCGGTGCCATCTCACTCAGCACTTGGCCACTGATCGCGGACACGGACAGGGAAAGTACGTGTGTCAGCTCTGTTTATGGCCCTTTTTTCGAGCCATCGACCTCGAGCGCCATGTCAACGAGAAGCATCCGTAGGAGAATAGAAACGCCAGTCCTTTGTAAGGACTTTTAAGGTATCTTCGATTCTATGACTGCCTCTCACCTAAGATTAATATTAATATAATAATATTAGCACAATTTAATTTATTAAACATATTGGATTTATGTCTTCTAAGTCTACAATATTTTCGTTCGATGCGCCAAATTACTATTACTATTACTTTTCACTGCAACATAAATTTTTTATATTATCATCAGACCGAATTAGTTTTTATTAAAACATATATCTTTTTTTAATACCTTAAACTGACTCTAACTAATACCAAGATCAATCAAAAAAAAAAAAAAATAGCTCTTACAATTTAGGTGATGTAAAGGTGCTATATTAAATTATCATGGTTTTTGTTGCTATGTTAATGATACTTGCCATTAATATAAAAGCAAACGTACTAATTAAGTGCTCTTAAAATAAAACAAATAATTGAAATGGATTTACTACCGAAATCAAATGAATCTCTTGAAAAGTTAATAGGTTTTCCAACTTATCTACAACACTTTTATAATAAAAGGGCTTAAGTTTTCAGTTAAGATTAGTAAGGCGCCAAACGGATATTTCTATGTTAAAGTCTATATGCTCCTCAACATATTGAAGTGCTTTAGGATATATCCCAACGTATATTTTTATCCTCTTACGTCTTAATGGGTATCAGCATTAGCAAGTAGATCTATTCCGCCTGTGCAAGAGTTTATAAAATTAAGTCGGGGTGTTGTGGGCTAACAGTGGATCGCGAGCAGCTGCTGTAAGCTATTGGCTGTCAGCTGATTGGGGCTTACAGCAGCCGCAGATCGGGAGAGCGCTGAGCGGCTCGGAGAGAGCGAAAGAGCGCAGCGTTACGGCCGAGCGTTACAGCTGTTGTGATAACTTGGCCCATACCGACGACACGACAGTTTTGAACGGAACTTGCTGGTGCTTGGATCGCAGTTCAGCCGATCTCCGCGAAGTTAACACCAACTCTCGATCGTCGCGCTCAAATATCTGTCTCAAAATACAAAACATTATCTGTGCGTTATTTTTTTTTTTTCTTGTTTTTCACGTTGCATTTTAACCCGATTTGTGCTGGTGATCCCAAATATATATCCATATACAATTTTGTTAAGTGATTTCTCGATTTTCGAGCAGTGTTTGCATAGAGTAAGTTTATTCTCTTTAACTTAAGCGCGTGCAATCGTAACAATTTAGTAGCAAAAACAAATGAGACAGCGACCCTCAGGTTCGGATAACATTTAAACTAAAACAGCTTTTTGTTATTGTTTATATGTTTTTCCACTTTTGCCCCATTGAAGCCGGGCCTCAAAAAAGCTCTTTATAGCAAATAGCCTTTTGTTATTTTTTTCAAACAGCTTTCGACCGAAACCAGAACAGAGTTTTATCATTAACTAATGCAAAAGCAAATCAAAAAGTACAATTGCAATTAACGTTTGTTTTTTTTCGACGTGAATGTTGTGTTATTCCGATAGTACTGTGGAAAACCCCCCGTGAAAATTGTTGCGCTTGAGTTCCCCCTGCGTTAAAAATAATTTATAAACCGGGCTTTAATCGTTATTCAAATCAAACTACGTCAAATCGCGTGCGATTTCAGGATCACTGAATCACTTTCGTATTAGGCCATTAAAGCAGCTGAATTTTATTTGAATTGATATCTTTTCTGCCCTTAAGCACAATATATCAACTTGGCAATAATGTTTAACAATATATTGACTTGTCAATGCGTTATAAAGCACACGTTTTCAAAACGTATATACAAATATAAAAAGAAAAAAAGTATTAAAAACATTAAACACTAATTAAAATACACATTTAAGTTCTGTGCTTCTTCAATAAGACTTACTTTAAAAAGGCACATCTAATACAATATTGTATTTTTATATAAACCATTGTATATTGATTTGCAAAACAAACACGTACACCGTCAGGAAATTGCAGTGGACATTGGTTTTTATATAAATTGAACGTGTTTAATTTAAAATATACCCTAAATATATAATTAAAAGTAAACGAGGCTTAAAATTTAAAGCGGTTTGATGGTTTTTGACTAGGTTTATGTAGATCAAAAGGAGAGAAATTTGTGATAAGTAGTATTTTTTGAAATATATACTTATTTCTTGTGTACTTAGTTCTCAAGAGATTTGTTGTTCGGTTTGAATTTTAATTTTCTTAAAAAACCTTTAATGCAGATCTATGGTATATATGTTCTACTACTTAAAGTTGAAATTGGTTAATCTTTAACTCGCCTTCCAGACGTCTCTCTTAACCCGATCCCTTTGGGGGGCCTCAAATCCATAATTTATCTTGTAGAACATATTGCCCTCCTGTCGTCCCAACTTTTGCTGTTGTTTGTTGTGATGCTCCCCATCAACTGTATTCCATGGGTGCTGTGGAGTTATTATCATGTCTACATATATTGTAATTGATTTGCCTGAGCGAATAGCCAGACGAGGAGACAAGCTCTGGGCCTCTTCCCTGATCTGCCACGCCCCCCCGTCACCGCTGCCGCCCCTCGTCGCAGGCTTATCATTAGCGCTTGGTTATTCCTTTTGTTTTGGAATTCTTCTCGCGGGGAGCAATTGCCTCTTCAGGGCACTCCCTTCGCGTAATTGAGGACCGCCCAAGTGGGGATCCCAATCCCGAGATGATTCCTTTCGATTTCTCGCCTTTTCCCCCTTGATATTATCATATGAATCTTTTATCTTATTCGATATCGTTGTGTGACGCACCTAAAAACAATGTCTCGAAACTGGGCAAATAAGAGTCGCTGACACCTGCACGAGCTAAATTAAGATCGTTTAGGCCATATCTATCGACTATTTGATACCTAATCGGAGTTGTATTAAACTAAAGTTTAAATGCTTATACTGAAAAAATTTGATTACAGTTAGTGTTTGCTATTCTAGTGGTTTAATATATCTACTGTATATTTAATGGAGTATTTAAGAGTGGTTAAAATACTTTGTATACCATGACTACCAATGTTCCTTAACCTTTTTTTACATAGATGCATTCAAAACTAAAAAAAAAATTTGTTAGCTATTTAGTCATTGATTTATTTTGAAATAAGTCAACCCTCCCTTTGTAATTGGAATAAGTGCTGGGTATTAAAAACAATCCGTAAACGCAGTTGCAAAAGCCAGTTGCTTTCGCAATAAGTATTCGCATTCATATTTATAATTTTAAAACGTGCTTAATTTTGTAATCTGTACGCAGTCGGTGTCTCGCTCCTTCCTTCCCCACCCCCTGTTGCTGTCTCGCTCTATCGATCTGTAATATCTGGGCTGACGAAATGCTTCAGTAGCAACAATAGCTGATAACACTTGGCTAGACGTGCAATGTTAACCGTTAAAGCGGGTTAAAGAGACCTTCATTGTGACAGGTTATGCAATCGTTGGCTTAACACAAGGACCATTCATCGATCTCAGGATCGTACCGATTATAGTTTTACTTATTAAAAATAAACTCATAAATAAAACTCCGAAATTCGAAAACTATATTACCAAATTTAAATAAATACCTTTTTGAGTAGTTTACTATTTTTATGTTGTTAAATTTGTTTTAAATTTATTTAACTGCCAAAGAGATCTCTCTTTAAGTTCAATAATTCATTCAAAATTCTCCCGGTATTTGCTGAACCCGCTGTTAAGTTAACCGTAGATTTTTAACATTCAAGTTTGTGCAGCAGCCCGCCCCAAAAAAACACAGAAAACACGAGAACAACAAAAACAACAACAGGGGGGGGCAAAGGAATGTCAAGATGAATCACACAGGTGTGCGTGACACCTGGCAACAGACAGAGAAACACTGCGAGCGCCAAAGAGCGGGAGCCATAATAATAAGAAAAAGAAAAACAATAACAACGGTTGGTCTGTCATATCAATCGGCATTTGCTTAACTGTTAAAAACAGCCAAGAAAAGGGGAAAAAACAGAAAGGAAAACATTGATAGCAAATGTGTCGTGGGTGTGTGTTGATTGCACCCAACAAATAAACGCATACATACATACGTAAACAAATTACACCTAAAACACAAATGCAGAAAAATACACAATTAAAAAATTAAAGAAGCGCACACTCTACTGGTCCCGTTACAAGGCGAGCTTAAAGCTATTTTTAACACCATCCGATCTTCCACTCCATTCCCCATCTTCCCCACCATCCTTCATCTTCCCCACTTTCCGCTATCTCCTTTCCTGTGTTGTTGTTTGCACTACTCTTTTTTCCCTTTACTCGTCTTCGGTAGCCCCTTAAAACACATAAAGAAAAAAGATCATTATTTAAAATGTGTTCTTATTGTATTAAAAAACTTATTCGTAATAAGTATAACTTAGTGGTATTTGTTTTGCTTTTTTTCCAATTATCTGTTACCTACAGAATGCGCATTTATACAAGGTTGCTGCTCACTTTGTTACTGGTTACTGTTTAACTGTTTTTGTTTTTAATCCTCAATTGGTAATCACTGGACTTGCTTGATTATATTCATTTTATTTTAAAAATGGATCATAAGCTGGCTTTTGATGTCAGGTAATATTATTAGATTAGAGTTATGATGTTAAGATTAGGTTTAGTAACCCCAAACAAAATGTTGTTTACCCTTTAAAAAAGGTTACACAGATCAGCAGTTCCAGACCAAACAGTTATGAATGTACATATGTATGTATATACTGTGCATATTACAAATCTGAAAAATGTTTAACCTTCTTCTTCGATATCAGACCAGTCTTTTTATTTTCCATCTTACATTTTCTGCCCCATGGGGAAACCGATTTCTATGTTTACTTCTTCCTTGGCTTCCTCATTTCTTGATTTTTTATTTGCATTTTAATGAATGAATGCAAATGCTGATGTGATTTTACGCTTGCTTATCTTTTTATAATACTTATTTTTTAAGCTGATAAAGCGCCTTGACCAGTCGCAGCTAAAACCATATACATATGTATACATGCATGTATATACATATGTAAGTATGTATATCTGCAACAACAATTACATAGAACCCAGTACTATCACTAAGCGTGCGTTCCGTTATCGACAGCCCAACAACAAGTTGAGCAGCTGAAAGGGAAACGCGAACTGACCTATAATAAGAATTTTCATATTTGACCAGTACGCAAAAAAGAATAAGAACAGGGCAGCGCAAGGGAATGGCGAAAATAAAAGCAATAATAAAATAAATTAAGTTCCACAGCCAAAGTGGAACCTGCACTCGGATAAAAAATGTATCTTGAAGATTTTATACAATTTTATAAAATTGTATAAAATTAGACTGGCTCTTCGAATGTATTTCAATTTCAATTTTGTAACTGCAAATTCTTGAGATTTGGCAAAGATACCGAATCTAATACATACATACATACATATATCCCAATATCAAAGAATTTTGTAGTTAAAAATTTAGATCTTTACAAATGTGTATAGTCTTAAGTTACTTAAAGTTTTACCCAAGTGCACGATCAGTAACTCAAGTTTACTTCGATATTCAGGGAATGTAAAACTCCTTACGCGTTCTGCATACGAAATGCAGTACCAAAGGTTTTCGATGCAGACAGGAAATCGCGTGAAGTTTTGCCCTGAAGACTTCCCACTTGAAACTCCTTGATTGCCGCCGATTATATAAAAATCCTGTCGCCCTTTGCCGGCTCAACGGGCTTTATTGGCCACAAATGTTTCTGATTTATGAGTCAGGGCATGGCCATAATAAAAGAAACGGGCAAACAACCGGCGAACAACGCGGTTCATTCATAGCCAAAAGTGGCAATGCATTGTTTAATACCGTGTAAACATTTCAGATAGTAAAGCATTTTGGTTGGCTGACACAGTTGGTGACACATCTTTCTAGTTTACCCTGCTTATTAGTTTAGTGGATTTATTATAGTTTGTTTTTATATAAAATTCTCATTGAAGTTCATATTTATATTATTAAGAATAATATCCTATAATCTAAGATCTTGACTTTTCTAATAGTTAGTTATGTTGTCGTTCTATGTTCTTTATGAAGTGTCTGTTTCAAAAAACTCTTTTTATATAATGGTCCACAAATCATTACCGCATTACTTAAGTTGCATTGCTGACTTACTTTATAGAGTTCTTCATTACGTTAAATATCTTTATGAGTGAGCACCTAATATATATCTTCATTATAATAAAGATTAATTTTTTAATATCATTTTAAAATATTTATGAGATTTGTAATGAAGCGAAAATGGTGACGAAATGCTTAGGAAATGCTTACAGAACAAGAAATGTTGCACTACTACTGTTCTATAATCATAGCTTTTTATATGTTTATGATTATGATAGGGTCTACTGGCTTTATATAAGGCTGATCGTGAGTAACGTTTGACTTCCTGTCCTTACAACGTTATTGTCAGGCAATTGGCTGGCCGATTGTCTCATTGATATGCCTGACGCACGTTTTTGTACCCTCGAGTGGTGTATGCTTATGATAAGAGTTTTTGTATCAATGTCAAGTTAGCCATAAAGAGGTTTTGCTGCCTCGCTGGTCGACACCGCATTCGTTATTAAACTGACCCCGATTCGAATTGTGAACGTGCCCGCCCACCTACCACCTGCCACCTACCACCTTTGGATACCCACACCTGCCGGCTTTCTCAGGCCCCAAAGAATTGACATTGTAGATCGAGAAGCCAGAACAAGAAAGACAAATTAACCACCGCACAAATATTGTAAGATGACAAGCCCAAGGAAAACAAAACAAATCTCTGACACTGACGTTTTCCCTATTTGCCGTGTAAATCATGTCGTAAATCTTTTCTTGAAGGAACTCCTAAAGAAGACATGTGTCTTCACACTTTTCACCATAAAAATGTTTTCTTTTTTTCATTCGATACGGGACGTTAAGAAATAAATACCCAACTTGTTACACGGAGTAGATGTTTTAGTTTCCGGATATAAAATTCCATAGATAAAAATACAAAACTAATATGACTCACATATGTACTTATCGTTAAATTAAACAATTATCGCATAATTATTCGGAGAATCAAATTTACGTAAAAGAGTTTTTGCTCAAAATATAATGACGAAATACATAGCCCTATAGTTCTGGGAAACATCTGTATACCCTTGCAAAGGGCATAATAATTACAGTCAGAAGTTTGCAACACAGACAAGGAAAAGCCCAAAAAATTAATTAAAGCATTCATGCATTTTGCTCGAAGGAAAAGCCCAAAAAATTAATTAAAGCAGTGTTTCCCAAACTTGTCGGGACCGCGACCCATCTACACAAAAAATTGAAAGATCTATATGGCAATTAGTACCCACCAAAAATCTACACGCGACCCACCAGTGGGTCGCGACCCACACTCAAGGAAATACTTACGATAATTGATATTAAAAAGTTCTATAAAAATATAAAGAAATGAAAAAACTGGAAAACAAAAAAAAAATAAACAAGAAAGTCAGCTATCTTCGGTAAGCCGAAGCTTATATACCCTTGCAGTCATCAAGTATGTCGATCAAAATGCATAAAGGCTAAACAACATCGAAGCTCTGACGATTTTTCTATACATTTTATATATTTTCGTCTATTGTTCATATGACAGCTATATAATAAAGTTGTCCGATTTTGATCAAATTTAATTCGTAATTCAAGAGTCTTTATATTATAGATTTTTCGATATTTCCTATGGCAGCTATATGATAGCGTTGTCGGGTTTTCATGAAATTTTTTTTCTCGATTCAAGGGTTATTAAAAAACTCTATTTTTGAAAATCATGCTCAATCATTTTTCCATTATTTATATACATATATATATTTTGATCTTTCCTATGGCAGCTATATGATGGAGTTATCCGATTTTGATCAAACTTAATCCGAAATTCGATAGGTGTTTAAAATCACCATCTGAAAGAAATCAAGTCGATCTGATTAAAAACAACGGCGTGACAATTTTTTATTTCATTCTCTCGTATGGGAGCTATCCGATATAGTCGGCCGATAGGGCCCGTTCCAACTTAAATACTGCGTGCAACAACTACACAACTTTTGAGAAAGTTTCAGCAAGATAGCTTCAAAACTGAGAAACAAGTTTACAGAGAAACGGACAGATTATTTCGATTCAGATGGTGATGCTGATCAAGAATATATATACTTTATGGGGTCTGAGGTGTCTCCTCCACTGAGTTGCAAACTTCTGACTGAAATTATAATACCCTTTTGCTCTGCAAGGGTACAATAGGGAAATGCCTGCATATATTGACATTGAAAACTTTCATTAAAGTAAAGAGAGTTTTTATACCCTTGCAGAGCAAAGGGTATTATAATTTCAGTCAGAAGTTTGCAACGCAGTGAAGGAGACACCTCAGACCCCATAAAGTATATATATTCTTGATCAGCATCACCATCTGAATCGAAATATGTATGTACGTCTGTCCGTCTGTCCGTCTGTCCGTCTGTCCGTCTGTCCGTCTGTCTGTCTGTCCTCCTGTCGGTTTCTATGTAAACTAGTCTCTCGGTTTTAAAGCTATCTCGCTGAAACTTTCCCAAAAGTTGTGTAGTTATTGCACGCAGTATATAAGTCGGAACGGGCCGGATCGGCCGACTATATCGGATAGCTCCCATACGAGAGAATGAAATAAAAAATTTTTACACCGTTGTTTTTGATCAGATCGACTTGATTCCTTCCAGATGGCGTTTTCTAACTGCTATTGAATTTCGGATTTAATTTTATCAAAATCGGATAACTCTATCATATAGCTGCCATAGGAGAGATCAAAATATATATATATAAATAATGGAAAAAAATTATAATGTCGTTGTTTTTAATGCCACGAGCATTATTTTTGGAACATAAAGTTTTTTAAATACTCTTAAGTTGAGAAAAAATTTCATAAAAATCGGAGTACTATATCATAGAGCTGCCATAGGAAAGATCGAAAAATCTATATAGAAATAACGGAAATATAATTATAACCTCGTTGTTTTTAATCAGACAATAATGATTTTTGGAATATAGAGTTTTCTAATGAGTCTTGAGTTACAAATTAAATTTCATTAAAATCGGACGACTATATTATATAGCTGTCATATGAACAATATGGAAAATTAATAGAAAAATCCTCATAGCTTCGATGCTCTTTAGCTTTTATGTATTTTGTTCGGCATATTTAGTAACTGCAAGGGTATATAAGCTTCGGCTTGCCGAAGCTAGCTTCCTTTCTTGTTTTTTATAAATTTAAGCATACTTATGGTGTTAGTAACAATCAAATATTGCCAGAACGATTGCATATCAATATATGCTTAGTTGGAAAAAACCATGACGTCCAAATTTCTATTAATTTAAAATGATTACGATACCAAATTTGATAAAAAAGAAATGCGATAAAATCGGCATGGAGCTTCATCAATATATAAACCCCAGCAGCCGGCGTTTTAACTTCAGTCAGAAATCTGCATCGCAGTGGCATACACACATTTAACTCAAAAAGCATTCTCATAAAAATCCTTATTTAAAAGGATATCAAGTTGAAACATTACCCAAAGACGTGTTGCGATTGCTTAGTATTATATATATCTAAGCGGCAGTAAGTGATCATATTTTATAAATATATTCCATAGAAAAAATCAAAAAACATATATAAAATTCATAGAACAAAAATTAATTTGTTGTTATTATAATGTGAAAACTCATTACAATGTAATTTAAATCAAAAAATCAAGGAAAATTCGTTTTTTAAACAGTTTTGTGTTCAAATCAAATAGTTAGTATCGATCAGATTGGATCAGAGCAGATCTGTTCCTGATCCTAGTTGTTTTACAGATATAATTGATTTTTATCTTTATAATAATTGTATTAAGAGTTTTTAATAAATTATTTTTTATACTTTTATTACAGATTCCTGAACGTAACTTTAAAAACAGTAAATTAGTGAACTTGTCGGCCATGTCGAGAACGCGAATCCACAGTGCTGGGCAGCAGTCCCTGCTCCTTCTTTTGCCGGCGGTGCTCCTCCTCCTGATGGTCGGAAGAGCAATGGGCACGGGTCTCATAAGTCAGACCAACAAACTGCCATCGCAGCGATTCTTCTACGCCTCCTCGCCGTCGGGATCCTCAACGCAGACGAAGGATGCAGCGAAGGGCAGCTGCTGTCAAGGAGCAGCCGCCGAGCCAGGAAAGCCACTCACGGTAAGGGTTCCCAAAACAGGTCCTTTCACTATCCCCTATTCAAAACTAAGGCAACGATCTAGCGCTCGAAATATTTAAAGAATATTTTTATAGGTTTCTAGGCCTTTATCTTTTGTCCTTTATATTTAATCCTCGTTTAAAGAGGTTTCCACTTATTCAACCTATGAAATTTCTATGGTTTGCAATAATAAATTGCGATTATTAAAAACTTAAAAATAGCAACATTTTAAAATAGACCCCGAATCGAGCATTTTTTGCAACTCATTCTCATACGCGTGCCATAAGCTTGCGCGTACGCCAAGTTTCTTATCAACGAAATATAATTATAAAAATACAGTAGAATCCTGTTATAACGACTCCGCTTATAGTGTCCGTCCGGGTTGTGCGTCGAAAACTCGATGGTTTGGTTGGTCCCCATACAAAGTTATATGAAAGGGCCTCCGCTTAGAGCGTTTCCGCTTTTAGCGACAAACCGCTTATAAGATTGAAATTTTTCAAGAAAATTGAAAAATTTAACCGGATATTGCGTCGTGCCGGAAAAAATACAGTGCCATAGTTCCAAATTTAAGCATCAAAACATGCTGTTAGAAATGTATGTATTTGCCAGTGATCGGCACCCTTGCTTGTGTGCGTAGCAGCGACACGAAGGATCTTGCACTGGCACAACTCTCTGTTAGTTTTAGCTGTCGCCTTAACAACGCTGCTGCGAGAGAGGGAGAGTCGAAGTGCAATGCCGACGTCACACTGTGTGTGCAGACCTCATAGTCTATTCCATGAGATGTGCCGTTATATTTTTAGTTTTTTCTGTTTTTTTCCGAGTAAAACTGAATGTTTTAATTTGCCAAATGCAATATGTGCAATAATAAGCTCATTCAGTTTTCAGTATTTAGAAAAACCTATGTTTTTGAATTTAATTTATTAAATTTTTCATTTTAATTAAAAAATTAATTTGATTTACTTTAAAAACCTATTACAAACACAGCAACCATAAAATAATCAAAAAAAATATTTTTTTTCCTCCGTTTGCTTAGTGCGTCTTCCGGTTATAACGACGAAAAATGGTCGGTCCCTTGAAAGTCGTTATAACCGGATTCTACTGTATTTTAACGAATTCAACGCTTGATTCATTCTTCGTTTATCAAATTTCCGAAAAAAAAAAAGGTTAAGCACTTGAAAAAAAGTTGTCAGAGCGTCTGTGTGTAAATAAGTATTAGTTGCTCTTAGTTCCCTTAACTTTTAATGATTCTTGTTACCACTTTCCGAAAGTTGGTTTAATTTATAGTTTTATTTGCCTATAACCCATGCTGCATCCAGATGGCGCCACTGTGCCGTCTAGAGACATTGCTTATTTGGGTCAGCGTCATCGCTGCTGTTTTGTTTGCAGTTTGATAAGGCCCAGCCTCCCCGATCCCAGCACCCCAGCTTCACAGCACCCCAGCTCCCCAGACCAAAGACCCTAGACCCCAATCCCCGACCCCCAACTCCCACTAAAGATCGGGAGCAACCGGTAAACAGTGGCGTCCGTTCACATCTTCTCACGTAGCGTACAACTGAAATCTAAACTATTATTTCAAAACTAGTACATTTCATCGATTAGACCTCTTCATCTTTAAAGTAACGAAAGTTTTAAATCGAAATTAATTTAAATTTTATTATTCAAAGGATTTATAATATTTCAAAGTCCAAAAGATCTTTGCTTACTAATAAGGGCAGCATAATTATAGAGACCTATTAAGAAATATTAAATCATCAGCTATTAGCAATTTTTGGGCACCAAATAATTCTCTGAATGAGTATACAAGTACCATACAACTTTTAGAAATTGTTAGGAGCTTCTTGATAACTAGCATGAATAATATAAAATCCGGTCGGTTATTCTCTCAGTGAATCCGAGTTCCGAATTTTGCGTCTGGCTCCTAAGCATTGATAGTGGAATTCCAAAACAAATAATTCGCTTACGTCTTTAATTGGGTGTTACTCACCCGAAGCAACACCGATATCGTTTCTACTACCAAACCAGCAGCCAAAAATTCTGTTTGCGTCAATGAAAAAAAAAAGATAAAAGATTTCCTTCTCGGGTGGAAGGGTTTAGGCATTACGATGGAGTCAAGTGTGCTGCGTAAGCCAAACAGAAGTTAAAACAATAACAGTTCCGATATCGAATGATATTTACAATTGCGAGTGCACAAAAATGCGATCGCTTCCTGGAACAGCAAATTGCCAGATTAGTTTTATCAATAAGAAATTGAGCTGGTGGCTAATTAATAATTTTCCTGTAAAAGCCTTTAAGCCATGCCATTTGTTTTTCGGTTTAATTGCTTCAAGAGAAGAATTGAGCAGGTGAATAAATAATATTATTTTTATTAAAACTGAAGCACCAATCATGCGTTTGATAAAAATGCAATATGAACAGCGAGTTCTTTAACTAAATAAAATATTTTTGGTTAAAATCTAGATCAAAACAATTACAGACCGATTATAATGGAATTTCCACTTGCAATGATAACTGTCACTTCCTCTGCGATTGTTTGCGATTCGCCCTTGAACTTTCTCCGCTTTGTGACGCAGCTGGTGTTTGGTATTATTACTATGCTATACCCCTGATCCCTCAGATCGGACAATTAGCAGCTTTAAATCGCAAATGTCGCTAATGAATCATTGCTGGGAGGGACATGGCTATATGGCTATATGGCTACCGTCACATCTACGTGCGAATTGGCCAAATTCTGAGCCGAATCGACGGCGCCGAGAACTCGGCACGTGGCCACGGAACACTTGCTCCTCTTCCGCGCGGAATGACAACCAAGTCGTGTTTAAAATCAGTTAAAATACCTAGATGACGCACCATAGCTTTGTTATATATAGAGTATTTATTCAAACCATTTCCATGCAGTTGACGTCCGATTTTCAATGGAATTTAGGGGGAGTTCGATCCAAATGGGCAGTCGCCTATGACTAAGTTTGAGTGAATGTTTTGGCGTTGGTTAATCTATGTCCCATTTGTATTACAGATTCCGCTGACGGTGGTCGCTGAGTTGAGCAACGTAACCACCAGCGATTACGACGCTTCCGGCGAGAGTCTCTCCTCCAAAGGTTTGCATTAAAATCCTGTTTTGCCTTAGGATAAATCTCTAAACTATTTATTTTCCATTTTATTTGCAGAACACGTCAAGCGCAGCACTAAATGTGAGTCCAGCAAATATCACAAAACAATTTGTTTTTACAGGATTTAAATGGCTTTAGAATTCTTGGGGTTTGTCATAAATCATATGCAGTTAAGCTTCACTGATAGAATGTTACAAAAATGAAACGGAAATTGTTTTATTTGCATCATAGCTTCCCTAAAGAAAAGATAATTTTTAATTCATTTTAAAATTCTTCTTCATTGAAGCTAAGTATACAGATAAAGACTCCCAAATTTTAAAAACAAGCCAAAGTAACTTAAAAAGTAAAGGAAAACAGGAAGTGACTAGCTGTATAAAGATTAATTTCAAACTCTTTAGGCTTGCTCATCAAGGGACAACGCCAACTTTTAAAGCCTTCCTAAATCTTAGTTTCAAATGAGACAATATATAAAATGAAAATATCTTCTCTTTAGCCCCGAGGAATGCGACGCCGGCGACTTGCTCCCCTCAGCCGACGGTGGTTGAACTGAAGCCATCGAATCCGGATGACGAGTTGAACTTCTACTACATTCCATCGTGCACGCGGATCAACCGATGCGGCGGCTGCTGCGGATCGAATCTGATCTCCTGCCAGCCAACGGAAGTGGAGAATGTGGAGTTGCGCGTGCGCCAGGTGAATCGTGGTGGCGGTCGCCAGCCGTTCGTCATCATCAACGTGGAGGAGCACACGGCGTGCCGATGCGATTGCACGACGAAAGCGAAGGACTGCAATGCGTATCAGACGTACCGCGAGGATCTGTGTCGCTGCCAGTGCAACAACAATGACGCCAGGGAGAAGTGCCTCGAGCAGGGGGGACACCAAGTACTGGGTGGACGACAACTGTGCCTGCGTCTGTCGCTACAATCAGAGCTGCACCACCGGCACCTACTTCGATGAGACGCAGTGCAAGTGCACCGACGTGAGTGACTCCGAATAGGAATACACTCTACACCACACCCTTCATCTATCCATCCTGAGCTATTGTCTCTCAGGGATTGAGATTCTGGTCTGGGTATATTGGTTGTGCTCGTCCTTGGTTGGTTTGCGGTTCCTGGTGGCTCCTGGTGGTGGCTCCTTAGCTTAAGGTCTCCTTTCCGCACTGCCAGCTGGGGCTCCTCATCAAGTTCCTTACTTATTTATCTTATTTATCCAGCATAGCACTTAACGTTATTTTTTTTTTTGATTTTAATTAGGACAATGCAGATTGCATTGGGTTTACCCGAAAATATTTATCTACACATATCTAACGAACTCATCGAATACTTCTCAAAAAGTATAAAATATAATCTAATTATAAATATTTTGTAAACCTATAGGTCAGAATATTGAATATATTAATCAAGTATTTTATAAACGTATTTATTATTATAGCTTTTATATATTTTATGCCAAAAACAATTAAACAATCCTTGCAAATAAAAGCATATTTATTAATAAAGTTGTCTCAATGAAATGTAAACTTCCTAGCCTCTCGAATTCAAATATATTTTTAAAAGTGCTGATAGGCTGATATTTTTATTTGAGTTGTACAATTTCAATTTGACTTACTTTTTAACCTTCTTCCAATGGACGTGATTTTTGTGTAGAAACAATTTGTTATGATTAATATTTGATTGATTAATATGGGACTTTTTATTGTACCATTAGCTTGTTGTTTTAGAATTGACCAATTTAAGCACGAAACCTAACACTTGTGCTATCAGTATTCTCGTATTACAGTGTTTTGTTTTTATTTACTCAAGTGTTAAAATCTAACTCCGACTGTTGATATTATTTGTTTGAACAACAGTTTAAAGCTTTTGAAAATTTTACTATGCACACCTTATTTCTTCCACCTAATTTAAGTTTGTCTTTGTCTCCATCACTTTTTATATGTTCTTACTTCTGTTTCTTTCGTGTTTCATTTTAGATCAAAACTTTCGAGTATTATTCTTAGAGTCTTCGAAACAAAGCACACCTACACAGAAATTTGTTTGATTAAAGAAAACTAAAAGCTCCTTAAATTTGTGTGATACTGTTAAATTAACTTTTTTTGGAAAACTAACTCAAAATTACCGTCATTTGTTTAGCGATTGGTTAAGGATACAAATAAATTTGAAATATTTTATGTAAATTATAGCTGAGTTGAGGCAATAAAGGGAGAAGGGAGTTGTATTGTGTGAGTACTCGTCCTGCTTAAATGCTTATTGAACCCGCTTAGAAGTATATATCTGCATGCCTAACCTTCTCCTTGCTAACAGAAAAATGTATATATTACGCCCTCTCCAATTTTCCGCTTAAAAAACTGATATTTGATTACACTAATTAGTTACTTATTATTTTATTAAATTATTTATTTATTTTTCCTCATTTAGCCTTTCGCTCCTGTTAGTGCCTTGGACCGCAAACGCTTCATTGTGCAGGCCGTACAGGTTGACCCCGATAACACCACCCTGTACAGTGTTTAGTGGCATTGAGGTCACCAAGGAGTACGAAGGAGAAACGCCAACTTCCTAGAGGGGAATCCCCGAGTACTAAAAAGAAATCACCCAAGAATGGCACTAAGCTAAAATGCCCATGTACTTTATATTATTTATAGTTATCGATTAAACCTAGGCTATAACCAATACCCCCTTAAAACTAACTCACAGTATTTCTACCTTTTCATCTGCGGCACAAAAAAAAAACACTTCAAGGAAATTCTCAAAAATCGTTGAGGATTCAATATCATTTCTAAATGTTACTTAAATGATAAATTTCTTTGTCTGGATACATTTTTAAATGAATTTAAATCTTTACTAATTTTTGTGCAACGCCTGTATATAATTTTAAAAAAATTTGTTTATATTATATTTTAAGCGCATTCCCTTTGTCGCTGCCTTGTGCACATTTGTTAATTTCTGCTTGTTTAAGTTTTAAATCATTCAAAATCAATTGTCCAAGAATTAAATGCAATCCACCGATTCGCCGTACTTTATTTGTATGTAACTTTTTTTGTAAAAAATGTTAGTCTTAAGTTTACGAAAAGAAAATATAGACAAAGTATTGAATTATTAAATGTAAATGTGTTTTTCATTGTATTAAATTCACTTATTTCATTTGTGAAAACTAAAGCACAAATATAAAAAAAAAACTATCATATTGACAGGACATTTTTAAAAATTTAATTTGCAATATAAAACTCAAGTTACTTGACTTAACAACGTAGTTATTATTATAATAACAAGATATTTTATTTTTAAATTGGAAATTAGCATGTTGAATATTTTATCTTCTATATTGATAATATTCTTAGTTTCTAACGTTTGAGAAAATTTAAAAAACCGTTAAAAATTTGAGTTTGTAAAAGCGCCATCTATGAGTGAGGTTACTATCTAGTATATTTTCTTTACTCCGAGTACGGTAACACTGTCCATGCATTTACCGATAATTGTTATCGATAGTCGGCCGTCTCTAGCGAAAATTTCATGCGCCAAAAACGTAAACTAAAGGAGTTTTGTGGGAATTAATGCGGTTCCACGGACATTAAACTGGTAAATGCACTGCACAAAGTGAACATAAAAGCGAGGACACCAGATTCCCGGAACTGCTGCAGTGCGTCCTGCGGAGAGGCGGAGTGCAGTAAAATATTTCCTCCTTGTGGGTGGTACAGCAGCGCAGGAAGAAGAAGAACGGCAACGCTGCACTCCATTTGATAAACAAAAGTTAAAAACAAGGAAAATAAGAGTTAAATCAACAGCTGGACAGGATGTTCAGCTATAGCAAGTGAGAGTATAGCTTGCACTTGACCCCGAAATAGAAATACATCAAGATTAAGATGCAGGTGAGCAAATACAAACAAAACAAACCATCTCAAATGCCAGTCGATTGCACTTAGTTTTTGTCCCATTTATTGGGAGCAAACCAGGAATGTCGTGATATATTTTATAACCGCGCATAATTCTAATGCAAAATAAATATAATACTTCAATGTTACCTAATTTTCCGAAAATTAGTATTTCGCAACTTCAGTTGTTTCTAGAATTTTATTTAATAAAGAAAACTGTTTTCAGCAAGCATTGAAATCTTTTTCAAATTTGCCAAAGTGACTTAACATTTTGTTTCTACATGAGAAGCAAGTTACTTAGCTTAATCATTGAAATAAATAACCAAAGAAAAAACAAGATGAAGGTGATTCATACTAAAAAAATTAACATTTTCAATAGCTGGCAATTCTTTATATTTATAAAACAGCAAGAACTTACCATCCTTCTAGAAAACACCCCAAGTAACCGAACCATTCTCTACCTTCCAGCAAATGGACGACCCGCCATCGCTACCCGTGGGCACGGAGGTGAGCGCCAAGTACAAGGGCGCCTTCTGCGAGGCGAAGGTCAGCAAGGTGGTGCGCAACATCAAGGTGAAGGTGGCCTACAAGCAGGGACTCGGCTCCGGCATCGTTGCCGATGATGCGATCAAGGCGCCGACGGGCCAGTTGCGTGTGGGTGCCCAGGTGGAGGTGCGTCATCCGGATCGCAAGGAGATCGTGGAGGCGACCATCGCCAAGATTCAGGACTGCTCGCAGTACACGGTGGTCTTCGACGACGGCGACATCACAACGCTGAGGCGAACGGCCTTGTGCCTGAAAAGCGGTCGCCATTTCAATGAAAGCGAAACGCTGGACCAGCTACCGCTGACCCATCCGGAGCACTTTGGCAATCCCGTGGTGGGCGGACGGCGGGGCAGGCGTCGTGGCCACTTAAACGAGGACAGTTCCGAGGACGACGACGAAAGCGATGCCAAGGAGGTGGTCAACGAAAAGGAGGAGAACATCGGCAAGGTGGTCTGCGTGGAGACGGAATCAAAGAAGAAGGACAAGGAGAAGTGGTTCCCCGCTCTCGTGGTGGCGCCCACCGCTCAGGTTAGTCCACTACGATTACAAACCAAGAAGAATCTCCTAAGCATACAATGTTTGCTTGATCTTTTAGGCCACTGTGCGCATTCGCGTGAAGGACGAGTACCTGGTGCGCTCGTTCAAGGACGGCCGCTACTACACGGTGCCCAAAAAGGAGGCCACCGAGTTCACGCGCGAGGTGGCCAGCAAACAGGATGTGCCTGCTGTGCAGGCGGCCCTCGAGTTCCTGGACAGCAGCATACTGCCGGCCCACTGGGACAGGGACTCGCTGTTCGGCCTCTCGAACATCTCGAGTGATGACGAGGGCGAGATCGACTCCGATTCCTCCGACGACGAGCCGCACGAGGAGAAGGATCGCTTTGTGGCGCAGCTGTACAAGTACATGGACGATCGCGGCACGCCGCTCAACAAGGTGCCCTCCATCCAGAGTCGGGATGTGGATCTCTATCGGCTCTTCCGTGCGGTGCAGAAGCGCGGCGGCTACAACCGTGTGACCACGCAGAATCAGTGGAAGCTCATTGCCATGCGGTTGGGATTCACGCCGTGCACGGTGAGCGTGATGAATCTGGTGAAGCAGGCGTACAAAAAGTTCCTGCAGCCGTACGGCGACTTTCACCGCAAGCTGGGCTGCTCCATGCTGATGACCTCACGCAACTCCAACCGCAGCAAGGGGCGCAGCCTGGTGCGAGCCAATTCGGTGGCCTCGCCGAAACCGATGGAGACCACCAAAACGGAGACAATCAGCAAGCTGGCGCAACCCAATCAAACCAACGCAGCGGCTTCAACTTCGAGTTCCGCATCAGCGTCAACAGCTGCGGCAGCATCTTCGGCCACGCCGGCCAGAGCCATATCCACCGCCTCGCAGTCGGCAGCCGAGGAGTCGGGCAACACCAGCGAGTCCAGCGTGGTGGTGGAGCCGCCCAAGAAGCAGCGGAAGGGATCAGCGGCCAGCAATCAGCAGGGCAAGGTTAAGAGTTTGGTGGAGAAGTACGAGGAGAAGTCCACGGCAGCTCCAAGCTCCTCTTCGGCGTCTGCAGCTGGCGGATCCGTAGCCAGTGGCTCATCTGCCACCGCATCAGCAACTTCAGCCGCAACCTCCGCGGCAGCTGCCTCCGCATCAGCAGCAGCCACTTTCGGTGGTTCGGCCGCCAATGCTTCGACAGCTGGTAGCAGCAAGGATACCGAGGCGGATCTGCCGCTGGCCAAGATCAAGGCAGCGGCTGCGGCGGCCGCTTCCACCAGGCACAGTTCGGAGAAGGAGACGAACATCAGTTCGGGTAGCAGTGCCTCCGCCTCCAGCAAAGCGAACTCGGCGGAGTTGCAGCGCAGTCGAGATGCCTCTCCAGCGGGTGAGTTTAATTGGATTAACATTAGCTGCAGCCTGCAGGGTTAGTTGGAATCGGTAAATGGTTTTCATAACACCATTTTCTATTCTCCCTTTTCCTTTTAACTATTTAAAACAATTGGTTTAGGTCAAGCTTAAAATCAGTTAGAATCTTGTTCTCAATCCTCCACTCTTCAATCGCATACAAGCTAAAGATTGCTTGTCAGACCATAAGTCTTTATTTTCCATCTGTTTTATTGAGTTATATGCTAAAATTATTTCTCTATTTGAGTTCTTTTTACTCGAGCTAATTTTCCTTATTTAGAGAAGCTCAGCGATTGTTGAAAGTAAGCATTTGTTTTTTATATATATTATTTATTCATTCGCATTTAGACAATCTCAATTTCGATGCTCCATAAACCTATTGGATCCTTCCCGTTTCTTGAGTTCCTGCAAGAAATTCGCTTCTCTTCAGACAATCTTCACCTTGACCTTGTGATAGGCATTGGCCAAGACGCCACGCAGGTTCCAGATGTGCTCGAACTTCTCCGGCTGAACGTTGTACGCGGAGTCGACGGCCTTGGCCCAGATTTCCACGTCGCCGGCTTGCCTTTGCGCCTCGGAAACGGGAAGTCGAGCGGTCCAGAGGGACCAGCCGTAGTGGCGTCCATCTGGGTTGTCCTCCTGCTCCAATTCGGCCACGTGCCAGCTGACACCCTCGTCATTGGTCAGGTCCACCCGCACTATCTTCCTGCCGCCGCCACTCCACGCATAGCCCCTCACAACAATGTGTCCCTCCTCGTCGTCCACTTTTACTCGCGATCCCGGCTGCGGTGTGCAAATGGCGGAGGTCACCGGCATGGACTGGATCGCGTCCGACTTGCTGAAGTCCACGGTGTCCCAGTCGGTGCTGGGACTGAAGCCCTTGTAGTCGTTCTGCTGCCAATGCGAATCGGACTCCCGCTCCGCCACTACGATCCTCGTCAGCCACTTGACATTGCGGGCGCCCACTGTGCCGGGCACAATCACCCGGATGGGATAGCCATGGTCCCTGCTCAGCGGCTCGTCGTTCATCTCGTAGGCGAGGATGACATCGCCACGGGGATCCAGAGCCTTGGACAGGGGTATAGACGCTCCATAGGGATGGGATGTGGGATCCAGATCGGCGCCTTCGAAAATCACATGTTTCGACTCGTCCGGTTGGACGCCCTGTTCTCGGAGAAGATCGCACAGGCGAGCACCCGACCACTTGGCATTGCCCACGGCGCCAGCACCCCAGGAAAGACCTAAAGGTTGGATTGGATTACAGATTAGATTGAGAAGAGATCGAAGAGTTTTATTAGTTCGATATTCACCCTTTACGGCTTTCACTTTTGTCATCTCCGACCGGCGGTTGCCACCGCACATGATGGCCGCTGTAACGGAGTGCTTCGGAAGGGCCTTGATCCCCGCCAGACTGAGGGACCGCTCCTTGCCGCCGCCCTCGATCTCCAGCTCGTAGTCCTCGGGATCGATCACCGGCACTGGCAGATGGTTGCGCACGTAGAAGAGTTCGTTCGGCGTGTAGAACTTCTCGGCCAGCATTCCGATTGGTGGCTCCGCATTGAAGGGCCTCTTGGAGGCGGGCTTGAGCAGGGCGTGGCGTTGGGGTTCCTGGGACCAGGGCGAGCCCAGTTCATCGTCCACACTGGCCACCAGTTCGCCCTCCAGATTGCCAATGCGAAATCCCTCGAGGAGCTCCAGCACCTCCGTGGTATTGTGCTGCTGGTAGATGGCCCAAAATGGATCGATGGCACTGCCGGCGGCCATGAGGATCTTATCGCCGCCCGGGTGATTCTCGGCAAAGTCGGTCACATCGTAGACACCCAGACCGTAGGTGACCCATATCCGGTTCTCGGGACTGTTGTGCTGCTCCACCTGGTCCGCTTTGTAGGTGGGCAGCTCCTTTCGCAGGGTCACGTGCCAACTGCGAGCCAGTGCCTCCTGCTCCTCTTCGCTGGCGGCTGGGCTCTTCTGCTCCTCGAGCAGCACTTGGCGGTTCCTGTGGGTCAACCAGTGGTAGCCGAGGGTCAGGCCACCTGCCCAAAAGGCGGCATAGAGCCACTGCTCCGCTCTGCTGCCCGGGGAGCTCCACTTGTGTTGCTCCTCCCCCGATCGCCATTGCTCCCTGCTCCAGTGGTGGTGACCAGAAGACGATGGTGCCGCTGCCTCTGATGGTGGAGCAGTCCCACCCAGCTGCGCCTCAGCCAGCGCATGATTATGTAACCGACAGAGCGAACGCCGGCAAAGAAGAACACCCGATTCCGCAGAGGAAGTCCAAACCAATCTCAAGTTTTCCCTCGCGTTGCTGCCGCGAATCTCTGTTTTGATTCGTGATTTATGTGGTGATTCGATGATATGTCTTGTGTTTGCCCACTGGCGACATTGGCCCCTTCAGCCTCTGCCCCCCAAGAACAGCGTCAGTTGTTGGTTTTGTTGATAAGCAATCTGGGAAGGCGCTAATTCGGCTGTTTACCATCTGCTTGTTGACAACCGAAAACGCAGACTGTGTTCCTTGCCAGGCGATACTTCGGTGGCTTGACAACCCTGTTCGCGGTTTGTTTTCATACCCTTCAAAAGGGTTTCATCATTCTGTCGGGAATTTATTACGCATTATAATCCTTATTCGATGGGGTTATGCTCCTTTCTGGATAAGATCACCTGATAAATAGAGGTTTTTAAACCGGCCTTTTAATGGTTTTTCAAAAGTTCTTTAATATTACTTTTAAAACGTTTTACCACTTATTAACCTTATTAATTATTATTAACTGAATTTCTAAAAATTATTCGAACCCACTTTTTGGCGGAAGTGCAGACTGTAACTCCAACCGAAAAACTAAATCAAATTAATTTCTTAATTTATATTCAAACTGCAAGGGTGTACAAGATTCCACTTGCTTTCCTCATTTTTTGAGTACGCACAAAGTAAATTCACGCGACTATAACACCCGCAAGTATCGATACTAGTATCGATACTTCAACAAAAAGAGTCGGCTAAGAGTAATTAATTAAAAATGCAAGATAATAAAGCTACTAAGCTCGCACAAAAACTCCAGTTTGTAAATAAAGAGCTTTGACCAAAGCACTTGTTGCTTTTTTTTTATGTTATTGTGTCTGTAGTTTTTTTTTACAAGAGGAGAAATTATCTGCTATCTCCCTCTGATTCGATGTTGTGTTTATATCTCTATAGATAGATATTGAAAACAAGCGGATCGTAGAATGCTAGTGGTTGTTTAGATACTTTATAAATACACTTTTCACTTGATACCCACCTGTTTGTTATGAGTTTTTGTTTGGGTTTAATCAATTAATCATCGAGACCTCTCTTTCCAACTGGGAGAGCTTTTCAAAATGCCTTTTAATCAAAGACATTTCCGTGTATTATGTAGATATATCAACAATAAAGCAATATACACAGATAATGCTTTTATGTTGTTTAGTTATTTGTTGTCTTTAAACGCAGATTTCCTTCCCATATTTTCTTCTCTTTTCAATCTGCATAGATGCCTCAAAAATGTTTATTTATAAAGTTTTGTAATTCGCAGAGGTTGTGTTTATTGTTTTGGCGTTGTGTGTTAATTTATAATTGAGTGCAATTAATAATTGATAAGAAATTAATACAAATACATTCAATAATAAATAAAAATAAAAATAGGTAAAGATTTGTGTACGATATAGTAAGATTGTTTTGTATTTCGCGATTCCAATTCGTTGAGTTCTGTACTTTCCCACAAACTATATATTTTTTAAGCTTTTATTGCAGATTCATAGATCAATGAACCACAAAATGTTGATGAATTTTCGCTTCACAATAAGGATAAAATAGAAACAAATGTGTTATTTAAAATGCCATCTAAATATTTGGTTACTATTTTTTTTTTGTATTCAAAGAAGTGCTGTATTTTCGCAGAAAATAGATCCTTCCGCATATTATAAATAGGTTCAGGAAAGTAAGAAAATCTTAAGTACAAATATTATTATAAGTTAAGGAATGAACATAAAAAAATCATCATTATTTTTATTATTAGGGAAAGTAAAAAAATCTTCAGAACATGGTTATGATCTCAGTAATATATATATATATTTTCCAAATAATTAAAAACCCCAACTGATTATCCCCTTCTCCTTTTAGTGGCTGCACCGCCCTCGTCTGGCGCAGGGTCATCCGCTCCAGCCACCGCCTCTGCTGCCCAGCCGACGACGACTGGGAAGAAGGAGAAGCACCAGCGGAGCAAGCAGGCGGACAAGGAGAAGGACAAGGACAAGGACAAAGACAAGGAGAAGGATAAGGAGGAGAAGCAGGCGGGCAGTGGGAAGCGCAAGAAGGAGAAGATCAGCGTGGAGAAGATCGACACGGGTGACTTCGTGGTCGGGATCGGGGACAAGCTGAAGGTGAACTACCACGAGAAGAAGTCGCCCAGCTCGCATGGCAGCACCTACGAGGCGAAGGTGATCGAGATCAGCGTGCAGCGCGGAGTGCCCATGTACCTGGTCCACTACACCGGCTGGAACAACCGCTACGATGAGTGGGTGCCCCGCGAGCGGATTGCCGAGAACCTGACCAAGGGTTCCAAGCAGAAGACGCGTACCATTAGCACCAGCAGTGCAAACAGTGGGAGTGGAGGAGGAGGAGGCGGCGGCGGAGGAGGAGGGGGAGGAGGTGGTGGTTCCAATTCGGGACCGGGTTCCCTGCCTCCTGGAGCCAAGGATAACGGCTCCAAAATGCCACCTTCAGCTGGAAATTCGTCGGGACCAGGAGGAGCTCCCTCGCAACCAGGATCCCTGGGAGGAGGTTCCAGTTCCAGCTCCACTCCCTCCCTTCTCTCGACCGTGGTGAAAACGCCGACCACAGGTGGTGGAGCGAAGCGAGGACGCGGACGCAGTGACTCCATGCCGCCGCGCTCCACCACGCCCTCATCCGTGGTGGCTGCCCACTCCGGGCGCACCAAGTCGCCGGCTGCCTCGCAGCCGCAACTGCAGCAGCAGCAGCAACAGCAGCAGATAAAGAAGCGTCCCATGCGCATCGTGCCGGGAGCCACCACGCCACGTCGCGTCTCCGATGCCTCGATGGCCTCCGAATCGGATTCGGACTCCGATGAGCCAGTGCGTCGGCCCAAGCGCCAGAGCGCCAAGGAGACCCGGCAGCAGGCGGGCAAGGCGCCGCCACCGGGAAAGGGAGGACGAGTGGCCAGCAGGGCATCCTCGACGGCTCCCGCCGTCCGCGATGCCAGCGATGATTCCGAGGAAGAGGAGGAGGAAGAGCCACCAACCAGATCCGCTTCCTCCAAGCAGCAGCAGCACCAGCAGAATGCCACAGTGCGGGGATCTCGAGCTGGTGGGAGTCGCGCCATGAGCAGTGGCGCCGCCTCCGCCAAGGGACGCGACTACGATCTCAGCGAGATTCGCTCCGAGCTGAAGGGATTCCAGCCGAAGCTGCTAACGAACGCCGCCTCCAACGAGATAAAGGAGGGCGTGGCAAAGAAGGAGTCCCTGGATGAACCAACCACGCAGGACATCAAGAAGGAGCCCAAAATGGAGTCCAACAAGAGCAGCTCCACGGAGCTCTCATCGGAGACGGAGTCGTACGTGGATGAGGATTCGCAGTCCTCCGATTACCGCAAGCAGGGAAAGGGCTCGGGATCAGGAGCAGCCAAGAAGGAATCAGCAGCCAGTGCCTCCAAATCCCATCACGAATCGGTGACGAAACGGGAGGTGAAGGAGGAGTCACTCAAAGTGGAGCCCAAAACGGAGCCCAAGGAGGAGGAGCTCAAGAGCAAGCCCTTCCTCTCGGGAGCGGACATCAAGCCCACCACTTTGATTGCGCCAGCGAGATTCGGAAATGCCTCAGCTGGCCAAGCAGGTGGTTCCTCCACAGCAGGAGGAGGCTCCACCACAGCGAAGTACACATCGGTGATTGTGGAGAAACCACTCACGATTGGCGGCAAGAAGTCAACGGAGCAGCATGCTCCGCCCAAGAAGGCGGAGTTGCTCAAAAAGCAATCGGGAGGAGCCACTGGAGCGGGCACTTTGCTGGCCAGCCAGCAGGAATCGAAGAAGTTCGCCGAACCGGTGGCCAGCTTAAAGGTGGAACTGCCAGCCGCCTGCTCACCCTCGTCGTCCTCCTCCTCGTCCAGCTCCTTCTGCTCCACCGCCTCGGGCGCGAGTTCCAGCTCGGCGACGCGATCCTTGCCAGACATGAGCAAGCTGGAGATCAGCAGCGGCACTGTTCCAGGAGCCACTGCCACATCGGCTCCAGTGGCCTCCTCTCAGCCGGGGAATGCCACGCAGCTTGGATCAGTTGCTGCCACTAAGGAATCGAAGTACAGCAGCAGCAGCGGAGGAGGAGCAGCAGGAGGAGGAGGAGCAGCAGGAGCGGGATCTGGCATCAGTATGCGCAAGCTGCTCTCCTCGGATGTCTACGAGTTCAAGGACACGGAACCCTTCGAGTTCGAGAAGCGCATCTCGCCGATGGCCTCCGTTGGAGGAGCTGTGGCAGCGGGAGCACCTGGTTCGGCAGCAGGCGCAGTTGGAGCGGGAACCGCCTCGGTGATCACAGCGGTGATGCCCACACCAGGAGGAGGAGCCGCCACATCCGGTGGAGTGGCAATGGCAAGTGCTCCTTCGGCCGTTCCAGTGGCAGTTAGTTCCTCGGCCAGGAAGCTGGCACTCAAAGCGAGCGCCATGCAGCAGAGTCTGGAGCAGCACCAGCTGGCACCGGCGACTCCTGGACACGAACGTGCTGGTGGCTACAGTGGGTTAGCAACGGGTTCCGGTGGCTTGACGGCTGCCAAGGCCAAGAAGCGTGGTTCTCCCTTGAAGGAGCCACCGCTTGGCTTGGAGAAACCGAAGATCTACAAGCTGGACAAGGAGCAAGTGCAGCAGCCAGCGGACCAGAAGAGCCAACAGCTGACGCCGCCCAGTTTGAAGGTGCTCCAGCCGGCAGGTCAACTAACTCCCTCGGCTGGCAATCCAGTGAAGATGCACACGCCACCGGGAGGAGCTGGATCCACCAGTGGAGTGGGAGCGGGAGGAGGATCCTCCGCCAGTACCCCAACCTCGAGCGGCGGCCACTCGCTGCTCTCCACCGCCATCGCCTCCACTTCCAGTCAGCTGGCTCCTCACCATGCCACGCCATTCGATGCCCTCCGCAAGTCGCCCAGCTTCAATCTGAACATCACGGCACTCAACGAGGAGCTGGCACAGACCGTCCAGGAAACCACGCGAGCCCTCACGGACGCCCTGCAGCCACCGACGACTCCCCAACCACCTCCTCCACCGCCACCAAGCTCGATTGCTTCGCCAGGAACGCCAGTGATTACGCCAACTGCCTCGGCAGCCGCACTGAGTTGTCCAAGCACTCCGCCCACGGGCTCCAATTCGGTGCTGGCCTCTCCCAAGTTGAGCACTCCCCCGCAGGCAGTCAATGCTGGGAAACAGCCACCGGCGCCGCACATCGTGGGCAGTCCCTTCATCGAAACCCGCAACGTTTTCGAGCTGAGCACCTCGAACGAGGGCAGTGGCTACAGTTCCGGCGAGTCGAAGGACAACAAGCTGGAGAAGCTGGAGAACGTCAAGATCCTTCTGGCCGGAGCGGCGGGGCCCTTCGATCTGGATGCGGGCAGCTACGAGCAGAAGACCAGCTCCATTGCCGACAAGGTGCTGAAGGCGATTAGCCAGAAGAAGGAGGAAGTGGAGAACAGCAAGAGCAGGCCAGCGCCATCGCAATCGCAATCGCATTCCCAGCCAGCGGTTGTTGCGGTGGAAGGAGCTACAAAGGCGACGCCTTCCGGCGAGGAGCCAGTGGGCAGTGCGAGCGCAACGCCAGCGAAGCTATTGGAGCTCGGCAGCAGTGCCATCAAGCTGGACACACTGAAGCTACTGGGCGAACCACTCAAGATTCAAACGGGTCCGCTGCTGGGCGAACTCTATCGACCTGGACCGGCGACCAGTAGTCCCGAAACGAAGTCCATTCTGGAGTCATCGCTACCGGCGAAGAACAGCGAGCTGAGCGAGACCATCCAGAAGCTGGAGTGCGCCATCCAGCAGCGGAAGACGCCGGTGGGCGGAGCTCTCTCGCTGGCCAGCTCCACGGCGGGCACACCGCCCGCTGCCCACACTCCGAACTCGACGGCGACCGCGGGAGCCGGTGGCTTCTCCGATGAGTCCATGGACAGCACCGATTCCGAGCAGCGTCTGGTCATCGAGGACGTGATTGCCGAGGAGCACACCACCACCACCACGACGGGTGAGCAGAAGAGTCCGGGCTCGGGACACGACGAGGGTCAGACCACCACGGCCACCATGGCGACGGCGATCACCGCGGAGACGGAGGGCACCACCACGAGCAGCAGCACACCACCGGTGTCCGCACCAGTTAAACTGGAACTGGGTGGCAAGGCGTTGCCCGGAATCCAGGCACCTATTCCCATTAAACCCTCGGAGGGCAGCTCCTTTGCTGGCAAGATATCGGCGGTCACCCAACCGCCACCGCTTGCCAAACTGCAACAGCAGCAGCAGCCACCGACGGAGGAGCTGGTGACTGCCGGCGGTGGTCAGGGGAAGGGCATCAGCTCCTTTGGCATTCCCATCGTGCTGCCCGAGATCCCCGCCTCGGTGGTGGTGGCCACGCCCGCTCTAATGGTCGCCTCCGCCGCTGCAATGCGCCAGAGTCCGGGATCCACGCCCAGTTCGCCGGCACCCGTGCTGATCTCACCCAAGGCGTTCCTCACGGCGCCAAAGGTGGGCGAGGTGGGTGGCCTGCTGCTGAAGGCCTACACAGGAGTGGCCGGAGGAGCAGTTCCCGGCGGAGCAGCAGTGGCAGCTACAGGAGGTGTTATAGCAACAGCCGGAGGAGCAGGAGCCGGAGCACCCACTGTCATCTCCAACTACAGGCAGTCACAGCAGCAGGCGCCACAGCTGCCCACCAGCAGTGCTGCAAGCTACATACTGGATGCGGAAATGGGAGAGGCTCCCAACAGCAGCACCTCGCCAGTGGTGGCGCGTCCATTCGTGATGCACGCCGTCGGCAAGGAGCTGTTCAATGTGGTGGCACCGGCGGCCAGTTCGCCTCTGATCAGTGATCCCCACAACGAGTCGATCAACCTGCTGTGCGAGGAGACGATACCAGGCAGTCCGGCTCCCAATTACGGCGGCACTGAGCAGCTGCCCGCCGCCGTTGGCTCCTCCTTGGCCATGGTGGGCATAACCCCGCTCCCGCCAGATACGCCGCCTCCAGGCGCCACTGCAGTGGTTCACCAGCAGCACCAGCAACAGCAGCAATCGCATCCACATCATCCAGGTCAAGCTGGGCAGCCGCAGCAACAGCAGCAGCAGGCTGGAAAGTCAGCGGAGGTCAATCCCTCGGCATCGAACAGCTCACCGGACTCGGCCAGCCAGGATGAGAGTGGCGAGGAGGGCAAGAAGAACGCCGAGCTGGAGCACGACGACGCCACGGGATTGGGTGCGCTGAACAAGCGGAAGCGAACCCGCAAGCCGCTGGTGATGACCGCCACGGCGATCACCAATCAATTCCTCACCTACACGAAGAGGCGGCGCCAGGTGTCCGGAATGCGCAGCCAGAAGAACGCCGCGACCACAGGTGAGGTTCTAGTTCACTTCGGGGTGTACTTCTGCATACGTATTTGATATCTTTAAAATAAGTTTTCGTGGCAGCAATGATTATTATTTTTTATTCATTTTTTTATTTAACAATATTGGAATTCTTAATTGCAACAGCCTTCTAGGCATATAGTATAAACATAAATGTCTCGAAACGGAACTGGTTAAAACAGCATTAGTATTTAAAGAGAAGGAGGAACAAGGGGTTAAATTCGCACGTTAAATTCAATGAACAAAAAATCGTAAAAGCTTTATTGTTCAGAAAAATGATAATAGTTTTTAGTAATATCAATTAAAAATGTATGGCTCACCTAGTCCCTTTTTGGTGGGTAAATTTGAGTCATGAATAAGTTGTAAATTGTTTTTTAATAACCACCCATAAAAGTAAGGACTGCAAAGGAATAGATGTTCACCTATTTGTTTTTAACCAGGGACCGCAAATAATTATTATGAGTTTAAAAAAATTGAAGCCCAAAACAGTCTCCAAAAAAATTGGAAAAAATTGTCATAAGTTAAATTTTCATGGCGAATTCAAAAACAAGATAAATGTTTTTTTTTTCAATTTTTACGAAAAAAATTGATTTTTAATACTTAAAACTAATTTTAATAATAAAAAATTAGTAATAATTATTAAGTATCAATTTTTATATAAAAATTACGCAATAACTTTTATTTTCAATTTTTATTATATAAATTGAAAAATAAAAATTATTCAATAACTTTTATTTTAAAAATTGAAAATAAAGATTGAATCTATATATATATACATACTTATTATATACCATCTGAAAGGTATTGATGTGTAGTTCATATATATACATACACATTGGATCTGGCTTCTACGGATCAAAAGATATATTAGATATATATATAGATTCAATCTTTATTTTCAATTTTTAAAATAAAAGTTATCGAATAATTTTTATTTTTCAATTTATATAATAAAAATTGAAAATAAAAGTTATTGCGTAATTTTTATATAAAAATTGATTCTTAATAATTATTACTAATTTTTTATTATTAAAATTAATTTTAAGTATTAAAAATCAATTTTTTCGTAAAAATTAAGAAATAACTTTTATTTTGTAATTTTTTGCTTTTTTAATTATAACCGTTACAGTCCCTGTTTTTAACCATTTCCTTTAATAATTTAAAGTAGAATATACAAAGACATATTTATTCAAACAAACTTGTATTTAATATTTCCAGCTGGCTCCGATACGGACGACAACTCGGACAACATAGCGCCAACGGCGGGAGGACAGCAGCAGCAGCAGCAGCGACAAAGTGCCCGCCAGCAACTGTTGCCCCAAGGAAACGGGCAGCAACAGCAGCAGCAGCAGCAACAACAGCAACAGCAGCAGCAACAACAGCAACTGCTGCAACAGCAGCAGACGCAACTGCAGCAGGGCGTCCAGTCGGGAGTGCGTCCATGTCCGTACAACTTCCTCGTAGAATTGGGTGAGTGCATCCTTAAGTTGCTTCCAATGTTCGTACTCTAAAGGATACCCCTTTGTCTTCCAGATCCTGCGCTCAGTTCCGATGAGTGCATCACGATCCTGCGCAAGCAGATCCAGGACCTGCGCAAGGCCTACAACACCATCAAGGGTGAGCTGAGCGTCATCGATCGCCGGCGCAAGAAGCTGCGTCGTCGGGAGCGGGAGAAGAAGCAGCAGCAGCTGCAGAGCCAGCAGCAGGGCAAGGTTTGTGCCTAGCTCGAATGGGACTCGCCTGCCTCGCCATCGAACGGGGAAAGCAGCAGCTTCAAGTGACTTTAAAGCCCCCGAAAAAATAAAAACAACATGTGAAGATCGGTTGATCTAGGAATACTTTGAGCGTAATTTGTAAATCTACGAAGTGTTACTTTTTTCTATAGGCTAAGGACAGTATCTGTATAAATACATTTCATAAGATGTATGTATCTCTAAGAATAAAAACGCATTTTATTTACCATACTTTGATCAGTTCATTGAGAACAATTTCAAAAGAACATTTCTTTATTTATATTTGATGATTGAATTTCAAACTCTATAAGAACTACTTTTAAAATCTCGTTTTTATAAGGTTGATATCCTTCAAAACAAATCCCAACACACATTATTTACTTGCTTTATGTTTTATTTAATCGAATTTCGGGATTAGAAGTTAAAACAAGTTGTTAGGAAACAGCATATCCTCCCTCGAGCAGGATGTGGTGTCCATTGACGAAGCTGGACTTGCTGCTCAGCAGATAGCCGGTGGCATCCACGACTTCCTGCACCTCGCAGAATCGATTCAGCGGGATGTGGGCCAGAAGGGGTCCGCTCTTGGCCGGATCCGACCAGTTATCGGCACCCATTTTGGTCAGCACCACGGTGGGATTGACGGAATTGACACGGATCTTGCGCGGACCCAGTTCCAGGGCCAGTGACTTGGTCAGCGAATCGAGGGCCGCCTTGGTGGCACTATACGCCGTGTGGCCACCAAAGGATCGGCTCGAAGCAATCGAGGAGACGTTCACGATGGAGGCTCCATCCTTGAGGCGGGGCAGCAGTGCCTGGGTGACATTGAACACTGCCTTGATGTTCACATCGAAGTGTCTGAAATGGAAGCAAAACATAATATTTTTTTCAAACACCAGAAGTTTGGCAAGAAAACTTTCATTTGGAAAATAACATTTTTAAAAAATCACATAATTAATTAATTCTTCAATGAAAATTTATCAAAATATACTCGGATTGGTGTCAATGCTGGAGGTCAATTGAAGTGGCTTTCTAATTGCCCTTTCGCACAATCTCATCTTGATAACTGTTATCATAACATATTTATACGCTGATCATGATCTGCCAAAAAGTAGTGGAACTTTTCCTCGATAAGAACGCCAGTTCTAATCAATAATTAGAAAGAACTTGACCTACGGAGGCTTTTAGATTGGTAAATGTTTAAACAATACATTTGAATAAGATTTTTACAAAACCAATTGAGATATGCATACATAATCAACACTCGAAGAACTATAAGTTTGTTTAAAAAAATCATTGCCTAACCTAACTCATTTTTTTTTATGTGTATAATCATTTTCTTAGTACTAAAAAGAGCGTTTCAAATAAATAGATTTAAAAATGTTTGTTGGAGTTAAATAGTCGTAAACATTTAGATAAGATTACTGTTATTGTTTTGTTTTTCTCGAGCTATTCAAATTCTTATTTTCTTTTTGGCAAACTTTTTCAGGCTCTACAAAATATGCAGTTGCAATTATAATTGAATAAATGAAAAAGGTATGAATAAGATTCCTACACAAACCATTCAAAGATCAAATATTAAATCTGAACCGAAAGAAAATACAATCTGATGATGAGGATCTATATCATAAAAGAAAATTATAAAATAATGCTACTAAGAAAAGTTTTAAATTATATTTGAATATAAATTCAGGCACTCTGGTATTCCGTTTTTGAAACTGACTCTTGATTCTTACGTATCGAAATCCTGTTCGGTGAGCTCCTCGAACGGCTTGATGATGGCCACGCCGGCGTTGTTGACCAGTCCGTCCAGCTTGGGACCCTTGGCGAGACCCTCGCGCACCGCCTGCCAACCACTGAGGTCCAGCTGGAGCGGCTGGATGTGCACCGGATCGAAGGCGACCAGCTCCTGGAGCTGCTCCGGCTTCCTGGCCACCGCGATCACAGTGGCTCCTGCGCTGGCCAGCTGCTTGACCAGGGCCTGGCCAATTCCGGCTCCAGCTCCGGTCACCAAGATCACCTTGCCCGCGAGATCTGCCCACATGTTGTTTACTATAGTATATCCCTTAATTGGAAAATTCCGCTCCGAGTGCAAGGCGATCGCTGGCAGAACTGAACTGGAAATAATGTTTACACCTTATCGAAGCATTAATCGCCGGCCAGAGCTTTCTTTCCCTCTTTCTCGGAGAATCACAATTCCATGGAGCTTTGGCTCTCTTCGCTAGGGCGTTTAAGGTCGTTTCTCGATCGCAGATTTGCAGCCAAAGATCTCCCACAGTGGGTGCCAAGTGGGGCGGAGTGGAGTGGGGTGGTTGGGTGGCAGTTTTAGAGGCCCCCTAAGCTGATAAACCATTGGTTATAAATAGAGCCACCGATAAGCTCAAGATTCCGGATTCGTGAGCGATACTTCTTCAAGCTGAACCAGTTTCTTAATTAAATTGAGCTTTCATTATAATTTGCTAAACAAGCTCATGATTTAAAATATGATAAGTTGTATACCAGCATTTTCAAATTTCAGAAAATAAAATTTTTCCGAAAATTTTATAGGGGTCCCCCTTGATTTTATTGGAAAAAAAGGGAAGGTATTTCATCAAATACCAATTTCATGACTTTATTTTCTGTTTGCCCAAAATATTTAAATAAAAAAACGTTGAAAAATTTAAATTTAAAAAGTGAGTTAAACGATTAAAAATCGTTCTAATGATCTATCGGTGTGGCTATCTTTGCATGCAACAGTTTTGCAACACTGCGCCTCCGCGAACTGTTCAACACAAAAACAAGCAAGTCAACAATTTTATGTTTTAGCTTAGAATTAAATGAATTACTGACTGAAAGCAGAATTAAGAGATGGCGCAAACGCAACCAGCAGGTAAGTGTTAAGCGATGTCATGAATGCGGATTCTTTTAAGTGCTTTACACAATCAATTATCAGCCAAACGAGTGAAGCTGGAGAAAAAGCCGGTTAACCCCGCCGAGGATGATGGTAAATAATACCTCTAAACCTCATTCCAATGGTTTTTTTTTTGATAATAATAGCCTTAACCATTGACAGAGACGCCGTCCGTGTTCAATCCGAAGTACAGGGTGTGTCCCTACTTGGACACCATCAACCGCAATCTGCTGGACTTCGATTTTGAAAAGCTGTGCTCCATTTCGCTGACCAGGATCAATGTTTATGCGTGTCTGGTGTGCGGAAAATATTTCCAGGGGCGTGGCACCAACACCCACGCCTACACGCACTCCGTAGGCGAGGCGCACCACGTGTTCCTCAATCTGCACACGCTGAGGTTCTACTGTCTGCCGGATAATTACGAGATCATCGACTCCTCCCTGGACGACATCAAATACGTGCTGAATCCAACGTTCACGCGGCAGGAGATCAGCAAGCTGGACCAGCTGCAGCCGAAGCATTCGCGAACCGTGGACGGAGTGCTCTATTTGCCCGGCGTCGTTGGTTTGAACAACATCAAGGCGAACGACTACTGCAACGTGGTGCTGCATGCACTGTCCCATGTCGGTCCACTCAGGGATTACTTTCTGCGCGAGCAGAGCTATGCACATGTCAAACGGCCGCCGGGCGACTCCATGTTTACGCTGGTCCAGCGTTTCGGCGAGCTGATGCGCAAGATGTGGAATCCGCGCAACTTCAAGGCGCACGTTTCGCCACACGAAATGCTCCAGGCGGTGGTGCTGTGGTCCAGCAAGCGATTCCAGATCACCGAGCAGGGCGATCCCATTGACTTCCTGTCATGGTTCCTCAACACCCTGCACCGTGCCCTCAAGGGCAACAAGCAGCCCAACTCCTCGATCCTCTACAAAATCTTTTTGGGCGAAATGCAGATCTATACGCGCAAAATCCCTCCCGTCGAGCTGGACGACACGGCCAAGGCGCAGCTGCTGGCCACCGAGGAGTACAAGGATCAGGTGGAGAGCACCAACTTCATCTACCTCACCTGCGATCTGCCGCCGCCGCCGCTGTTCACCGACGAGTTCCGCGAGAACATCATTCCGCAGGTGAATCTCTACCAGCTGCTGGGCAAATTCAATGGCAGCGCCGAGAAGGAGTACAAGACCTACAAGGACAATTTTATGAAGCGCTTCGAGATTACCCGCCTGCCGCAGTTCATTATTTTGTACATCAAGCGGTTCACCAAGAACACGTTCTTTCTGGAGAAGAATCCCACCATCGTCAACTTTCCCATCAAGTGAGTTTTTGGCTGCGTTACTTATTATGGATAGATAATGCATTCAAATGCTTGCTGCTTTTCAGGAACGTGGACTTTGGAGACATTCTGGGCATGAGACAGCGGGACAAGGACGTGAAGGACACGAAATACAATCTGGTGGCCAATATTGTGCACGATGGCGATCCCAAAAGGGCACCTACCGCGCCCACATCCTGCACAAGGCGAACGGCCAGTGGTACGAGATGCAGGACCTGCATGTCACCGAGATCCTGCCGCAGATGATCACGCTCACCGAGTCCTACATTCAGATCTACGAGCGGTGTGCGGACTCCTCGTGATCCACCTGACTTGCAGTCACTCCTAGCTGTATTTCGATTAACAAACTCCACCATCCAAAAGTAATATATGCTGTAGTCGAGTGTAGCGACTATGAGAGGCCCTTCAATAGGACAATTTTCTGTGTGTTTTAAATGATTATGAGGAAACCAGCGGAATAAGCTACCGCATATTTTAATTTTACAAGCTTTTTATTTAGCGTAAGAACTTTGTTTATTTATAAGCTGTAAGCCTCGGGCATCAGCTGTGCTTCAAAATAGCTAGCGATGCGCATGCGTTGAGCCCACTCCACCGCTAAATTGGCGGATTGGGGCCATGACCAGCAAAAAAATCGATGCCCTGCGACAGTCGTTGGGCGACAGAGGCGTCAGAAGCATGTCGGAGCAGACGGAGAACACCAGCTACGAGCAGGAGTGCCAACGGGCGGAGCTGCTGGGCCTCCAGCCGCCAGATCCCGAGGAGTTCGAGCGAAAGCGCCAGGCGCGACTGGAGCACGAGTTGGCCGAACAGGAGGCCGCCGAGGCGGTGGTACGTAGTGGTTAGAAGGCCAGGTGAATCGCCACCCCACTCACCCTCCCTCTCCAGCTGCTGGAGCAACAAGACGAGAGCCTGGGCAACGTGGGCGGCAAGCTGGGCGAGCTCAATAGCATCCTGTCCAGCACGCAGCAGAAGCTCAATCGCTTCAAGCAAACGGCATGCGGCAGTTTGACGAACATATTTGCTCGAGCCAGCTCGGGTTCCGTGGATCTCTCGGCGGGCGTGGGGGGATCGGGAACGGGTGTAGCAGCCAGCAGCCAGGAGGAGCGCCCGCCTGTCCAGGATCAACCGCTGGCCAAGCCACCGCCAACGGCCGCCGAAGTGGCCGCCGCCAAGGCGGCCAAGCAGAAGCGCATGGACTCGCAGCTGGACAAGTTGGACGCGTTGATCAACCAGGCGGATAATGCCCAGATCGCGATGAGCGAGCAGACCCAGCAGATGCGCCGCCTGGCCAAGTGAAAGGGTTCCAAGGGATATAAGGTGATCCATCAGCACTTCAATATTCACACGAACACCACAACCGAAAAAAAGAAGCCAAGCACTCGCTAGCATTTGTGAAATGAACATCTATGATTCCAACTTTATTTACCCTCACTCTTCAGGTGATCCTCGTCGCCTGATCCTGGCCAGCCTTCTGTCCTCTTCTTTGTTTGGATGAACACATGAGTTTCGCTTAAAACTAAACACAAGTTGAGATTACCCAAAGCGTCTTCAATCACATTTATCGAGTGTGCGGACAGTGCGCGCCATCACTCTTCAATGAGTCCGCAGAGTCTTACATTCCCGGCGCGCACTGCTCTCCCTTACATTCATCTCGTTGACTTTACACATAAATATAATTAGGTATTTATATAGTTTACATCGGAGTTTTCAAAAATATATAGAGTGTTTTCTCGACAATTCGTTGTCATAGTTCAAAACTGAATTACAAATTTGACAATAATAGTTTCGTTAAAGTATTCGTGTAGTTGAATTTATAGTCAACGCTCTCCCTAAATTTTGATTTTGAATACAGTGTTACTGAGTTTGGGTTTCTTGAAACAAATTATAACATATAGAGTATATATACAGAAAGTATGACTTCATTTCATACACATTGATTTTTCTAATTTACTTTTATTTTCATTATACATTTTTTTTGGTAAGTCACATTTGTGGAAAACTTATTTTTTCAGTTCTTTGGATATATAATATTAAATTGAATATTTTGAATATTTCAATTCCGCTTTAAATATTTTGCTACTTTAAAATAAAAAGGGAACGTCAAAGTGTATAAAGGAAATAACTACTTTTTGATTACATGCGCAGTACATTTCGGAGCTGTAATTATCGGCCTTGGCCTTACAGTCACGGGACTCACTGTCTTTGTGCTAGCGTACGGAAGCATTGTCCACCACTTAGAAATTGTTTATCCAGCTAATACTTGTTGCAAACCGTTTGTTAAACTATATCAAAATATATACGAACCGATCGAGAGTCAAGTAATAAAATCAAATTTTTCTCCACAACAAACAAAGGCTGACTTAAATAAATAGTCTAAGAGAAAATGTTCCTTGATACTAATCTAATCCGCTTGGTCTTATCTATCGTTTTTATACAACCATCAACAAAAGCAAAAGATCAGAAGGATTTATCCAACAACTTATAAAGGTATTATAGGATGGATGTGAAAATTATATTCAACGTAAATGTTGGTTGAATTATACAAACATAAAAAGAAGATAGCTTCGGCAAGCCTCGGAAGCTTAAATACCCTTGCAGTCGAAACTAAGATCTAGATTCATTTATGAACTGTGTGTGAATTTATGTACATTTTTCCATTAGACTAGAAACAGCAGACGGACAGATCAAAAATATATACTTGCTGCATTGCAAACTTGTGACAGAAAGGGTCTTTTTAGAAATAACTCTTCTTGAGTAGGATATTGAAACTCATAAGCAACTGTCGCTTCTTATGTCTACAAAGTTAAGGACCAGGACGGTTGGTTAAAAAATATATGAGAGGGTAACTGGATACAAATTAAATGAACTTTCAGAGAACTAATATCCTTTGCAGATGTGTTTGACCAAGTTAGTTTTCAATCAAAGATCAGCAGCCATGACTTTCGACTTACGAACTAAGCAGAGGATTGTAACCAAGGTACTTGCACTACTTATCCTCCGAGGAGGCGGACGAGGAGGAGGTCGACATCTGGAGGCAGGAGCGCGGAGGTGTGGGACTGCGTTTGAGCAAGCTCATCCGCTTGCCAAGCGCGTGGACCTCCAAATCGCTGTCCGTATCGGAGTGCTCATCGTCGCTCTCGCTGGCATGTCCTGCATCCGTCTCGTACTGATCCTCCTGCTGTTTCTTGTCTGGCGCGAGACTCAGGTGCTCCAAGAAGGCATTCGTGGTGATGGCCACACCTTCGGGTTGCTCTTCGTTCTCGTAGAAGAAGTACGACAGCTGCAGCTGCTCCTCGGCGGAGTTCACGCGCCAGGCGTGCGGAATCAAGTGTCCATTGAATTCGAGCCGTTGCTGCAGTGCCAGGAACATATCCGGCGAGATCTCCATCTGGGGCAGCGTCTGCTGGTCCTGCCACTTACTCAGAAGCGGCGAATCACTGCCAAAAACTCCGTAGTACAGCTTGCAAGCGCGATAACAGCGCAATCGTTTCGAGTCCGGCTTCTTGCGACGCAGCACGCGCAACTGCGACTCCACCACGTGCAGGAACATGCACTGCTGCCTGCGACTGGGCAGCGAGGTGACCAGCACCGCGCGACTCGTGCTCAAGCAGAGCTGGGGCATCGGTTGGGGCCACAACGAGTGCAGGAGTCGCTTGACCAACTGCGTCAGCGTGGAACTCTGGAAGAAGTGCCGCTCGGGGGCACCTGCTGTCGCTCCCTCGGGCAGCCAACGCACTGCATCCGCCCAGAGGCGGGCGGCGGCCCCGTTGAACATGGTCAGCCCCAAAAACCGCATGCAACGCTTGCAATACAAGTGCTCCTCTCGGTTGAGGATGTACGGATTGCTTGCGCTATAGTTGATGACCACATAGTTGAGGCCATAGAAGAGATCGGCTTCGGCGGGCACCAAGCTAACTGGTTGAGCATTGCAACCCGCGCCATGGTTGTGGCAGAAGAACTCCCCGGGATCCACCACGCAGCTGGGGAACTCCCTCAGTCGGCGGTAGATCCTCGGCTCCACCAACACCGCCCGGCAGTCGCGGCAATTGAGCGTGACGGAGTCCTCACCCTCCCGGCAGGAGAGAAGCAGCGGCGCCAACGGCACCTCCACGCAGCCACCGTCAACGGCGGACAAATCAATCTGGTTGTAGTTGAAGCGGAAGCTTATGTGGCGACCGCTGACCATTAGGTTCGATATGCAACTGATGTCCATGCCGAAGTGATCGTGCCGGATGAGCAGCATCTCGTCGGGGTCCTCGCTATCGCTCTCCGAGTTGGAGTCCTCCGGATTCTCTCGCTTTTCTGGTTTCTCGCTGATGTAAACATTGCATTGCCGGATGACGATGCGCGTTTCGTGGCCCTGCGAGATCTGATGATCGAATTGCAGGAAGGCAACGCCGCTGCGCAGATTGGGACGCAGCTCGATGCACAGCCCGGTGATGGGCATCTTGTCCTGGGCCCGCAAAAAGCTCGGAAAGATCGGGGAAAGCCAGAAAAATATTGTGCGAATCTTCTAAAGCGCCAAAAACTGTGTTACCGTTTGATTTATGTCTGAAAATACCACAACTTGAGTGCTTAACGGTGCGAGTCTCTGCTTGTGTTCGAAGGCATTCTTCCCAAAATAGGGGTTTCCCCAAAAATATAGGGGAATTTCGTTGGCTTGTAGTGCATTTTAAAATAAACTGTTATTAAAAAATCTGTTTTTAAAGTGGGCCCCATAATTTAATCTGACAAATATCAATTTTGTTTCAGTTTTATGAAAACCACAGAAGGCTTTTATTAAAAACGCACCTGTAAAAATATAAAACAAAATTAATGTTGTATGAATTATTACTAGTGAATTTACTAATGAAATTATTTTTAAATAACAGTGTGCGCTGTTATTTATTAAAGGAATATTTTCATTCTATTGTACACTCTTGACCTAACAACAATCTTTTTTCTTTGATTTAAATATGTACAATTATTTTCAGCAAAAATTATTTTAATTTTAAAACAGCGAGTTATTCAATCGAGGATATAACCGTCATGGAGACTTAGAAAGAAGAAATTTTGACTAAGCCCAGTCAGAGCTGCACTTACAGATTCAGTTAAAGGTGAAGTCAGAATCTGAGAGAAAGCCTGGGAGCAGTCTGAGGAGAAAGACCAGAAATGAGAAAAGGGTTAAAAATCCCTATTATGTTTATTGCACAAAGAATCTTTGAAAACGATCGATGGCGCGAATAAACGGGGCAAGTCCGACCCTTGAACCTTGTGCGTGGAAAATATGGGAAGGATTTTTTAGGGCATTCATTATTGGTCGAGACCACTTGAGGAAAAGCCATCGCGAGTTATGGTAACACTGACCGAAGCAAAAGAGTCGACGATGGGTAAAAACAAAGCCCCGTGCAAAAGTGTCCGAAAACCGTGCGTATCATCAAACAAATCGTAACTCGGCCAGAAAACTCAAGAGCCGCAGTTCTGGTGGCCGCGTGTGCAGTGCCGTTTTAATTGTCGGTAAACGCGTAATCCACTAAAAAAAGGATTTTTTTTTAAAAACGTTCCCCTTAAACGCATTTCGTTCACACTCACTGACACACACACTCGCAAACAGCAGACAAACACAACGCGCAGCGCATATACACACAAAGAAAAGAAGTCAGTGAAAATCGACAAGCGCACGCATGCACACACAAACACACATAGACATACACGCAGGCGAAAAAGTGTTGATATATATCCAATATATTGATGTTGTGTGCACCGTTGTTGTTGCTGCTACTGCTGTGTGAGTGAGCGAGTGACAGAACAGCAAGAGAGAAAGGGGGAGAGAGCGCGCAGGATAAAGCGAAGATGAGCCACAAAGCAAAGGAGTGAAAAAATAATTAACGGCGAAGAGAGTGGAAAGAGGAGTGCGAAGTAAAAATTAGCAGCAACAACAATAACATCAACAACAACGACTAGGGGTCCCCTACAACAACTACAACTTCTACAAAATTGGCCCTCTCATTTTGGCAGTCGCATCGCCCCTCTCGCTCTCTCTTTCGGTGGGGGATACGGATACGAAAAAGTTCTCATGCAACAACAACGACAACAAACAATAGCAGTCGCAGTCGACGCGGGCAGAGGCAGAGGCAGCGACAGAGACCGCGGCGCACTGAACGTATTTTGTACATATAAACAAAAATAGTTTTAAAGTCAAAAATCTAAAGTTACAACTTAAACTAAAGGCCCTAAGCATATATAAATCTACAGTTAAATAAGTAAATTAAAAACGGCAAGCAACTCGAGCAGATTGAAAGGAAGAAACACAGAGAGAGAGTGAAAGAGAGAGAGGAGAACGCTCAAAAGAAATTCGCCTTTTACACGATTTTTAAATTGAGCGTTTTGGCAGAGATCCATTATACATCCATCCAAAAAGAGAGGAGAAAGAGGAGAGGGAGCAAGAGAGAGTGAAGAGCAAAAACAAACAAGGAGCAACTGTAAACACACACAATCTCAGCTTCACGCTGGCGAATCGCAACGGCAGCAACAACAACAGAGGAGGGGGCGGCGACGCTGGGGGCGGGGGAGCAGTGCCCGCCGCTGCCCGCAACAACAACAATCAGAACAACAACCAAAACGGTAACAACAACAACAACAATGGAGGCGGAGGAGCGGCTGCAGTCGGCGCTGGCGCCGATGGAGCAGCTGGCGGTGGCGGAGGAGGTGGGGGAGCGGGACCTGCAGGAGCACCGGGCAACGAATGGAATCCCGAGGAAATGGACCGCTTCAGCTTCGACGACTCCATCCGCTTCGAGGAGGATTCATTGTGCAGCTGGAGCTCCGAGCCCGAATCGCTGTGCAACAATTGGCGCGGCTGGAAGAAGCCCGCTGCGGGCAGCGGCATGGCGGTAGGAGGACCCCTTCCCTTCGTGGCAGGTGCCTCCGGTTCTTGTACACCGGGCGGCACTGCAACGACCATGGGAAACATATCCACCTGCGGCAGATATTATGGTAAGTACGCCTCCCCCTGGGACTCTATATTTATATGTCCATACAAGGTCTTGTATACAATTCCTAACTTGTTTAGTTTACTAGGGATATGTTCTATTAGTTTGTGGCCAGATCAAATTGAAATCCATAGCAAAACAATAAAACAGTAGAAAATAATTATGGTTATAGAACTATTACAGTGTCCACTCAGTTTTTATGAGAAATATCTAAAGGATAATACAGGTCAATAGAGTAAGTTAATACTTCAATTTGCAGTAATTAGTTTGGTAGTCAAAGAAAAAACAGCATGATTGATTTCGATGTTTTAAGAGCTCTCAAATAGTTTCTGTCTTATAAAAATAGATTAAAAGAAGCACAAATAAAACGGAATCATTATCTACTTAAATATCGTTTAAATATGTTGTGGAAGACAGATAAGACTGTTTTTAACCCAGTATAAATACATAAAATTGCGAAATTAAAATTGTGTTAAGGATTTGGGCGCACTTTGCTTGTCTGCAATTATACGCGTTACCTTTTCGCTGTTGGTAAATTCTGTAAAATTGGCTTTAGCACAATAACAACTAGCAGGCTGTAATTGTTGTTGGTCCGTCTGCAATTGTCTTTTTTTTCGTTTTCCCCTCACCTTTCCCCGAAGTCCTCTGCTTATCGCTAAAGTCAAAATCACGACTTAGCTGCCAACGTTTTATTTTCTTTTACCTTGTTTCTTTTTACCTTTTTGTTGCGTCTCCTTTGTCTTTTTGTGGCTTATTACGTTTGTTTGTGTACGACGAGGGCATTGTTTTTTGGCCTGGTAAATTTTTTTTTTTTTTTGCCTTTACACGGTATTCTGTGCGCCGTCGCAGCATTATCATCATGTAATATCTGGATTTCTGGCTGCGACTGCGCAGTTCGTCCTCGTCCTCATCGCTGTTTTTCCTCTATTCTTCTTTGTCATTTACCCATCCACTGCATTCCGTTTGCTTCTTGTTTGCACGAGCATTTTTTCGTTTGGGAGAGAACAAACAGGACTATATTTGGAAGGGGGAGTAAAGGACTACACAGAGCGGGAGAAATGATTCTCGATCCATTAGGTTATCTTCCCCCGCTAGCCAGGGTTGCTAAGTTTCTAATTAAAAGATTTTTTAGAAAAGAGGGACTATTTTAGTTATTTGGATGAAGTAAAACAATATTTTAAATATAAACACTGTTAGTTAATTGAGAATAATATTTACTTTTCTAATCATTAAAACAAACTGGAACGGAATGAATTTCTTTTTCCATTTCTGGAAATGACTATTTTGATCATCACTAATCGAGCATACCATTGCCATTTTTTAAATTGTTAATGCAGAATAATTAAGAACTGAATCATCAACGGTTGAGGGGGCTCCACATAAATTGCTAACGTGATGGGGCTTCTTTTTGGCGGGGAAATAGCTAAAGTGGTAACCCTGCGGCTAGTTGTGTGTGTAAACGCAAAGCCAGCTGCATTTTCATGCTCGAAAGACATAATAACCGCAACAAAAAACTATATAGCCTCAAAACGATGTCGCTGCTGCCAGCTGAAAGACGCTGACGTCGACGTCGACGTCCGATATGCTGAGGCGTCTAGAGCCTCGCTTTGTTGTGTCAAAGAACCTTTTCAAGGATACCACCACAACCTGCCCAGAGGGGATGTAATAAAAATAAAGACGGCTACGCGGACGAGAGTCCATTATTCCCTTCACACCTTGCAGCTCCTCTGCTCCCGATTCCTCTGGCTCCTTAGATGTACGAATGTATATATAGTTGTGGTTCTTATAGTTGACCGGAAACTGACTGATTTGATCCAGAGTTGTCATTTCTGTGATTTGATTTCTGCGGCTGAGGTTCTTTTAGGGTTTGTTCGCGAGTGCGGATATTGAATGACAGCTGTGCTTAAGGATTCCTTTATATAATATTAAATACGAAGGAAAGTGACAAGATCTGCCCTGTTGAAATGATTAGGTTTGATTATCAGTAGTAGTTAATAGTTTGGTGTGTTAACCAAATTTATCTTAAGACCTCTGGAAATCGAAAATTTTATTGCTTCCCTTAGTGTATATAATGTAAAGAAGTTTGTATTCAAATCTAATAAGGTCTAATCTGTTCTTATTAGGATCATAGATGTGTAAGGTTTATTGTTTAACGCTTAATATATGATTTGGTGACCTCGATTTATTTGAACTCAGTCTGCAGCTGTTGCATTAGGAACCCTGATGATTATAGTGGAACTTTTACTTTATTACTTTATGAATGTGCCTTATATTAGGTTTTTTGTGACCCCAATCCGTTTCCATTTAGAATGTAGGTCTTGTAAGACCCCCGGAGCTCACGAATGAAGTTTGTTCGCAGTGTGGGAGCGACGAATTTGCATCTGTATTTAGGCAAGTGATTAAACGCTGATTTTAAAAGTTGGTGATCAAAATCCATTTTGTTTCAATCCATAACTCTTGCAACAAGACCCCAGGAGGTCCCAGAATGAGTTGATTCACAGAACGAGCCCCGCATGAACTTAAAGCGTTGTCGATGCGATGCAATGACCCCGAATAAACCGAAACCGTGGAATGGTCACGCTGCATTGCTGACAATGCAACTCCGTGTCCGTGAGAGAGGTGTGTGCGCCCCAGTGTGTGTGTGTGTGTGTCGTAGTGGTGTGCGTGCCTCGAGTGACTGGCGGCGTTGCCACATGTCATCATCTAATTAGTGGGTCGAGGCTCGGTGTCAATTTCGAACTGAAACTTAAATAGCGACCAGCTGAAGCCGAACCCACGGGGCCTGCAATTTCATTTTTCACATTTTTTCCGCCGTGCATATCAGTTTCATGCACTTCCGCAGCCAAAACAATTGCACCAACATATGCAGCACACACGTGCAGAAATGCTTGTTGGCACTTTGACCCCTTTTTTTGCGTCAGTTTATTTCGTATCCAAGCGAGCTTTTTTGCCCCCGAACAACCTGAATTTTGTCGTTGGAAACACAGCGGACAAAGCCAAAAATATGAGGGCAAAGCAAAAAGATCATTTTCAGCACATTATCATATACAAAAGTCAAAAGAGTCAAAGGACTGGATGGTTTTTGTGCTCTTGACAAAGTTTTATTTACTTTAAACTTTACTTCAAATACCACTCTATATTTTTTTTTAGTGCACGTGAAAAATGCTGGTGACTCAATTTGGTTACCCAAGCTCTTTCAAAGATTAGCCAATTATCATAAGCGTGTGATAAATGATTCTTTCATGGGTTTGAGAAATCTTTTATAGAAAGCAAAATGAAGTGATGATAGGTTAATTAGACTTCGAAGTAAATAAAATGTAGTTTTAAGTATGCGATGTAGGTACAATTATTGTTCAATATTTATTTGAAGAGTCGGTACAAAATAGTTGATGCGTAATGAAAGGTTTATTTTATGGGGGGATATTTAATATTTGCTAAATACGGAGTTGGGGGTCGTAATGGTAACCGGTAACTGGTGTGGCGAATGCATTCGCTGTAGTTGGGCACTTCAGCACCTCTTGCTCAACTTTGGCGAGTTCGTTCAGAAATAACAGAAATAACTGGAGCATGAGGCTGTTTGTTATGTATTCTCCTTTTTTTTTTTATTGTTACATTTTTTGTTAGTGCGATGCACGGAAATGGAAAACAAATTAAAATGCAAACAAAAACTCAAAAAGGGAATGCAAGAGCAAGCCGAGTTCAAGCCAAGAGTAAACCAGTTTGAAGGGGAAGCAATAGCCTTGAATCCGCTAAAAAATAAAAGAGCACGAATAAATACACGAATCGGTTATTAAACCTTCTTCAATCAAATCAATCTGACTCATTCGGAATCGGCTAAGCCCCTTACCTGCGGGCTTAGCCGATATTTCAGCTGAAAAATGCGTTTAATTCAATTCTCTCCCCGCTCTGAACACTAATATAATTAAATAAATTTATGTTTACAGTGAAGATCAGAATAATGTATGTATTTTCGGTAACCATAAAAAAATATATTAAATGTTTATAATCTCTATGTTCTCATTAACCCACAAAAACATTTGTAACAAAGCTCCACAAATGAAGCTTAGCTTATTAATCTTTGATATTGGGAAAACGTTAATCTTTAGTTTGCGGCATCTACTATTTTTTTGACCACAGCTGTAGGTGTATGTATGCATAAAGGACAGGCGTGAGCAATAAGTTAGCGCTTGCGGAAAATGACTTTGAATTAAATGGTGCCATAGTGTCTGAAAATCAAGCGACGACAGAGCGATGCAGGAGGAGAAGTGGGGCGAGGGGGAGCCACGAAGAATGGGAGCCGGCAAACGAGCCGACGAACAAGCGAAAGAAAACAAACAAACAAACAAAACAATGCTCTCTGCCGTTAAGTGCTGGCGATTTGGCTTTAAGCCAATGCCACCTCTAGTTTAATATTTTAAAAATTTCTTAAACATATTTTTTTAAGTATTTCGAATAAAATTTTAATTTAATTATTTTATCACTATAGAATTTTTAAAAATACAAACTTGTATTCTCAAAAGCATGTTAAATTCGAAAGAAATAATTTAAACCATTTCTTCAAAGAAAGATTAGATTTTATATGAACTTGTGGATTTAATTTGTTTAAATGAGTATAGAATTTTACAAATATAGCATCCTTGCTTAGCTAGAACTCTTAAAAAATAAGAAACCATTTTTAGCTTGCACGTTGTTGCTCCAATAAAAGTGAACGCCAAGATAGAATCCTTAACTTGTGGTCGATACCCAATTAGTTGACTCACCATATCGTCCAGGTCTATCGATTTTATAATTGAAAGTGAAATGTGTGGGATCTGGTTATGCTCCTGGTCGAATATTTAATTCCCGTGGGCGAACTTGAATCTCGGTTTTTTCTTGGCGGCTGCATCATCAGCAACACCATATGCACCATATAATAACAAAGCTCGCTATTCTTTGTTTTTCTTTTGGGTTTCTTTTTTTTTTTATATATATATAGTATATTGTGTTGGCTCTTGTGTTTGTCTTTTGTGTTTTGCGTTCTGCGTTTTAAAGGCAATGGGAACGAGACCTTTAAAATGCAGGTCCCCTCTTCCATTGCCATTTGTTTATTTGCATGCCAATTCAGTGGATTTCTGTTTATCTACAGCTCAATTGCGCTGCAAAGATAATGACATTGGTTACGCAGGAGGAAAACTGCGTGGCTAAGATTCTCGGGCATTTCCCACGACTCCATCACTACATAACTGGGAATCGAATAACTTAACTATTGGGTTTATTTACTTAATTACGCGCGCAGTGGGGTAAACATTGAAATATAAGCTGTGCAGATTGCGGTTTCGATTGAAGTCTCAGTTTCCTCGTGAGTTGTAAATTTGTTTGGTTTAAAATTGAAAAAAAAAATATAGGCAAATAGGCATTTCTTATTATTCTTAAAAAAAACTTTTGTATATTTTATGTTAATATATTCGCAAGGATATTCTTTAAAGGATACATCATTTAATGGCAGACTAAAGACTGTTTGTTTGCATTTGAATTTTACCTATGATATTGAGATAACATCACTTTAATCTAATGTGCTATATCAACGCGGTATATTTAAACTAATTTTGTTAGCTTAACTAATTTGCATAGTTGTGCGGTTGTGCTCATTTCTCTGTGACCCTTACAAAAACCTCGTTGTTGACCTCTCTCTTTCGCTGGTCATTGGCCGTTCGCTTCAGAAAAAGTTCTTTAATTAATAAAACGAACGACATGTGTAGAAATGTGTGTCTGTGTGTATCTGTTTGTGTGTGCGAGTGTGTGTGTGCATGTGGCTTTTCCTCGCTTTGTTTGTGTTTAATTATGGTGGTTGAAATATGAAATTAGTCATTTGGCAGCTTCTTTAATTAATAAACATTTCGACTGCTTTCCTTTGTTTGGAAAGGGATTGCTGCCCGGTTAAATGATGTGCTTAATGTTTCAATTTTCCGCTTTTGAGGTAGGAGATTGTTACAAGGTAAACAAATATGTATCTGTATCTGGTATAAAATAATGAATAATGGTAATATAGGATACTCAAGCTATATCCCTAGAATAAAGTGTTCTCTCCTGATACGTTTTAAATAATTGTAGGAGTCACTTCTGCACTTTCACTTATTGTAATTGGTACTATAAATTATCCGTATCTCTTTCCCATTGCAGAAGTTTCCACATTGGCCGAGCTGGCAGCCCGTTGCGTGGCCTCCTACATACCGTTTGAGCTGGTGGAGCACGTTTATCCACCGGTGCCGGAGCAGCTGCAGCTGCGCATTGCGTTCTGGAGCTTTCCGGACAACGAGGAGGACATCCGGCTGTATTCCTGCCTGGCCAACAGTTCGGCGGACGAGTTCAATCGCGGCGATTCGTTGTTTCGGGTGCGAGCTGTCAAGGATCCTCTGCAAATTGGTGAGTATCCAACCTAATGACTCTCTGAATGGATACTTCTTAACATCCAATTCTAATCCCATTCCAGGCTTTCATCTGTCGGCCAGTGTGGCATGTCAGGCGCCGCGAGCCTACTTCAATGTGGCGGTCACCTTCGACCGGCGTCGCATCTCCTCATGCAACTGCACCTGCACCTCGTCCGCCTACTGGTGCTCCCACGTGGTCGCCGTTTGTCTGCATCGCATCCATTGTGTAAGTCCAGAATTGGATAAATACCTACAGATATTGTAGCTTATAAATTAGGAACCCTTTCTAAGAGCTCTTCGACCATTGCACTATTGATTGATTTATTGTTTTGTGCTTGCTCATGGTTTCAAATATTGATTGCACCCAACCTGATTTATTATTAAATTAGATTATTAAATCTAAGCAACCTTTTGCCTAAGCTTCTCACAAAAACGCTTTGTAATAACATTTTACTATGGCATTTCAGCCGCAGGAAGTCTGCTTGCGGGCTCCCGTTTCGGAGTCACTGACCCGATTGCAACGCGACCAGCTGCAGAAGTTCGCCCAGTATCTGATCAGCGAGCTGCCCCAGCAGATCCTGCCGACGGCCCAGCGGCTCCTGGACGAGCTGCTCAGTGCCCAGCCGACGGCCATAAACACGGTGTGCGGTGCACCCGATCCAACGGCTGGGGCCTCCATCAACGAGCAGACCAGCTGGTATCTGGACGAGAAGACGCTGCATAACAACATCAAGCGCATCCTCATCAGGTTTTGTTTGCCCGCGCCGATTGTGTTAAGGTGAGAGGATTGCGAGGTTTACCCTTTGCCGAAACCTTTGATTAACTTGTTTATTTCATTTTTAGTGATGTGAACTATCTGACGAACTCGGCTCCTCCGGCGACGGCCGAGTGGAGCTCCCTGCTGCGACCGCTGCGAGGACGAGAACCGGAGGGCATGTGGAACCTGCTGTCGATTGTGCGCGAAATGTACAGGCGATGCGACCGGAACGCAGTGCGTCTGCTGGAGATCATCACGGAGGAGTGCATGGTCTGCGATCAGATCCTCATCTGGTGGTTCCAAACGAAGCTGGCGCTCATGATGGGCTCACACGGCCATTCCGGCGGGAAGCATTCGAACACGCACTCCAATTCGACGGCTCTGCAGCATGCCTGCAGTTCGCTGTGCGACGAGATCGTGGCTCTGTGGCGATTGGCGGCGCTCAATCCCGGCCTGGCGCCGGACGAGAGGGACATGCTGCACGCCCAGTTCACCACCTGGCATCTGAAGATCCTCGATCGGGTGGTCAAGAGCAGGATGATGCCGTCTTCGTACACGAACAAGCACCAGCAGAATTCGCGATCCGAAACGGAGCTGTTCATCGGATTTAAGCCGGCCATTGAGGCGTGCTACTTGGACTGGGAGGGCTATCCCATTCCGGGTGTGACGCACACCCATGACACGAATCCCATCTATTACTCGCCGTTCACCTGCTTCAAGCACACGGACCTCAAGGGCGAGTCCAGCAATCCCGGCCAGCTGAACGCCACCCAGGCGCTGATGACGAACAACAAGCACTACAACTACTTCAGCGCCTCCAGCGATCACGGGATGCATGCGGGCGCCTTCAAGCAGCGCCTGGACAGACCCTTTCGTGAGTCGCGCTTCTACGCGAATCCCGCTGATCTGGAGGCCTCGGCATCACTGAATGGCGCCGGCAGCGGCGGAGGAGGAAGTGGTTCGGGCAGATTCCCCACGGGACTGGTTATTGTTGGACCCTGTCCCGGTGGCGTTGGCCAAATGAGTGGCGGCGTGGGCAACGCTGTGGGAGGAGCGGCGGCCGAAGCGAATCCCGTGCAGCAGCAGTTGCCCAGCGGATCGGCGGGAGTCGGTGCCTCCTCGGTGGCCAACTCCAAGGTGTCGACGGCAGCGGGCGATGGCAATCGTTCGAGTGCCAGCAGCGAGGGATTCTGCGAGAACGATGACTTCGGCGGCGACACCAGCAGCAGTCACAACTACTGTCCGCCGGGACAGGCGGTTGTGCCCGGCCAGAAATCGGCCCTGACGGAGTCCGATTCGCAGAGCAGCTTCGATGCCGTCTCGCAGCAGAGCAAGGACGAACCACCGGTGGTGGGCGGAGTGGGTGTGGGTGTGGGTGTGCCAGTGGGCGTGGAGCAAACGCTCTCCACCTCGGACACCTCGTCGGCCTCCTCGGCATCCTCGTCGGCGTCAACCGCATCGGGTAGCTCGAACAGCTCCACCTCCTCCATGCTGATGGCCGGACAGGAGGCGACCGTTGGAGTGGGAGGCGTTGGAGTGCAGCAGACACCGCGTCGCCTGAGCAAGGATGAATCCTTCAGCAGCAGCAGCGACGAGTTCAACCAGGGCGGACCAGTTGGCGGACCATCGAGCGGAGTGGGTGGCGGCGGTTCAGCGGCGGGAGAAGCCACACCGGGCGGAGGAGGAGGAGTGCCGGCTGGAGGAGATCTCACCCCAGTGCCGAGCACATCGGCGGCTGCCCGGGCAGCCATGGCGGCCACCGGCTCCTCGGTGCCCGCAATGCCCAGCAGTGGTGCACCTCATCTGCCGGGTGGCGCGGCCGGCGGCTTGGGTGTTCTGGGATTGGGCAGTGCTGCGGTGGATCAACCCTGCAGCTCGACTGCGCACGCTGCTCGAGCTTTGGCCGCTGCCGTGGCCATTTCCAGCGACAAACCGCACGTCTTCTCCAATGTGCGGCCCACGGAGGATGCCTGGGACATACTCCTGGCCAGAGCCGAGGGTCTCCATGCCCATGGCCACGGTGGCGAGGCCTGCATCCTGGCCGTTCGCCTGGCCGAGCAGATGCTGGCCAATCCGCCAAATCTGCTGCTGGAACTGCCGCCCGCGCCGAAGCGCAAGGGCAAGAAGCAGAACGTGAATCCCATCTCGCACCAGCTGACGGTGGTGGCCTCCGCCACGCTGTCCAAGTGCGCCTTCCTGTGCACCGTGCTGTCGGAGAACTCGGAGCACTACCACATCGGGTTTCGGATATGTCTGTTCGCGTTGGAGATGCCGCGTCCGCCGGCGAGCACCAAGCCGCTGGAGGTGAAGCTGGCCAACCAGGAGGCGGACATACTGGCCCTGCTCAAGCGACTGCCGCTGGGCGCCGCCGAGCTGCAGGTGATCCGCGAGCGAGCCGAGCAGCTGCGCAGCGGCACCTTCAAGACGCGCGGCGAAGCCCTGCTGCCCATCAACCTGGCCACGTTCATCTTCGATGCCCTGGTCACGCTCAGTCCGAGCGGAGGAACTGCTTCGGCCGTGGGAACAAGTGGAGTGGCCGCGACCACCAGTGGAGGAGGAGCAGCTGCTGCCACAAGCAAAGCGATTGCCACTCCCGGACCACGTTTGCTGCTCTACAAGCACAACAGCGACGAGAATCTGGGATTCGATGCGGCAGTTGCTGCCCTGGGATTGAAGGCCAACGTCTCGGAGGCGGAGCATCCGTTGCTGTGCGAGGGAACGCGACGACAGCGTGGTGATCTCGCGTTGACGCTGCTCTACCACTACAAGGATGAGCCGCGCAAGATAGCCAAGATCATGGAGAAGCTGCTGGACCGGGACATCCACACGCTCCTTAATGCACCCCTCCTGCCCGCCTACTACTCGAGCAATCCGCCGGTGCGGACGCCCAGCAACCAGCCAACGCGCCGCGAGGAGCACGATTACAGCGGCTCCGGGTGCCCCTCATCCAGCTGCAATCCGGTGGCCAATCTGTGCGAGCTCCTGCCCGCCGACTATGGCAGTGTGGGCGGGAACAGTAGGCCGCATAGCTCCACGAGTGCCGAGCTGGAGCTGAGCATGTGTGCGCTGAGCATGGCGAGCAATGGCAGCCAGTCGGGCGGTGGACAGGGCATGGTGCCCACACCGAATGCGGCGGGAACCACTGGGACACCGAACTCGGGCAGCACCACGGCCAGTGGAGGACAGAATCCCAATGGGAATCCCAGTGGCAGTGGCAACGGCGGCGGCGGAGGAAATGGCAATGGAGGAGGAGGCGGTGGTGGTGGTGGCGGTAGCTCCAGTCGGAACAAGGAGAGTCGCTACAAGGGCAAGCGGGCGTATCCATCGATACCCAACCAGCCGTCGGAGGCGAGTGCCCACTTCATGTTCGAGCTGGCCAAGAATGTGCTGACGAAGGCCGGCGGCAACAGTTCCACATCGCTGTTCACCCAGGCGAGCACCAGCCACAATCACCATGGACCCCATCGTGCCCTCCACATGTGCGCCTTCCAGCTGGGACTCTATGCCCTCGGCCTGCACAACTGCGTGAGTCCCAATTGGCTGTCGCGCACGTACTCGTCGCACGTCTCCTGGATTCTCGGCCAGGCGATGGAGATCGGAGCGCCGGCGATTAGTTTCCTGATCGATACGTGGGAGGCGCACCTAACGCCACCGGAGGCCGCTGGCATGGCGGATCGGGCATCGCGCGGCTGGGACAGCAACATGGTCTATCCCGCCGCCGAGTTGGCCCTGTCCGTTCTGCCGCATGCAGCTGCCCTCAATCCGAACGAGATCCAGCGGGCGATCCTGCAGTGCAAGGAGCAGAGCGATCTGATGCTGGAGCGCGCCTGCCTGACCGTTGAGACGGCGGCCAAGGGCGGCGGCGTCTATCCGGAGGTGCTCTTCCAGGTGGCCCGCTACTGGTACGAGCTGTACATGCGCAACACGCCGAACAACAGCGAGCACGAGCCGCACGACGACACCATGGACCACTCGGCGGTGAGTCTGAGTGTGCTGATCGAGTCGCACCAGCAGCACGAGCTGCAGCAGCAGCAGCAGCAACAGGCGGCAGTGCAGCAGCAGCAGCAGCAGCAACAACAGCAGCAGGTGGTGCAACAGCAGCAGCAGCAAGTGGTGCAGCAGCAGCAACAGATGGGCATGCCCAATCCCGGAGTGCCGGGTGGTGTGGGTGTGGGTGTGGGTGTGGGAGTGGGAGTGGGTCCCGGACCTGGACTATCGGTGCCTGTGCCACCGCCCGTCGTGGGATCCGTGCCAAATCCGCAGGGCCAGTTCCAGCCGGTGGGCGTGGGATCACTGGCCCCACTTGGACTGGCTCCCTATCCGCCGTACAGCTTCTGCCAGGGCTTGTACGCGCACCACCACAACCTCAGCTACTCGCCCGGCCAGATGCAGATGTACATCTCGGCGGGACCGCCGCCACCGCCGCAGGGATACGGCGGTTACCAGCAGGCGCCGCCGCAGCAGCCGCCCAATCCGCAGCAGCAGCAGCAACAGGTGGTGCAGCAGCAGGTGGTGCAGCAACAGCAGCAGGTGGTGCAGCAGCAAGTGCAGCAGCAGCAGGTTCAGATGGCCGGCCAGGCGCCGCCTGGTCATCCCGGCCAGCAGGGTCATCTGGGACAGCCGCCCACCGGCTTCCAGCAGCAACCGCCGCCGGGAGCTTTCCAGGCGCTGCCACCACAGGCCTACCAAGCGATGCAACCGGGTCCGCCGGGACCACCGATGGGTCCGCCGCAGGGCTACTACGGCCCTCCGCCACCACCGCCTCCGAACGGACCCTCCGTGGGAGTGGGCGTGGGCGTGGGAGTTGGCGTAATGCCCATGCGCCAGCACCAGCACCAGCATCCCGTCTACCCGTTCATGCAGCAGGCGCCGCCGCCGCCGCAGCAGCAGCAACAGCCGCCGCCCTCGCAGCCGCCGGTGCGACAGCGACAGCCGCATCAGTTCACGTGAGTAGAAACTCCTTCCCTTCCCTGTCTTCCTTTTCAGTGGGGTGATCAGTGATCACAGTAGAAAAAGGTCCACGACGATTATTTTCGGTATTCAGTCTACAACCAAAATAAAAGATCCAAGAAGTTTGGAAAGAGTACAAAGATCATAGGAGAAGTTACTCTAGAGTGCAAATCCAATTCAATCAATCAATTATTGTATAATTTTAAAACTCCTTAGCATGTTTTTATTTTTAATGAGGAAGTTATCTTCGCTATATTGTATACTTTCAAATTAAAAAAAAGAAGCTGGTTCGGGTAAACATCAGTGTAAGAATGTATTATAGATGGGATACATTGCCTTGATATGGAAATTTTCAATCCATCGTTTGGTGTTTAGATTCATTTAGTAAAGATAAAGAACTAAGACAAAATCTGTAACTGCTTTCAGTTGATCTTAAACCAAACATGACAATGTTCTTATATGTTTATATTTCCTTTGCAGATCCACCCAGCTGCGCTATCTGCTGGCCGCCTACAACGTGGGCATGCTGGCGATGGAAACGCTGGCGCGACGCGTCCACGACGATCGGCCGCAGGCGAAGTACGCCAGGAATCCGCCGTACGGCGAGGACGTGAAGTGGCTGCTGCGGATCAGCAAGAAGCTGGGCACCCAGTACCTGCACCAGTTCTGCATCTGTGCGGTCAACTCGATCGTGAGTCCGTTCGTGCTGCACGACGTGGCCATCGAGTCCGCCCACTATCTGGGCAGGAATAACCACCAGATGGTGATGCAGCACCTGCGATCCGCGCTCACGCCTCTCGTGCAAAAGTGCCAGCAAATGTAAGTGTTTCTCGATTCGAATGTTAATGCAATGACCTTTTACTAAAGTGTGGATTATTTTGTTTTTCATTTGGTGGTTAGGTACATCCAATGCATCCACCAGAAGCTGTATCATCTGACGCAGGGAGACTACGAGGAGTTCGCCAGCATTGTGGTGGCGGCGCGCGCCGCCTTTCAAATAACACCAGAGGGCAGCGCCCAATTTAAGGATTGGCTGCAGTCGATCAAGCGGTAAGATCTTTATTTCCAGAGAGCCAAAAGCTGTTACTTATTGCTTCTCCATATATATATATATTTATTTTTGCAGTTCAAAATCCTGCAAGAAAGAGCTATGGACCCAGATCAATGCGGCGCTGCAGAGCAACTCCAAATGACAAAGACTTGACTCCTGCAATCTGATGACGGCAGTGGCAACAGCGAATTTGGCAACAACGGCAGCAGCGGCAGCACCGGAATGCAAATCAACAGCGACGGCGGCAGTTGGCAGTGGCAGCAACAACATCATCAACATCAACATCAACGCCACTGGCAATCACAATCACCACACTCACAACAACATCGTCGGCAGTAGCAGTGGCCCAAGCAACAACAACAACAACGGCAACGGCGGCAACATAAGCATCGCAGGCATCTCAGACTCGGTGGCCGGACACAATCACCATCATCACCACCATCACCACAGACATCATCATCTGCTCGAAACGCCGGTCAACAGCTCGGCGGGATTGAACGCAGCAGTAGCAGTTGCAGCAGCAGCGGCAGCTGCAGCAGGAGGAGGAGGAGGTGTAGGATCAAACGGCGGACTAGCAACACCAGTTGGCAATCCGCCGGCAACAACAACAACAGCAACAACTGTGGTTGGCGCAACAACAGCAGGAATGGTGGGAGCAGCAACAGGAACATCAGGCACTGGTGTCGAGCGATCGGAGCGGCGACCACCGCTGCTGGGAGCACCGCCGCCAATGTCAGCGATTAGCAATAATAATAGCAATGGGAGATCGGCGGCAGCCGGGATGGCTTACCACTCGCTGATGCCGAATTACTATCCCAGCACACGGCAGATGCATATGCATAATCGGAGCCATGGGCATCCGCAGCAGTCGCAGCAGCAGCCACCTCCGCCACCCGGGCATAATCATCCTACCCACCAGCAGCCGCAACCACAGCCGCATCAGCATGCGCACGCGCACGCCCAACCGCATCCCCACCCGCATCCGCATCCACATCCACATTCGCATCCGCATCCACATCCACATCCGCATTCGCATCAGTACCAAATGCAGGCGCTGAGCCATTACCATCAGCAACTTTAACAACGTGTCGTTGGCACTGCCCTCCGCGGGCACAGGCCTCCAGCGGCTGGTGCGTCTGCTGATCCTGTTGCAGCTCCGTCGCTTTGGCGGACCCAAGCCGAGCAGCAAGTTGGCGGCGACGCCAGCGCCAGTTGTGCATGCCGGCGGTGAGCCTGCGCAGGAGCAACCCATCGCCTCCTGGTTTTGGCTCTGTTTCTGGATTTGGCTTTGGCTGCTGGCTTAGCTGCTGCTGCTGTTCGTGATGCTCCTCCTCTGATCCGCAGGTCCGCTCCCGAGTTCCCCTTCATCCTCCCGAGAACCACCGCACTTAGTTCATGTTAAACATAGTTTTTTATTTTATAAATTGAGTTTTCGTTAGGGTTTTTTTTCGTAATTAATCAAGCTATATATTTATACTTTACATGCATGGTGTGTGTGTGTGTGTGCGTGTGTGTGTTTGTGTTTGATGCGTACTTTTAGACTGATATATTTGCCAACAGCAACAACAACAACAACAACATCAACAACATCGGATAACCACACACAAAAGCATACACACACACACACCCGCGCATAGGAAAACCTATAAGATGCAAAGCTCTGTTTGATTTTTCAGAAATGTGTTCAGTTAAACTAACGTATTTATAGACGATCTATCAAATATTTTTCTACACCTACAGCTATATAAAACTCGGACTTATACATATATGCTTACGATCCTTTAACCCTTTATACCTATTACCTACCTACCTATATATAATTGAAAGTAACGCGACCCCCTCTTTCATCAAAACATCGGCATCGCGGATCGCAAAACACACGAACCTTGTCTAGTTTAGGCTAACGACTTTTCATTCATTGTTTCTATATATATTTTTAGTGTTAAGTAAAAAAAGATGAACGATTTATATACCTATGTACACCCGTATACATATTTAATACCTGTGGTTAAGCAATTTTTTAGGATTTTCAAATTTATTTGACCAACAATATCCAACACACACACACACACACCCAAACACGAGCATAATCGATGCCGAAGAAATTGTCAGCTGTGCAGTTTGTTTTTAATATTTAACTAGCAAAGGATCTCAACGAAAGTTCGTAATAATTTTTTAACTAAGCAAAATGCAACTAGAGAAAATGTGTTTGAAAAATTAGTAAGAAAAAAAATTATACCGAATGTGGGCAATGTGTGGTTGGATAAACTTGAAAGTCGCTTTAAAAATAACTAAAAGGTTTTTAAAACGATTTCACAGAGCCAAGTTAAACGCACGCCCACTGCCTGCAAACAGCTGCATCTGAGGGATATATATCTAGGTCTATACAGCTGAACTATAGATAGCAAATATTTCAGACAAACTGCCAGAATTTCTTATGTTTCGACTGAGGTAAAAAAAATGATACCTTTCCCCTTGTTCGTCTGCCTCTGTCTTACGCAATGTTAATGACAGAGCAAAGACAACAAATCGAACAGATTTCTAGATAACGCAAATCATTATGTTCACACACCCACACCCACACACACTTTTTATGATGTACAACTTTTAAATATATTTTTTGTTGGTGAAGAAAACAAGTTTAGCATCATAGGAGTTTCTATTTTTACAATTAAACAAACAAAAAAAAAAAAACAACACAAAACATGAAAAAAATATGTTTTTCGCTTTACAAATTTTGTTTTTACTTTGAAACATTTTCAATTATTTTTTTATGGCTTTATATAAATCCGTATATAAAACATACATATTATTAAAACATTAGATTCTTTATATTTATACACACAAGAAAAAAAATGCAAAACAACAAAAAAAGATGAACAAAAAAATTTTTTTTTATAATATACAAAAATGCTGTTTTGAATAAATATGGTTTTTTGGATTTATTTCAAAACGCAAATGAAAAGCGACAAAAAACAAAACAAAAACACAAAATAATTAATGTTTGTTTTATTTTCGTAGGTTTCTTTTTTCTGACCACATTTATGCTGATTTATTAAATAATTATTTCCTGCTATGGAAAGGCTTCGTTCAGTCGAAAAAATACAGTTTTCTGTGTTTAATTTATTCATTGCCTTATTATTAAGTTCTTTTCTCGTTCTTAAAATCCACCTCGGTTTTGCAGCCCATCCATTCTTTCCGAATCATTGCATCCAGACTCCATCCTATATTAAAACTATAAAAGGAAACTGCCACTTTCTTGAGGATTCAGTAATGTTACATAAATATTAAAAAATAAATAGTTATACACGATCGCAAGCCCCTTAAAAATCCCTGAGTGCAGGCGGTCAAAGGTTCTTTCAATCCGTGGATTTGTATTCGCCTCCGCCGTTAGAACGCCTCAGTCCCCGCTTTACGGTTGTAAATACGGACGATGTCTTATATAAGTATTGTAACTTCTTTGTGTTTTTGTATTATTACGAGTAGAGAAACCAGAAACCGAAAACCGGAGACCGGAAAACCGATGCCGATCCAGATCGATTCGGATTATTATTCAGATTCGAGTTCTGCAAGCAATCGCGTAATTTGTAAACTTTTAGTAGGCAGTGTTTTATACAAATACCGAAATGAACTTAATCTATTTATATAGTGAACGAACGCAATCTGTAAATTAATATTAACGAGATGTTTTTAAATTACATTATACATAGCTGACTTTTTCCGTGAAAAAAAACCAAAAAAAAAATAAGAAAATTGGAAAGGAGGAAAGACGACTTCTCGCTTTGTTCACCATTAATATTTGTAAAATATCAATAATCCCAACTAGCAAACTGATCGAAGAACGAATTGAAGAATATAAATATAGGAATGCAACCAATAGACAGATGGTGACCATTAACCCATTGACATGAACCACTCAATAACAATAACTTAAAAGCAAAACGAACAAAAACCAATAACATACAATTAAAAGTAATAATAAATGCGAACATAATGTTAACGTAGCCGATTAGCCTTTAGATCACATATAGCGCATATTTTAAACAAGCGTAGTGAACCAATTTCCAAATTAAACTTAAAAAAAACCCCACAAACCCACAACGCACAGATCAGAAATCACCGCCTTCACTATGACCTTGCCACAAATCTAGTGGCCTGAGGAAAACTTCAATTCCATTAAGATTAGCAATTCAGCAAAGAAAACAATAACTTTTTTTTAGGGTATTTATTTAAAGTTTATTTTCTTGCCAATTTTCCTTATTTATTTTCGGAATGAATTTTAATTGATGTTGAACTTAAAGAACTCTACTTTCTAACCATCTTTTTTTCTAATTTTTACATAATTTCAAACTAAATGAAAGATGTTTTGAGAAATACTTTTTTCATGACTTAACTTCCTCGGAAATGGTAATAGGATTTTATGATTCCCCCACACAATCAGCATAAAGATATATGCGCACAAGAAAGGCGTGTATAAAGCCATACACACCCACACCAACATGGACTCAAAATTTTGGAGATGATCGGGGTGTGGAAATTGTGCAAATTAGATTCCCGTTCAGATCTGCACTATATAGACACCTCTCATATATTTACAGATACATATATTTAAATTGACACGGAAATAAATTAATATTAATCTTAAGTCGGAAATAAAGCATTACCTCATACTTTAAAAACTTATGAAGACAGTTACAAGTAGAACACTCGAAAATATATAGATTATATACATTATACACATTAAATATAGGACATTTTTTTGTAGCAATCAAATTTAGGCTTTATGAAATTCTATCATTTATGAAACGAATTTCGAATATAATTTAATTGTTATAAGAGAGAGGGAGAAACGAAGGAAAGTGGAGTGGCACCGATTGAGGGATCGCCCAATTAAACCACAGGAAGAAAAGGACACTCGGTAGAGATCCCTGGCTTTCCTCTCCCGGAAACGGAATCCACCATTTTCTGGAATCGTTGATTGGCTCCATTCGTTACTCGCGACTCTTTGTACATTTTTGCACTGTAAAAACTAAAATATTAAATATATAAATTGCTTGCTAAAAAAAATTTAAACAAACGAATGGAAAACGCGCAAAAAGTTTATCATAATATATATACATACATACACACTTATATATATACATATATATATATACAATGAAGCGTCGTTATTTATATATACGCCTACAGAACATGCAAAAAAAAAAAAAACAAAAACTATTATATACAAAATATATACATACATATAAAAATATATATATATACAATACTTATTTACATTGCGTATTTTAGCGTTTTATTCGACATCAGAAAATAAAAAATAAAACCAAAACCAATTGTAGAGACGCTACAAAAGTGTTCTTTTTAACAAAAAAAAAAGTAAATAAAAAAAAAACGAAGAGCGGAAAATAGAAAATTAAAGTAAGCGACAGAAAATATTTATACACAAAGACGCAGCGGCAAGTTGAAAGCTTAAATATAAACCGATAGGAGAACAACAAATTTTTAGTTTAATAACTGGTTTACAAAACATAACACACCCTTTTTTTTACCAATCGCTGTAAATATCTAGCAAAAAAATAAAACACTTTTCTGGCGGGCCTTTTGGTTTCTTAAGATTTCATTTTGAAACTGTCTCCACTATTCGGCCGCAGCCCCCAGCCACGCCCCCCCGGAAACTGACACCACTACAATGCAAAGCTTTAATTCATTGCCACACACACATACAACACAACACCCACACTCACACACAGCGATGCTAAAGTGCTTTAAACAAACACGAACAATTACACGAAAGTAAATAAATACATTTCTCTTAAGTAAAACTAAAAACTTTTTACGAACAGACGAAAAACACAAGAACAGAAACTCTGCCAAAATCAAGCTAATAAAAAACTAAATTAAAAGCGAGGATTGCAACAGAAATCTTCATAAAAAATAGCAACAAATTGTAAACAAGAATATAATATGGAACTAACTAATTATACATAAATAATTAAAGTACTAAGGAAAAAGCAGTACGAATAATACGAACGGAAATTAAAAAAAGCTTATTTTATATATTCAAACATACAACAATAAAATAAACGAAATGACCATTAATGAACTAAATTATATATGAACAGATTATAAACCGAAATATAGTGTATATGAATGATTTTTAACCATGTAAAAATTGAACGTCTTTTTCGAATTTTAATAGTTTTCAAATGGTCCGAAGAAGGAGAAGAAGCAGCAGCGCACAAAGTTAGTGACCGAGCGAGAGGAGAAAGAGTTAGAGCAGCGCATTATTATTAACTAATTTAATATGCAATATATCTACTATATTAAAAAAAAAACAATACAAATAAATGAAAGAGGAAAATTAAAATATACACCGCAAAGGAGATCATAAAATGAACACATTTTAAAAACAATGAACATGAACGGAAGAAAAACAAAAAACACTCAAATAAAAAAACTGAAGAAAAAAGGAAAAAAAACTTAAAAACGGCTTGTTTTTTTTACTGTGGCGTACAAAGTAAATTTTGGAAAACTTAAATAAACCTAAATATGTATGTTTAATTTTTTGATCGCGAATATTACAGACCAGTAAATCAGTTATAAGTATCTTTTCTAATTTTCCATTAGGATTAGTATTCCTAAAATTTTTAAAGTTCTGCAAAAATATTAATTGGACTAGGTAAATTTATAGGTTAATTACAGTTTTGAAAATGCATACATTCGATAAGCATCGATGTTAATAGCAAATTGCAGAACACTAACTTTGAAATTTCGTATGTCTTTTTATTTGCCGGAAAATGTAAATCTAAAATCAGAATTACGACAGATTAAAATGTCGGGCTTCATTTCCTAATTCTTGTATTAAGCTTAAAAAATGAAACGTATATTTTCTTTTTTTAAACAAGTGAATAGATTTTTATGTTTTGGAGCCGAATTTCTAGGATTTCAATTTAAAATTGCCGTTTCCCAGACTTCCGGCACTATTTATAAAACATTACAAAAATTGGAACAGATTGATGCATCCATTTCATCCCCAAAAAATCGTCGCCATGACTTTTCATCTCTAACTCTGGTTAAAATTAATAACGCGCTCCTAAAAACTGCATTCAACTTTGATTTTATTTTTTGTTTTCCAAATCTAAAAAAAATTTAGTAATTAGTCAAAAATTAGTTTTGGCGCTCATTGTTAAATAATAACAACAACTTATGGAACAGCCCCTGTGTTTCAATATTAGCAAAAACCAATATTATATATATTGTCTTTAAAATATGAACTGCGACTTAGGTTAAAGATGCAAGCAGTTTATTAATAAGTTTTGGGTATATTTGCAGTATATTTCGGTGCAGTGCCGCTAATGACCCGCCCAATCTTTGGTATTTGCCGCATTCGCGCACGTTGGCCACATTAGTCCTACACTGTTGCATTTGCATTTGCCCCCACTGTCGAAAAAAAGCGAAGCGAAAATAAAGCTGAGCGCAGAAAATGCCAACCAAATGGTAGGCTAAACTAACCAACACGAGTCGAATCCCGAACCAGGCAATCCAGCGAACAGAAGGAGCAGAACGAGGACCAGCAGGTGACCACCACTGGAAAAGCGGAGCGGTATAGAGAAGCGCACTTGCAGTTTGCAGTTCGCAGTTGCAGTTGCATTTTGCATTCGCTGGCCGACATGAACGAGGAAATCGTGCAGCGTGAGCAGCGCGGCGGCGAAGAATCCGCCTCCTCCGTCTCGCCCAAAAAAGCAGCGGCAGCAGCAGCGGCAGCGGCGGCGGCCTTGGAATCCCAAATGACGACGACAACGACCGCCAGCAGCAGCAGTAGCAGCAACAACCCTGCCCCCGCGCCCACCACCAGTGGAGCAGGTGCATCTGCGTCTGGATGTGGAGGGCAGGAGAAGCAGCAGCAGCAGCAGCAGCAGCAGCCCCAGCTGAATGCCACCGATATGCGCGAGCTGCGCGATATCAAGCAACTGCTGTGGGGCGACAATGTGCGCGAAGATGTATTCGAGCGTTGGTCTCAAGGTAACCACCCAATCGACCCCACCACCCTTCCCACCAATAACCCACAGTGCAGCAACCCACGCAGTGCATCACCACCCCCCACACCAAGTGTAGACCAAAAAGCGCGCCCTTTTTTTTTGATACTAGCAAGGGGTATACCAAATTCAAGGGGGAACTTGACGCGCGACAGCTTAATTTATGTTTTCACTTCTATCCCTTATTGCTTAAAATATTATTTAATATTGATATTGATTACTGTTCGTGCTTTTGTTTGCTGTACCAATTGCAAATGTTTCCAATTTGAATGCTAATCCAGTGTGAAGGATATATAAAGAATATTTACTAGTCTAACTAGAAAAACCAGAAAGCCAACTGGGAAATTGAAAATATTTTTCGGGCTTAATTAAAATGCATTCCTTGGTAATTCAAGCAAGCAAATAATTAAAATTAAGGGCATACAAATTCGGTTAAAGACTTTGGCCTCATTTGTGTTTACTTCTCCTTGACTGATCAATCTGCTAATTTGAATGCTAATCAGAGTAAAGAGCATGTCCTAGTCGAGATTTTTCCAAGACTATCAGTGTATACATTACCAACGAACAAACGAATCCCAAGCAAAATCCTTATCAAGCACCACTCCAACTTATCCCAGGTCAGGTTTAATCTGTTTCTATTTTCTTGTGCCAGCAAGCAAGTCAACCAATAAAATTTTATAATAAAAATTGCCATTTTCTTTTTAAATTTCATAATCTTGTAAAATAGTTTGTTCAAAAAGGAATTCCTTTGGCATACTTGCATTACTTCAAAGTTATCAGTTTATTCAGTCATGGAATGCAATGAATGATAAATATTGTAGATATATGTACAATTAAGCATGTTATGTTTTCTTTCTTTCTTATCATCTTACATTTATATAGCAAAAGAAACATTCAAGTGCATAAAGCTGAAGTATATACAAAGTAACCTATTAACTGATATTGTATCCCCATTCAGGATTCGAGTTTAGTAAAGTGGAACCGTCGGCATTGGTGCAGAAGCAGGGCGGTCCATGTGCTGTGATAGCGCCGGTGCAGGCGTACTTGCTTAAGATAATTATCATGGACATGCCAGGCGTCAAGCTGTCGGAGGTAAGACTTCTGTTACTATCATAAAAAGAACCCAATATAATCAATCATCTGCTTCCATTTAGATTCCCCACGACAAAAGCCAAAACCTGCTGATCCAGGCCCTGTGCAACATCCTGAAGAACTGTCGGGCGCCACGCTACCGCATTGTCCATCTACTGCGCCGTCGTGGGAATGCCACAGAGAGTGGTTTAACCAAAGAGCGCTCGCCGGCCGCCGAGGCAGGAACTGGACCGGCTGGTCAACTGCTGGACGGCGAGGAGGCAGCCGGCGGTGCAGTCGAACTAGCGGCTGAAGCAACGCCAGCCTCGGTCAACGAGTTGTCCCAGGACTTGCAGCAGGAGTTCGACAACGATCCGCATCGCGAATTGTCACCGGATGAGTTCCACGAGCGCTTGCACACGCTCCATTTCGAGGATATCGCCTCCGTGGCTGTCTTCTATATGGAGAACTACGGCCAGCTGGCGCACACGTACGGCGTTCTGTTGTTCATGTACTCGGTATTCCTCACCAAGGGATCGGAGCAGGTGGCCGCCGACATATCCGACACGTCGGAGCCGCTGATACACAGCACCTACGGGTACGGCGGCCAGTCGCTGATCAACCTGATGCTAACCGGACGTGCGGTGGCCCATGTCTGGGACAATGAGCAGGATGTCGGTGGTCTGAAGCTGCGCGGCATCTGTGAGCAGAGTGACATCGGTTTCATAACGCTAATGGAGCAGATGCGCTACTGTACTGTGGGTTCCTTCTTCAAGAATCCTCGCTTCCCCGTTTGGGTAATGGGCTCCGATACGCATTTAACCGGTGAGTCAACCAGTTGTCTGTCTACCTTTGCTTCTCCACTACAACTCATGGTATTTTCTGCCCCTTAGTTCTGTTCAGCAACGAAAAGAGGCTTGTCTCACCGGAGACGCCCTCGGAGATTGGTCGTCGCATCTTTAAATCCTACGATCCGGAGGGCAACAATTTCATATCGACCACCATGCTGCGCGAAGTCCTTGCCGCACTGAATCTGGTCAGCGAGCCAGCCTAGTAAGCTTATTCACCTTTTCACTTAAAAAATTTGTTGATTAAATGCTTTCTTTAAGTGTGGCACTTATGCAAAAGCGTTTGGATCCGGAGAACTTGGGCATCATTCTGCTGAACGCCTTCATGGACGAGTTCTTTCCGCTGGAGCGTCGCTCCACTCCGGATACCTTCGAGCTGATGCACTACAATGGGATACCGGGCTCCAATGAAAACAATAGGGTGAGTTTGTTAGGTATAAAAAATATTTAAATTGAAAGAAATGGCGAAACTATTTACTCAGTGGCTTAAGCCAATTGAAAAGTTTTTATTTAATAAATGTAAGGTTCATAATTTATATATTATTCTTGCCTGCAGGTGCGTTACTATTGCGGGTCGGCCATTCTGCTAGAGGGAGATCTGAAGTCGATCTGCACCTCGAATCCAATGGTCACCTGCCTGCAGACCAAGTGGCCGAACATCGAGATCAACTGGCACGACGCCCATATGCCCTCCCTGAATTGACGACGTCAAGGGGGCCAAGGAAAACCAAAAGGAAGAAAGGCGCACCCAGGAGCTACTGGGATGGAGAAATTACAGCTGTAGACGCAAATGAATGCGATTGCACACTTTTATTTGAATCACCCTTCAATTGTTTACTTTTATTTATTTGAGAATGTTTATGAAACTGCTGGAGTGGAACGCACGAACCAACCAACCAACCAACCAACTAACAATCCTACAAGGAAGAGCCCGGCAGCTAAACACTAACAAATGCGCTTTTGAAGAGAGCAGCAGCCATGTTGAAGGATCCACAGGAGAATAGAAGATTTACGCCAAGCGTTGACTCACACAAAACATCAAAAAAAAAAAAAAAAACAACAAATATGATGCATAACTGTATGCAACATGGAAAAAATGCAAAAAAAAAAAAAAAAATAAGTGAAAAGGAGGGGAAAAGAAAAAGCATACATCTTATAAGAAACTAAAATTTAATTTCAAGAATTGTAAGTTTAAATTTGCATTGCAAAAACGAAACTCAACTAAAAATACAGGCAACACAAATATACCTTTATGAATAAACTAAAACTAAAGAACAAATCGTAATTGAGAATTAGGCAAAGCGAAATCGAGGCGACGCAGAAAGTGAGAGTATAAACAAGAATTTGTTTTTTGTTTGTAGTGTTAAAAAATTTAATAAAATTAAATTAACACACAGATGCATTAAAAAAACAGGGCGAAGAAGGGGCTAAATATTAACATCAAAACGAAAGAGACAGGGAATAAGAGAGAGCAAAGCAAAGATTACTTCGACATGAAAGAAAAAAAAAACTAAGATTAAACTAACAGAAATAATTCAATTTAAAAATAAACAAAAAACCGAAAATCTCAATAAAATGTTGTGCATTTTTTTGTATTGCGGAGTAAAGTGTAATTTTTACGACCACCTTTCTCAGCCGTTATTTTTGCTATTTCCTATATTTTTTTCTAATATTTCAATGGTCATAAATAGCGTATGTGTATGTACCACAAATGGCTTAATAACTCCCCTGTATTTAAAGTCCTTATCTTTATCGACTTTTGGATAACTACATCCCCTTCTTTTATTTTAGGTATTATACAAGATCGTTTGATTTAATCTACGATAAGCGAACATTTGGACCCAAGACTTGTTTTGTTTTTTTTAGAATAACTTTCCCATTACTTGTGATAACCCAACACCAAACCTAAATTGATTCAGTTTAAGATCGTTGCGCATAAGTATTAATACCGAAAAATTGGCCAGAGTTAATCACGTAACCAAATCAGAGATGAGATCCTAGAACTTCTTAAGTTGTCGTAAAGTGTTTACAAATTATTCCATGTTGCCTGAGTTGCTTATTACGAATAACTAAACATAAACAATAGCCATTCTGAATGTATTTATTGAAATAAAATTGAATTTAACTTTATTTTCGGCAATAGGTTTCTTATAAAACTGTTCCAACAACGATATAATAAATCTACTATTGAAAATACAAAATATTTTCTATCCTTTTTCGCTGTAAGAGCTCTATAGTTTTATTGGTTTTGCGAAAGGGTATACATATGTGTAGGCATTTTCCAGATCAAAAACTTTTATTTAAAACATACATACAATTTGTCACAAAAGTGTTTTCGCGTGAAGATTTTTTTATAAATTTCCCATTCTTATTAAGAAAAAACCACTATGCAATAAGTTTTGAGTAAGATTTTTTTTTATTTTACATTATTTATGTATTTCTTAAGAATACACAAAAAAACAAAACCTAAATTTTCCAACTAACAAAAAAGATATAACAAAATCAAAAAAAGTCTACATAATCTCCACTGTCAAATAAGTGTTTTCGTTTTTACATTTCTGGTGTTTTCTCGAATATTTTCTTCTAGAATATGCATTTTTCTTCTAGAATATGCTCTTAGATGATATAAATATGCACTTTGAGCTTTTCAATGTCAGTTCTCCGTACTTACATACGTTAATAGTCGTATAAATACATAAGTGTTTTACAATGCCGGGCAAAAGAGTTTCTTTTGATGTGATCCAATTGGTATATTACAACCATACCATTGGGAAAAGTACTGCAGACATTGCAAATATGTTTAAATTAAGTATAAGAACTGTCCAAAATATAATAAGTCGGGCAAAAAATGAGAATAGACTCGAAAATAAGCCAGTAAATGGTCGGCCGTGTAAGCTCTCAAACAGAGCTATTCGGATTATATTGAAAAAAGCAGACCAGAACCCCATGATCTCAACAAGAAAACTGGCTGAGGAGGTAAGGGAAGAATGTGGAGTGGATGTTTCTCATGAAACTATTCGCAGAACTATTAGGAGCCATAATTTCACATCCCGAGTAGCTAGAAAGAAACCCCTGTTATCAAAACAAAATGTTGAAAAGCGTCTTTCATTCGCTCAAACTCTTTTGGATGAGCCTCCAAGCTATTGGAACGACGTGATTTTTTGTGACGAGTCGAAAATAATGTTACATTATAACGAAGGACCCAACCGAGTGTGGAGAAAACCGTTGTGTGCCCTACAAAACAAAAACATTATACCGACAGTAAAATTCGGCAAGCTGTCCGTCATGGTGTGGGGGTGCATCTCAAGCAAAGGAGTGGGTGATTTAGTATTTATCGAAAATACGATGGATGCTAAACAATATCTTGAGATTTTAAAAACCAATTTGGTAAACAGCGCGAACACATTTGGTTTTGGGCGCAGCTTTAAGTTTTACCAAGACAACGACCCAAAACATAAGGCTCACAGTGTACGAATGTGGACGCTCTATAATTGCGGTAAGGTGATTGAGACTCCAGCCCAGAGCCCGGATATCAACCCTATAGAGAATGTGTGGGCGTATTTGAAAAAGAAGGTCGCAAAAAGGCATCCCACATCGCGACCAATGCTAAAGGAATTTATTTTAGAAGAATGGAATCAGATCCCAATAGATTATATAGAAAAACTAATTAATTCAATGAAATTACGGCTTGAAGCTGTTGTTAAGGCCAAAGGGCATCATACCAAATATTAAATAATATTAAAAAATATTATTATTATAAGATTAGCGTTAAGTAATCACCCAGTTCCTTAAAACGAAAACACTTATTTGACAGTGTTTGACTTTGTTGACTTTTTTTGTTTTTGTTATATCTTTTTTGTTAGATGGAAAATTTATGTTTTGTTTTTTGTGTATTCTTAAGAAATACATTAATAATATAAAATAAAAAAAATCTTACTCAAAACTTAATGCAAAGTGCTTTTTTTTTCAATAAGAATGGGAAATTTCTAAAAAAAACCTTCACGCGAAAACACTTTTGTGACAAATTGTATGTATTTCTATGCAGTTGATATTCACAATTTTTAGCAAAAAGAAGAGGAATCCACATCAAGTAATATAGTTTACAAATTAAACTTATTGCCTAAAAATAGTCTAGTAGAGTTCTCGTGCACGTTCTCTACTTTGCTGGCGGCCCATGAAGACCTGGACGTCCAGTCGATAGTGACGTGGCCTGCGGTACCGCCTCTCCAACGCGCCCGGCCTCCGATCTCATTTGACATCGAGGAGACTGCGCTGGAACATCTGCATGGCCAGGTTGCGAAGTCCTTCGCCGACGATTGGAACACTTCGCGGGAACTCGCATTCGCGGGCGGGCAGGCCGCATAGTTGGCGGCGCAGGCGCAAATCCTGGCGAGCACTCAGGGCTCGACTGCCCGGACCGCAGACATTGCCCACCAAACGCTGGCGCTCGGCGGCGGCACTCCGGAGACCCATTTGCACGCAGGCCAATGGCTCCAGTTGCTGCGGACTGGCCAGAAATTCACGGTAGTCAAACAAAGGTGGCGTTATCTTTGCCGGTGGCTCTTGGTCTCCCTCCAGCAGTTCGCGTTCCCTTTCGCGCTGGCGGCACTGCTCCTTCTCCAGGATCAACTTCTGGCGGGCCTCCTCCATGACGCGACGAGCGTAGCTTTCGCCAGCCATGCCGAACGAAATTCCCATGTCGAGGAGCACGCGATGCGGCTGCCAACGTTGCTTGGCGGATGTGCCGCGATCCACGCCCTGCTGCGCCGCCTGTGCCTCGGATGCCTGCTGCCTTGTCTCCGCTATCAAACCCTGCCAGTCCACGCCCAAAGCATCGCCAATGCCTGTAAAAAAGATTGAGTATTTAGTAGGTAGGGTTTCCAGTGCGTGAGTCATCGAGGTTGTCAACTCTATTGTTCCCAAAATGATATCATCAGTGCCAAATGCATTTGTTATATTTATAGACTCTATAAAATATTTACGATAAGTTACGTTCGTGACTTGCCTTGCCTTTTAAATTAGTTTGTTTTCGTTATAAATAAAATAGGTTAAACCTATTTTTAAATTGTTTTTCTCACTTTGCGGAAAACCGATGTTGAAGTGCATTTATGTTTTGCACCGAAATATATATGAAAATATATATATAAATTAAATACAAAACTTGTATAACTACTAACAGAAAATAAGTTTTGACATTTCTTTGAAAATGCTTGCAATCAATCAAATTTTTGAAGCGAAATAAATAAGATTTTCTCACCTTTGTGTCGGGCATCCTCTTCTAGTTCGCCATCGGATATCTCCTCGAAGTCCAGCACCTCGTCGATCTCCTCGCCCTTAATCGGATGACCAGCAACACCAAGGAGAGCCTCGCTCTTCACCTCATCCCCGTTGGCCTCCATCTCCTGGTCGGTCTCCGTTGGCAACTCACTTTTAGGGCGCACCTTGTCCGTTTTGTTGAGGATGTCGTCGTCGCTATCGCTGATCTCGCTCAGCTCACCCTCGACGGCGCTCGAACGCAGTGGCTCCAGCTTGATTGGATTTCCCTCGGAGGTCAGCGAGTGGTTCAGATTCTGCGAAGGCGAATCCTGGGCGCCGAGTTCCGGTGTGCCGGCGGAGTCCTCAGAGGCATCTTCCTGCTTAATGCACATCGTGTTCAGTTTGCTCACCTAAAAGAGGTTTAGAGGGGTTTTAATAATTGCAATCAAAACGAAACCAACGAGGAAACTATTACTAAATTAGTATCTTTAAACGTTAGTTTTACCATGCTTTTAAAATAAAAGGAAAATTAGCTAGAACTTTGGGTAACTTGCTTAGCACTCCCTAAATGACTGAACAATTCGTACTGAGAAGCTAAAGCTAATGTACCCATGAAGAAAACCGAAACCATTGACAGTAAATGCTTTGGTCAAAACCTATTTACACTTTTGGCCAATCAGAAGCTACCCCACATCCAGTTACGAATGTAAACATTACAAAATGAGAAGAGCATTGTGAAGAGTTGAGTGACGAAAAGGAAAGAAAGAAAGATATGGAAGCATTTAATATTCCACGCAGCTTATTCAGTACATGTTTTTGGAACGATCTCCGAGTCAAGTAAAAAAGCAATCGCACCTGTGCGAGTATTCCGGGATTTGTGGTCGCATTGGCGGCACTTTGAGCCGCCGCCTTGGCAGCTGCCACAGCAGTTGTTGCCGCAGCCACGGCGCTCGCTTGCGCGGCAGCATTGGTCGGCTTGCCGGGATTGAGGAGCGGGTTCAGCAGCGGCGTTTGTGTGGGCGAGACGAGCGGTGCATGGATGTGCTTCTTCAGGAACAAAGTGGAGCCGGGTAGACCGCCATCCCTGCTTGCCAATCCGCCGCCTTCGCGAGTTCCTCCGCCGCCACCACCACCGCCGTAGGGTAATCTCTTGTGGGGGAATCCCCTGGAGTAGCCACCCGGCGGCTGAACGGGCAACGTCATCAGCGGTGGCGGATGGGACCGATAGCCAGGTCGTTCGCCATGATCCCCGTGTCCGTGGCCACCGCGTCGGAATCCTCTGCCAGATCCCCTTTCGCCTCGCGGGTGAATGTGATGAATCGGCGAAACGGGACGCGGATGGGAGGGAATGGTCGGCACATCGTCGCTGTCCCGCCAATCGCCGCCAGCGTTGGACGACTGCTGCTGCTGCCAGGCGCGTGGCTTCTCCCGCTGATCGTGCTCCAGCCAAGCGGGCTCGTTCTTAATCGACGGCCTGTCGCCGCCAACGCCTCCGCCGCCGCCAGTGTCCGAACGATCCTCGCGATCACGCTCCCGTTCCCGGTCGCGTTCTCGCTCCCGATCCCGCTGCTCTCGCTCGCGATCGTCGGCATCCCAGTCGGGCTCCGAGGCGGAATGATGCTGCTGCTGCGACGGTGGACCGCCGCCCGGATGCGTTGGCGGTTTGCCACGCTTGGGTCCGCCCACGAAGCCGCTGGGTCGTCCAGGCGTTCCACTGGGTCCACCCGGACCACCACCACCGCCGCCGCCGGCGGCTTCATCATCCCAATCGCGCTCCCAGTCCGGTCGGAATTCGCCACGTGGTCCTAGATTGCGTTCGCGCTCTCGGTCGCGTTCCCGCTCCCGATCCCGCTCCCTGTCGCGGATCAAGCGCTCCCGCTCGTCCGGATAGAGCCCGTCCTCCGCCTCCAGGTCGCGGTACTCGCGTCCCTGCAGCTCCCGTTCCCGCAGCTCGCGGGCCTCCAGCCAGGCTTCCCGTTCTCGCGAGGAATAGCGGGCATCCAGATAGGCGCGCTTGTAGGCCCTAAAAATGGGGATTTCGAAATGTTGCTTGCGATTAGGTATTTGATGATTTCAGCACAATAAAGGGTTATAGAGAAGGTAGAGTTTCCGCTACCTAAGATCAGGTAAAACATACTTCTCCCGAAAGAGGTTGAGTACCAAAATAAACCTCTTCCAGGAAACAGATTATACAGCCATTGGAATACTCACCTTTCGCGCTCTTCCTCGGAATACATTTCCCGGGGATCCCGCATCCGAGGTGGATAGTGTTCAGATAGTGGACTGAGATCCCTCCGTCGATACCTTCGCATCTCGTCGATCAGGCCGTGTCCATGCCGCTCCTCCAGATACTCCTGCTCCCGCTCATAGGGATCCAGTTCCCGCTTGTCGCGCACATGGCGACCGCCACGTTCCCGATCTCGCTCCCTGTCGACGGTGTCCAGTGATCGCTCCCTGCTGCCGTAGGGCGGCAGATCCAAGTCTCTGCCGGGACCGCCCCGCTTGCCGCCCTCCTCCTCCTCCTGGCGACGCAGCTTCTCGCGCGCCACGCGTTCCCGCTCCCGCTGACGCTCCTGACAGCGGGCCAATGCCTCGGCACGCTCCTTGTCCCTCGCCGCTTCCCGTTCCGCTCGCTCGCGTTCCCGATCCCGACGATCGCGTTCCCGCAGCGAGAGATCATGCCGCTCGCGTTCCCTTTCCCGTTCTCGCTCACGCTCCCTTTCGCGTTCCCGCTCCAGGGAGGGAGTGCGTCCGCGTGCCCGCGTCTGGATGATGATCTTCTCCCGCGACATCAGCGCGTGGTGCATGCGCGAGGATGAGCTGCTGCCGCTGCCGCCAAGCCCCGAACCCAAACCTGAAAACGAGGTAACGAGGTAAGTTCAGTTGGTTAAACACGTTGCACTAATTTGGATTTGTAACAATGTGGATTAATTTTGCAAGGAATGTGGATTTGTCTTTACAGTTTTATACATTTAAATTGTTTTATGAATGCAAGGGTTATAAATGTTTGACTGTTTTTGGAAATATCCAAATCATTATTTGTTTAAAACCAAACATTCTTCATATAAAACATACTTATGTATGTGCTGTTTGGAAAACATTACTGTGTTTCAAAAACTTTCAAAGTATTTTCAGACATTCAACAGGTTCGATTCTTTCAGAAAAATAAATTTCTTTATCAAATTATATTTTAGGTTAATTTGCAATATAATTTTTGATTACAAAAACTAGGTTTCTTAGTTAGGTTTTAACAAAAAAAAACATGTATTCCTTAAGAACAGTGAATTAGGTTAATGTTTTCTTAAATTAATATTTAAATAAAGTTTGAGTTAGTTACCTGGACTCTTTTGCCGCTTGCCCACGATGTCCTGGTGGATGCGTATCTTAGTGGTGGTGGTGGTGCTGCTGCTCGGCGGACTCCGACTGCTGCCCAACCGGTGATGGTCGCGCTCCCTGTCCCGCTGAACGGCCCTCAGTTTGTCCCGTTCCCGCTGCTCCTTGCTGGCGGCCCTCAACCGCTTCCGTTCCGCGAGCTTCTTGAGTTTGGCCCGGGTGGTGGGCGACAGGGAACGGTGGACGTGGCCACTGAGAGCGGCGGCCGCTCGCTTCTTCAGACGCGCCTCCTTCAACTTGCGCTTAATGTGATTCCGCTTGGCCACCAGTTTCTTTTGCACATGATCCCGTTTGTCCCGCTTCCGACGCGATGGCTCATCGCCGGACGAACTGCCGCCGCGTCGAGAGCTCTTCTTCTTGCGGTGATGCCGCTCTGCAGAGCGCTGATGATGTCCATGGCCGTGGGGATGTGGATGTCCGTGGATGCTGCCGCCGGGACCGCCGCCCACGCTACCGGGACCGCCCACACCACCCCCGCCGCCGCCACCTCCACCGCCCACGCCACCCTGCTCGCTGTCCGTACTGCTGTACGAACTGGTCCCGCTATCCGAATCCGAGGTGGAATCCGAACTGCTCGAGTGCGTCGCACTGTGGCGGGCGGCCTTCTTGTAGCGGCGCAGCGACTCCTTGGCCTTCTTCTCCATCGCCGCGATCTCCGCTAGCCTGCGCGCCTCCGTTTTGTTTGTTTATTTTCGCTTTTTGTGGGGCAATAATATTTTTTTCTGCTTTGTTGTCAAGGTTTTCGCGTTTTTTGGTGGGTTTTTCTTCTTCTTTCTGAAGAGCTACCGATGCGTGATTATAAAACAACTCTGCGGCGGTAGCAGTGTTGGTCAAGGCGCAAATTATCGATTGACCGTTACCAGCCTTTTTGAAAAAAAGAGTATCGAAAATATGATATTTGTATAACAGTTAAAACAAATTATATTCAATTAAAACATTGTATTACATTAAAATGCATTTTAAGTATCTTAAGTATGCCAAACCATAACCTATTATTAAATTATTAAAGATTAGTATGTTTTTGATAATTATCTCTATCTGTGGACTATTTTTTTATACCCTTGCAGAGGTTATTGTAATTCTAGTCAGAAATTTGCAAAGCAGTGAAGGAGACAGGAAAGGGAAAAATATTGTCTTATTCATTGAAGAACGAGTGCAGTTCGAAACCGAAGGGCATGGCAAAGTTTCAGGCCAGATTCTTCGAGGAGATCTTTAATAGTATACACAGGCGAATAATGTTGCATATCTTAAGGGGCTGTGGATTTTGGATTTCGGATTTTGAAGCCATCTTCTAGGCATTTCTGTTCGCCTGGTATTTCGGCTGTCGGGACTGTCGGGATCTAATGCTCATAGTAACAATAAAGTACTCTTAAAATCAATTTCTTTATTCAAATTGCATAAAGTAACCTTTTGTGCGACTTAGAGTTTCATATCAAACCATTTCTTTAATGAAGGTATCCTTGATTTTTCAATCAATTCGTACTACCAGGCCCATTTCTGTCGAACCCCAGTTTTATTACACACTTCGACATAACAACACCTAACATAAATCTCTCTATCAAAAAATTGTACAAATATATTTTCTACGTAAACTCTGAACGGCTCTTAGCTTCTTCTCGAGATCTCATTCGAGACTGATCCCTCCATCCATGAATTTACTGCGCCGGCAGCCTCGGCTGCTCAGGAAACAGGGCACGTGGCTGCTGAGGAGTCACGTGATTTCCGAGGATGTGTCCAAATCCGTTTCCCGTTTTGCGGCGGCTATGTCCTCCCTATCGATATCCGGACCAGCGATGGCTGCCGCCTCCACAGTATCCGCAATATCCGCCGTATCCGTGGTATCCCAGTCCCGGTACGCCCTATCCACAGCCCAAGGAGGAGGAGAAGGACAAGGAGGAGGTGGGTTTTGCAAAGAAAAAAAATGAATTATTTTTTCCAGTTTCCGATGAGCGAAACTGTACCCTCCTACCTAATATATGTATTACAAATTTCAAGAGATTCCAAACATTTGAATTTGATTTTCTAAACGAACTGCCTTAAAATGTGTATTTAATTGGATCTTTCCAAACTTACGATGGTTTCCAAAAATGCCATCCATAACTATACCTCCACAAACCAAAACTTTAATCACTTTGATCAGAGTTCCAAGTATTACGAGTATATAATATAATTTGTATTATATATTGTTTGATCTAGGAGGAAGAGACTCCAGAGGATCAGCCCCAAGAAGGCGATACTCCGGAGGCGGAGGAGGAGGAGGACCAGCCCCAGCCCCCTCGCCAGGAGGAGGAGGTGGACCAGCCGCAGCCCCTTCAACGGGAGGAGGAGGAGGAGCCCCCAGCCCCGCCCCCGTCCCCGCCCCCGCCGGAGGAGCATCCGCCGAGCCCGGAGGAGCGGCCGCCGGAAAGCCACCTGGGGACAGTGCTGCCCCGCCTCCACCTGGATCTGGTCTTCCTCCGGCACCTCCGCCGCCAGCCGCACCGCCCCGATCCAAAACTCCGCGGATGAAGAGCTTCGAGATCTACCGGTGGAAGCCAGGCGATCAGCCGCAAACGCAAACCTACACCGTGGACTTGGAGAAGTGCGGAGCCATGGTGCTGGATGCCCTGATTTTGATCAAGAACGAAATGGATCCCACGCTGACCTTCCGGCGATCCTGTCGCGAAGGAATTTGCGGCTCCTGTGCGATGAACATCAATGGCACGAACACGCTGGCCTGCGTTTCGCACATCGATCAGAACGAGAGCAAGTGCTGCCGGATATATCCCCTACCCCATCTATATGTGATCCGTGATCTGGTGCCGGATATGAGCCAGTTCTACGAACAGTACCGCTCCATTCAGCCGTGGCTGCAGCGGAAGGATCTCAAGCGGGAGGCGGGATCGGCGCAGTATCTGCAGTCCGTCGACGATCGCCTCGTGCTGGACGGGCTGTACGAGTGCATCCTGTGCGCCTGCTGCCAGACCTCCTGCCCCTCCTACTGGTGGAACAGCAACAAGTACCTCGGCCCCGCCGTCCTCATGCAGGCATACCGCTGGGTCATCGACTCCAGGTGAGCTTTAATCGGTGGATCTATATACTATATATAATAATAGATAGAAAAAGTAATGAAAGGACAGATTTATGGGAACAAAAGCTTCGGTCAAATTAAATGATCGGAATATAAATTTATCGCAAACTTATAACTTACCTAATTTCAAGTAGTTTACACATAGTTTCTTTTGAGAATTTTTCCCTAGCTGAATAAACTCAATATATTAATTAAAAATATTTTTTTTACAATGATATGATACACATATTGTTTTACATTTTATTTGAACATTATACGTAATACATTCTCAAACTTTACAGCTCATACCTTTTCAAATGTAGCTAATTAATTTAATAAAATGGAAAATTAATGTAAATTAATGCAAAATAGTTATATTAAAAATACAAAAAATATAAAAAGTAGTGGGAATTGTTTACAAAATGTTTTTGAATATATTTACAATTTTACAATTTCTTTTTAAGGGACGAGGCAACCGAGCAGCGCCTGGACTTTCTGAAGGACCCGTGGAAACTGTACAGGTGCCACTCGATCATGAACTGCACGAACACGTGCCCCAAGCATCTCAATCCGGCACGAGCCATCATCCAGCTGAAGCAGCTCCTCGTCGGAATGAAGAAGAAGGGGGCGCCCCAACTCAAGACGGATGCCCTTTTCCAGGGAAAAGGGTAGCAAAGGCAACGCACTCGACATAACGTTATTGGGATATATTACACATCAAACACAACAACAACAACAACAACAACAACAAACACGACGAACTGATCTGATCACGTTTTAACATATGTACATAATGTGGAACTAGGTTGAAAAAAGTCAAAACGATTTACCTGGGAAATAACTTGGCAAAGAAATGATTAATTTTAACATTTCCTGAATGATTCTCTTAAACTCTCCTAAAGTTCGATAATATAAATATTTATATGATATATTTATATTATTGATATTGGCACACCGATGTAGGCATGCAAACTAAACAGGGAAATATATATTAAATTACAAAAATAATTAGCCACACAGAGAATATATTTTAACACAGGACAAGTGGATTTACGCTTAAGGGACCTAACACAACTGTTAAGTTATAGAACGTACAATATATATATCTAAAAAAAAAACACAAAATAAAAATTAGATAAATCGCAAATGGACTGAATATTTTGTAATCGAATTTAATAAAAAATTTCCCTGGCCCACAAATGACAAATATTTATTATTTTTAAAATCTTAATTTGTCTAGAATCCTTAGATTTATATGAAAAGGCAATTCTTGTTTTGTACTTCCTTTAAAAATCATCCTATTAATTGATCAATCGAAGAACAATCTGACAAATGCCAGGCTAAAACAACATGAGATCGTAAGGTAGATGGATTGCAGTTGGACAGATGAATCGAACTGATCCCGATTTCGATCCCAAACACTGCCACGAATCTCCGGAATTTCCATCCCCTCGATTTAGACCCAGGGATCCCGGGTTCGTCTGCTATTTCTGCACTTCTCGTTGCAATTAAGTTGGAAAATGCTGTAGCTATGTGGATGTTAATGTTCGTGTCTGCACCAGAGCAATCCAAACAAACAAATAAAGAATGAAAGCGGATGAAATGAGCCACTTCCCACACTGGGAAAAATTTTATAGCTTTTTGAATCATTTTAAAAAACTACAAAACCAAATGCAACAGAAAATATATACAAAATATAAAGAGATAAAGAAGATCTTATTTATTATTATGTACAATATTTTTATTGTGAATGAATGAATCCATAAAAATTGAAAACCTTTTTTACAAAATCTATATTTATGGTAGTTCGATTGATTGTTTTAAATATCTTTTACTTGGTACCTGGTACAGTTCGAATGCGTGTTTAAAAATAAACTAGATACTTAATTTGCAACCTTAAAAATTGTGCTAGGTGCATACTAAGCAGATTGGTTTTCCAATTGGCCTGCGGAAGGAGTTTTTGGGGGGCAGTGAATGAAGCCAACTGTGAAAACGGTCCAAACGTCTCGCTCGAAGTCTATAAATAAAGCCACCGCAAATCTTCCGCCGGGCAGAGGAATTGGAAAAGCGGAGTGACTCGAGTTCGAGTTCGGGATGGAATACTTCGATGTTGTTTTCTTTAAAAATAACAAGCCCCTCCGAACTTGTCAGCAGCCGTCGCGAAAATGGGGAAATGAAAGCAAGAAAAGCGGGAAATCTTGTCACGCTCTCATTTACACAACTTGCACTTTTCATGATGAGTGTTTTTTGTTCTTTTTTTTTTAAATACTCTTTGAAGGAGTAGTTTCTTACTCTTGTTTGTAAAGCTGATAAAAAAAACTGATAAAAATAAAATTTGTAATAATGTTTTACAAATATATCCCTAATTTACTTACTTTTTATGCTATTTTATTACAGTTTTATTTGATTTATTTATTTTTATCCCAAAAAGAGTATCTAAATCCAGGGCTTCCGCACTTGACATGCAGTTCGTGTTCATTTCTTTGGCCGGCGACAACACTCAATCGCCTTGACACGAGTTGACAGGCACAAATCAGATGAAAAGCCCTCGGCAAGAAGCCCCGTCCAGATTAACCAAAGCCAGTTGATCCGCAGCTTCCCATTCGCTCCTCTGCCACTGGAGAACCGTTCCCGCGATTCTCGAGAAGCTTAGGCCATCAGGAGCTGCGAGGCGAGCCGAGGAGACAATTAAAAGGCAATTCCAGCAATGCGCCTGTTTGCACCTGCCGTCCAGATATCAGCGACAAACGACATTGTCAACAATGAGCCACAAGAGCACGATTGCTACACTAACCAACAGGGAAAATATACACTTAGGTTTACTTAATAAAAACATAAGGATACTACGCCAAACAATTGGGAATGCTGAACCAGAAAAGAATACTTTCCAAAGTCATTATCTCAAAAGATCTTTGTCTTGAGTATAAATTGTATTTCAAATATTTTAAATGAAAAAAACAAACAAAAGTGTTTAAATTTGGCAATGTTAAGAAAAAGTTCTTATTAATCTACAGAAATTCAGAAAACGTGTTTGATGTAACTTCTTATATTTATAAAATTTCTAGACAATTTCCTAATTATTAATATTAATTATTAATTAATTAATGATATCCACGTAAAGGTAAATCAATTCAGGAGAATATGATTTTCTATCTACTAGTCCTCTGAAAATATACAAAAATCAAGCAAACTTATTTAACAAATTATTTTCTTTCAAAAGGCTTTTAAAATTCATGTTTTGCTGCTTAGTGCTTTTTTAAAAATAAACTCATCTCACACATGCAGACGAACGCGTTCCGAAATACTTAAAGCAAATTATGTTGGGCTGGAGTCTGGTGGAGTCTCTGGCTCCTTTGTCGCATTTCCAAGGTGTTGAGGCCGTTGAAAATGTGGAGCATTTCCCCAGCCTCTTATAATTTAAGCTGCTAAGCCGCCGCTGACGTCTGACAGGTGGCAAAAGGTATCGAAGCATCAAGCAGATCCAAGAAACACGCATTTCCCAAACGCATTTCATCATAGACGCGTGCTGGAATTAGTCGTGTGCGAACGAGATAGGAAGTCCGGGGTGTGAGGGAGATAGGGAGATGAGTCTGGCCAAAAGACAATTGATCTATTGAGATCTTCATTTATAAACTATGGTTATAAAACAATAAACAAAGTTAATATCACAAGCTTTTCTTTTAGAGTTTATTTTCTATTTCTTAGTTGCCTTAATTAATCCAGAAACAATTAATTTATGAAAACTATATTATTTTTATGTAAATAATTTCAATTTATACAAACTGATTAACAATTCCTTGCAATAAATATCATCTTATTTAAGCAGTTAAGATTAAAAAATGTAAGATATTTCATTTAAAAAATAGTTTTAAAAATATCTCACGGACTTTAAAAAAATATCAAAATCCGTTCTGAAAGAGCAAAGTTATCAGCACTCTTGGGGATTTCTTCCTGCATCTTGGCAGTTAATTTGATTGCCACGCTGTTGTGGCCATAGTTACAGTTGATATTAAGTCCCCAAGATTTATGGCTTTTAAATTTCCATTCATGGCGGGATCTTGCTGATTGCTGGCATCCAGGGCCAAAAGCGGATGCACAAATCAATTGTCATGTGGCACTGAGAGTGGTCGCTACTTTCTGGTTAATCGTAAAAATTAAGTTTTCAATAAAAAAGTGACCACCGCTGATTGTCAACTGCATTTCTTGATTACTTTCCTAGTGGTTCATCAACATTTTCCTTGATGTTTACAAAATATAGAGTGATAAACTAGTTACTTTATGCTCTGTATGTTCCTTAATCAGTTTTAAAATGTATTGAAATTATCTATAATTGCGTTGGATAATAACGATTTCGAATAAGTAGTGATTGCGATCAGTCATCAGTCGACAATAGAAAAAGCAAGCCACATAAGCTACCTAATCTCACCTCAAATACGTTTGCCATTCTATTTTCGAATCCCACAGTCATATTGCATAAAGTAAGAGAACCTAGACTGAATAATAATGGAAAAGCTTTCATTGAGTTCTCTCAGAGTGTTTTGCTTTAATGAATCACAGATGATTGATGCTCTTTATGAGGGCGGAATGCCTAATCATTTCAACAACGACAACAAGATATTAATATGTAATTGGTATATAAATTGCTGATAAATATAAAGACTAATTTAATAATATGTATTTAAGTACCTTGAAATTTATTTTTAATATTTTAAGATTTATATGATCTTATAAGAAGTAGGAGGACCTTAAGTCCAACTAAATCATCGCTAAGTAGGAGATTTACCCAAGGCGCAAAGCTCTTGTTTCCTTGAAGGCGAGCCCCAGTTTTCAGGTGGGCGAGGGCATCTGAACTTGGCCGATAACTTTTTGGCCAAAAGCTTTGGCCCCCGTCAGGGCTGTTTATCTCTCTCTCTCACTCTCTCGCCGATTCCTCTCCGGCTGAAACGCTTGGATATGTAAATGAATTACTCGTAAATAGCTAATGTAACTACGAAAATATTTACATATGCGTAAGTGGGTGTCGGCAACCCACACACGTAATACACTCCGCAAAAGTATCTTCAGTACTTTTTAAGGCTTTGTAATTATTTATAATTTTAACAAGGAATTTGGAAAGTACAAAATACTTTAATGATCAATCTGTGTTTTTAAGATGAGATACTATCCTTTTTATAGTTAACCTGCATTAAAATTGTTATACAATTTTGTAGAAAATTCATGAAAGCAACTTTCAGAGAAAGTTTAAACAATCATTTAATATTTTGCCAAGATATGATGATGATGATATATTTAGATTAAGGGGATTAGTAAGGCGAATGCTGTTTTGGCACTTATGAAAAGGATTTCCATTAATTTGACCCGCCAATTTGATCATTTGGATTTACAAACGGATCTTAACGTTTTTTTAATACCGAACGATCATTTAAATCGTAAAACAGATCGTTTCAAGTACTTTGAGATACATTTTAGTGATATAACGAACCTTTCTCTGCATTTCTGCAAACTTTAGGGATTTTTAGGGAAGCTCTTCGGACTATTGGATAATTTGAACCTTCGCGATGCGATTTTCTCGGAGTGCAGTGAGCGTCTTCGCCACGTGCGGAGCGTGGCAAAGCTCCAGCTCGAAAGAGAGCGGAGCGGCGAAGCTTTGTGGCGGCGCCTACGTCACTGGGCCGCTTTTTGGGGGCGGGCGAGCTTTCGGCGCCTAGAAAACAACCCCAAAGCGGCACCGCGAATCAGTCGCAAAAAAGTGCCCGTCGCCAGAACGCTGAAAAAACAGCCAAACAAATTGAGAGGGATAAATAAATAAGAATTCAAAATAAAATTACTAACTGAGTGACAAGACAGCAGCCGAGAAGCGAGCGCTGCCGCAAAATCCAATTTTTGTGTGGCAAAGAAAGGTAGTTAACACACTAATTTCTTTTTTTTTTTTTGTTGTGAGTGCTCCAGTGTGTTTCTGTGTGCGTGTGTGTGAGTGTGTGTTTATCTGGCAGAATCCTCTTCCTGTTCTCAGTTGTTTGCATTTTGATCCTAATACTTGTAACTATTTACCTGAATCAAGGAAACCGCCGAGAGGATAACGAAGGCGCAGCGCAAGGAGCAAACGTGCGACCCCCTCCATCAGTCCATCAATCCATCGGTCTATCCAGCCAGCTATCCAACTATCCAACTACCCATCCAAAGCATCCAGGAAACATCCCGAGAATCCGCGAGAGAAAGGTGACGAAAGAGAGCGGAAATAGGAGCAGGAAAAGGAGCAGGGAAAGGAGCAGGAGCAGGAGCAGGATCCACGCAAACCGAAAACACAACAAACTCAAAACACACACTCCACAAAGATGTCATGGAGATATGCGGTAAGCGAAAGGACAAAGGCGCCGAGCGGGGGAAACAGGGTTAAAATAAAAAAAAAAAACAGGAAGAGTGGGCGGTTAAGGGTAGTAATGAAGGACACTGAAAGAAAAGTGCTTATAAAAAAGAGCTTGAGAGTTTGAATAGTTTTCAAAAAGGACTACAGTTCGCTACAACAATAATATTCGTGTCTCTGTTAAATATTATAAAATGATCTATAAAATTATACAAAGTATCTAAAATTCTAAACTGTTGTATATTTTTTGAACATGAAATTTTTTTTAATTATATTGCTCACTATTAGGATATTACCAAACTAAAATAAATTTATACCAAGTAAATTGTTTCGGTTTCAAATGAATTAATTTAATAATTTTTTTTTTAAATATGAACAGTAAACCTAGAAACCAGAAACCTTTTCTCTGCAACTGTTCATTCATCAGAAGTTTCTAACACATTTTTGCCCAGTGTATTAAGGGGTTGGGGGCGTGGCGCAGGCTGGTTTGTCAAGTGCCGCGTGGCAGACTTTTCGACGCTAGCTTCGGGCATCTGTCAAAAACAGCTGATGACGAGCGATGATGACCTTGACTCGCCTCAATCTTTGGCCATGTCCTCCTCCTCTTCCTCCCTCTACCGTTACTCTGGTGACCCAATTTCCACCACCCCTTTTCATCCACCCACCCAACCACTTCACCTATAACCCACAAAGAACAACGACATAAAAAATCAGGGTAGGGAAAATAGAATTTGTTCTATTTTCTGTGGGGACAGAGGCCTTGGCACATGTGTGCACCACCCAGCGCACCACCCACCCACCGCCTATTTGAAGGCCTCTAAATGCAAATGCAAAGTTCAAGTGCCTTTCCAAGGCGTGGCCACCAGCCAAACCACCGAGCCACCCAACCACCCAAAAGAACCCACCGAACTATTTCCCAACATGTGGGTCGTTAAATAACCATCTTTGTCTGTGACTTTTATCGGGCGATTATCCTCGCATTAACTTGGTTTTGGCGCCTCATATTTTGGGTCACCACTGCAGGTTGTGCTGGGTCACCATTCGGTAAGAGTGGGGATTGTCCTTCGAATTAGTGTTCCCAAAAATGTATCCAAGCCTTTCGATTAAAAATGTCAACCGAAATAGCTAACCTTTTCAAAAAAAAGTTTGTAGTAGTTTTTAAAATTATAAAAGCAAAGTTATAAATTGGGTAAGAAGTATTAGGTAAATATAAAAATCAATATTTTAAATTTTAATTAATTACATTTAAAAGATTCCCTTCTTACGTTTATCACTTTCTTTATGATTTACCAATTTAATTATTATTTTCATAGCGTGGTTAAGCGATCTTAACGAGCTTAAAAAATCTATTTGGATTTCTTCTTATAGAAACTCAAAATTTTAAAGATTGTTTTATTTGAATAATTATTTTTCCTATCAGGACTTAAGACTTATGATCAAGACCATACTAGTTCTGATAATAGCTTATAAAAAGTGACATTAGTTTAAAACTCAGTCATTGCACATTACAAGTGGCCATAAATCTCTTTTCGCAAATATGTCATTTAATGGGGAGAATTTCCACCTAATTAAAAACTCCCACCAAACCAACTACCCGCCCTCGAATTAGTCTAACCGAATTAGTGACGCTGCAGTGGATTTGATTGACCCAAAAACGCGGATCGGTGGTAATAGGCTTTTGGCCATTGTTCGCTGGCTAAAGAAGATTACTCATACGCCGAGTGGACCAATTAGGTTGATTATAAAACGCAACGCTAAGTGAGCCAAACCGAATGAACTTGAGATTCCAGCCGAATCGAATGCAAAAACTTAATGAATTCGGAGGCAGTGAAGCGAATTGCGATGCCGCCTCTTCCGCCAAAAAAAAAAAAAAAAAAAAAACAAAAAAACGACAGTGGCTCAAATTAATTGCCCGGCTTCCGTGTAATGGCCATTGTGAAGTGCTGCAAAGTCCGCGCAGCAGATAAACATATATATATATATATATATATAAATATATATAGTAGTACTGCCAGTGGTATAAGTACGAGTATGAGCCCCCGGAGCTTAGCTAAAATGTCAATGTCATCGCCGTTTTCCGCTGCCAGTGCTGCTGGCTCAGTGTCAAGCCCATCGAGAGCGCTAATTGAACAATCGATAGAGCACTGTTCGAGCCCACATATTATATATATATATATTATATATATATGTTTATATTTATATAGGTATATGTGTATTTGTATCGTAGTTAAATACTATATATAGACGCTTTGTGCCGATTGTGGGCGTGTCGCATCGCAGCTGTTGCGCCTGGTTGAGCAGAAAGCGAAAGGCAAACGCTTTGCACTGCACTGAGAAAAATGGTGGAATTTATAGAGATTCCATTCACGTTTTACCAAAAAACTTACCTCAAAGTAAGATTTTTTTAAGAGTACTTTTTTAAAGTAAAAAGTCGCAAAAAAGGTTTATAATATATACAACATTATTGTTCAGGAATAACGTAAGATATTTAATCTACAGATTAATTGATTAACATAAAATTCCTAAGACCCATTTTCAGAAAAATTTTAGACAATGCTGATAGCTTGCAAACTTAAGGAAAAACGAATAATTAATATTTAAAAAATATGAAATAAACTGTAAATAAAATTTATTTAATATTTTTCTCTCAGTGCCTCAGCTGAAGCTGCGGCAGAAGCTGAAGCCAAAGCGGCAACTTAAAAGCGTTTCCCCATTTGGACCAAGCTGGAAACCCACCCAAAATGGGAAACGTTTTTTCAAGCTCAAGGTCGATCTGTGATCTGCTTTTGGCCTTGGAAAATGAGGGAAATACTGGGGAAGATAGGAGGCAAATGGGTTGGGAAATTAATTGAATTTCAAATTGTATAACAATAATGAAATTGTGACGATTTACTTAGAGATTAATTGCTTTTAAGTGACAGATTTCCTTATGGCAAGCGTATGTTAAACCCTTTTAGGTTCACTTATTTGCATTGCAGCTGCATAATTTTGTGGATCACAGGCAGCCAGCAATCTGATGGGATATAGCGGATATAGTGGGATAGTGCGATAGTGGGATAGATATTTCCCAACCCATAAACGTGGCCGCCTTAAAAGGCAAATAAGGCATTCACTGAATTGCGCATTTAATTGAAAATTTAGTTTTGCAATGTGAGAAAATTGTTTTGGCTTTGTTTGTTGATTCGCTGGCTGCCAAAGTTTTTCGCGCTCAATGTTGGGAAATCAGCTGTGGAATGTCTCTTTCAGCTTATTTTTTTTTTTGTTTTTCATAATTATCTGGGGAATTTCGTATTTTGTTTACATTTTTCCTTTTTTGGTGGATTGGGGGCATTTCGCTCGTTGGTTCGTTGACTGTTTAATCAATAACAAAAGAGTTACTGCAGGATACTGGCTTGCATGTCAATGCGATTTGCATTTGTCGAGTGCCCGAAAAACTATGCAGATTATGCAGATATACTTCTATATCTATATGCGCAGACAGATAACTATATGTGTGTCAAATATGTATGTAGATTTGTCAATGCCAAAGCCAGGCGAAACAGCTTGTAAATTTTGTTTTGGCCGAACATTAATTGTTGCTCTTCATTTTGGTATTCATTAATTTCCAACAATTTCAGACTAGAATTTTCACACTTGAAAAATGATTTTGGGGAAAATTGTTGTTGTTCTCGTTTCTGTTTTTTTTTTCTCGCTCTCATGTTTCTATTTCTGGGAATTTCTGTGCTCAAGGCCGCAAGCAAGTAAATCGCAAATAAATTAAAAAAGTTTTAATAAATGCTTCGATGGAAAACGTACGGAGATGCTGCAGGGAATTACTTTTATAGTGCGCATTTGTATATCGTTTTCTATCTTAATAAAAGTAATGGAAACATGAATTTAGCCTTGAAGTGAACTAAAAAGTAAATAATTATTGTACATGTATTTTTTTAGTTTTATAAAATTTTTGAAAATGGTTTCAATTTTACGAAAGGCAATTTTTCTGTACAAAATTGTATTTTTTTAAATATTCTATACTCTTATCTAAAATAAGAGAGCATAATACAGAAAAATAATAATTGTTTCTTTAATTTATTCAGTTTATTAACTGAATGGTTTTAGAATTTAAACTCAAATCCTTTAGGAATCACATGAGATTGTTTGAAATTTACAGCTGACAGAAACACTGTTGATTAGTAGCAGTTTAAAAAATAAATAAATCACCCAAGCAGAAGCACATAACAATATTAAAATTCAATTAAAAAATGCTCTCGAAAACCCTTTGGTGGGTTTTCAAATATTGAATAATAGCGAGTGGCAAGTGCACAAGGCTGACCGCATAATTTGCTCCACGTCCTTCCTAAGTTAGTTTAGTTTATTTAGCTGATTGCATTGTCTAGCCGCCACAACCTCTTCCGCCACTCCCCTCCTCCCCATTTCCCCCCTTCCTCCCCCTTTTCTATCCACTCTGTTCCACTTTGCGGCAGGCATTGTTTTTCCATTTAGCCTGCTGCACTTCCTGCAGATAATATGGCATGGTATATGGTATATTATACTCGCAAAGGAGGCGAACGGAACCAGAGAAGTGTGTCTGGCCCAGAGGTCAAGCGGTGGCCCAACTGTTGCCACCTGCAGGCCGCAACATGTGGAGCGGATGTGGGTCAGGTGGTGCAAGTGGCAGTGGTTCGCTGGCTCGCTGGCTCGCTGGCTCGGTGACTGACCCACCCAGTGGTGCCAAAGGACATCAATCGCAATCGAAACGAGATTATGACATCATCAAGTGGCTGCTGCAGTGGGGAAAGGCCTCCATTGAGAACTAGTTTATGTGGCTTGGGGGGAATATAATTCCAAATGAGGTTTTGATGCAGTCTTTTGACGGGGCAAATGGGTTCAATTTATGGTGGGAAACAATTATAATTGTGCTTTAAAGCACATTGGAAAAATGAGTTTCGTTGTGCAAAGTTTTCTTATTTAATGGTGTTAAGAAATTGTCATTTATCTTTCAAACAAAGTAAAATAAAAGAATAACTCGTTGTTTCAAGTACTTATCCACTGAACAACAGGTATTAATATAGCTATTATTATATAATATAGTAAAATTTATTAATACATATTAATAATTAATGAATACATATGCATTAAATTTAATAATAAAAGTATTTAATATGGCAATTATTGATGATTGAAATTATTAATTAGTGGCTTCTATAAAATCGTAGCCCTAATTTATAACATATTTCAATTAATGATTATTGGAACTACAAAAAATGAATTGTATTTATTAATTATCATAGTTTCAATATTTCAATCTGTTTGCTTGAGAATTCCCTTTTTTCCCCTACAACATTAAAATGTATGCTTAATATTTTCTTTGCATAGACAATCAGTTAAACGAATTTGGCGGAAAAGTTTCGAGTGGCCCCTTATAGTTTCCTCCCCTCAACACCCTGAATAGCCTAAAAACACCTCTCAGGTATTCTGGCCCCTTGGCTGTCGACCGTTTTCAAAGCGGCTATAATAAGATACGAACGCTTTCAAAGTTGCCAATAGATTCACTCACACGAATCGCTTTGCCAGCGGAATCGGGGGGAAATCGGAATGGGAATGGGAATGGGAATGGGAAAACGCTATATAGATGCCACGACTCTCTATATCGGGCTATATATGCTGGCGATTAGACGGGGCAAAGCGTTCCAATCATTCGCTCAATCATGCCAGTGTGTTTTCCCCTCGCTTTTCGATTTTGTTTCCATTTGGCGTATGCATTTTGTTTTGTTTTTTGTTTTTTTTTTTTTTTGATTTTCGTATCTGGCATTTTGTTTTTTTCCCCTTTGGATTTGTCGTGTCCAGCTAATTGTCTTGTCATGCGGGCTTCACATATATATTTCTATATATTTCTATATACTTATGGGTGGGAGGGAATTGGCTGGGGGCGTGGGATGAGTCACAGACAACAAATTCGTTGCTGGGTTCCACTTGCTCCAATATATTTTCTCTTTGCATATTTCGACGTGTTTTTTTCATGCTTTGTTTTTCACTGTACATCGGTGAGTAATTTTTTTTCTATCGAGTATTTTTAGATGAAAATCAGTTTGGCGGGGGAGGAGGAGGAGGGGGAGAGTGGGCGGGAGCGGGAGCGTAATTTTCTTGGCAAGGGGGACAAGGTCAAGGCGCAGCTTCACATTCACCTGAGCAAAAGCTTTCCCTCTATTTCCGTTTCCACCTGATACAGCAACAGTTAATTGGGATATATTTAGGTTTAGGATTTTTTTTTCAGCGCAGATATTTTCCGTATTGTGTTACCCTCAGAAATGTTTTAGGTTTTATTAATAAATATGTTCCTTGTTTGGGTTAGATTTCGAATATGAAATAATGTATAGGATATGCTCAGATTTGTGAAACACAAATTTTAAAATGCTTGGTTAATTTATCTCTCATTTAATATATATATTTCTTAATATTTTTGTTTCCATTGGTTAAATTTCAATGCTTATTTAAATTACGTTTTCGGGTAATAAATTATTTTAGATTTCTTATTTGGTTACTATAAATAAATAAATTGTGATTATTTTTCCAAAGTTTCGTTTTTGTTTTGTCTACCTCTGTTTTTATGATTTCCATTAATTTTAAATTTTATTTAAAACCACACTTTTCAGCTTCTCACGGACAGATACACCAGCAGCATCGGCGATAGATATAGTCCCCACTATTATCAGGTTTGTCCTATCCATCAAGAATAGCTTCGCATGAGGTTTCAATGTAAATCTGCCAATCTGTGTTTTAAAGTCTATGCTGTGCTGTTTCAACTGCTACCTTTTTGTAAATATTTCACATAACCTTTGCTGTTTTGTGAGAGCAAAAATGTTAGAGCTCCTGAATTCCAAACTAACCGAAGTTTAAAACTAATATTTGCTAAATGTGCCGCACATAACACTCGTTTTTAGCAGATATATGGGCCACGGCGAACATAATGCTATAAATAATGTCCACATTTTGTGCGCTTTTCATCAACCGAATTAGAACAATTAACCCGCACACACCTTGCGCCAAAAAACCAAAGAAAAAAAAATAGAATTTCTCGCTTATATATAAAGACGTGTTCGCCGAGAGCTACTATGTATGCCATAGATCAGTCACAATAGATCAACGGCAAAATGTTAAAGAACTCTGGCGACAGATGCTCAAAATCGTGCATTTGATTTTTTCTCTCGATTTCCCCAACATTTTTTTGCTTTTTGTTTTTTTTGGGGCCGTTCGCCTTCGTTTCGCTCATTTTCGTTTTCAGGGTCGCATGCCGCGACAAAAAGCAAAAGTTTTCAGAAACGTGAACCAATCCTATCCACCCACCAGACCCTTCCCCTGCCCCTTTCCCTATTTTCCCAGATGATGGTATTATGACAAGTCAGACAGCCGATAGCCAACAAAAACCTATAAAATAGGGAAAACAAAGCACAGCAGGCAAACCGAAGTTTTCACTTTCTGTCCCTGAGATTGTCAGACAACGAAAACCATACAGACATATATATACTATATATATATATTATATATATATAAATATATATAAGGAGGAACCCTCTGAGGCGACCTCCCTCTATCTGTCTGATTTGTCATCTTTTGTAACCAAATTGCGACCTTCGCCTTTCCCATAAATCTGCAAGCCAAGGCATTTTGTTTCCTGAATTTTCCTTTTCCTTTTTTTTTTTTTTTTTTGGCATTTGGCGCTGGGCCTATGATGTCATGTGAAATGTGGTGGGGGAGTCCTCGGAAGCCTGCCGAAATGTCCACAAAATCTAATTATCGAAGGACTTCTGCTGATTTATATTTATACTAATTTTAAAGGCAAAAACTTATTTCTTTTCTCCATTTTCTCAACTCCATCGTGAGACTTGTAAAATAAATCTTTCGGTTTGAAGGGTTTTTGACTGGCGTGCTTAAAAAGTAATTATAAAATTATAAGAATAAATATAAATAAAATTTAACCTAAAATTTTGTTTACATTTTCAAACTTACTAGTTACTTTTAAAATAATAACCTATATTTAAAGCCAACAAATAAAACGACCTTACAAGATCCGAAGGTCTTAAAACCAAGGTCTTAATAGTGCATTGAGTCATAGGGACAATAGTATACTAAAACCTTGATGAATTGTGTTTCGTTTTATTTGTGTGGCATGAAGATATCGCTGGTTCTCTGGGGCTTTACTCCTTTCTGTGCTTTCAATTACTACTCAAACATTAATTTACTAATTGTGTGTGTAATTTTGGACTATTCTGCAGTCGCCCAGCCGCTTGGAGACCTCCGAACAGACCACAGGCCGTCAGCTGCAGCGAGTCCTTCACTACTCGATGGCTCCCAGCCGGGCACTCCCAGGACTCAGACTTAGACCAATCCACGACGTTGACTGCGATGAAGTCTATCCAGGCATCTACATTGGTGATGCGTAAGTAATCCTTTCCCTAAGGGAAATATTTCCTTCAAATATACATACTATATATATAAATATATAATAATAATTTTTATGTATCTTAGTGCGGCGGCCAAAAACAAAGTTTATCTGCGGATGATGGGCATTACTCATGTTCTGAATGCCGCCGAAGGATGTCGCTATGGTCAGGTGGACACCGGACACAGTTACTACCGGGATATGCCCAGCATCAGGTGAGTCCTGCGATCCAAGGATCCCAAGGATCCCATTCAACCGACAAGAGGCAACAACATGAACAATCGAAAGGAGTTTCGAAATTCTTAAATACTTTCGCTCAAAATTTGTTCATATTTGATTTTGTTTTGATTTCGGCACACATTTCAAAATTTCTTTACAACAAAATTCTTGTTTTTCTTTCTCTTCTTTTATCTTTTCTCTGCACTCCAAAAATACCATCTTTGTACATACGATATTTCATTATAATTTTCACAATCGAAAATCATCCTTCATTTTCACATCGATTTTTTGGCTCAACTTTGTTGTTGCTGTTTTGTTGTGTGATGTGTGTTTGTTTGTGCAATAGACGCAACCATAAGGACTGTGTTTTTAGGTACATGGGCTTCCCCATGGTCGATGCCCCAACGACGGACATCTCGCGCTACTTCTACGTGGCCTCCAAGTTCATCGACAGCGCCATCAGCAGCGGCGGTAAGTGGTGCGGTAATCGGTTCGGAGTAAGCTACAGGATTCCAGATTCAATTCGAAATACAATATGTATATGGAAATTTATAAGAAACTTTTGGTAGAATGGAGGTTAGGGAGCCCAGCACATTTTTTTAATCTTGCTATTCTATTATCTATTAGATATTCTTTGATTACAAAATGTAAAATATACAACAAAATAAACAAAAAAGAATATGAAAGGGTAATAAGGCTTCATAGATTGATTTGATATGTTAGCATATGGTAAATTTATAATTGTATAAAAATTAAAATAAGTCCAAGTTCTTCTGTCAGTTTTGCAGAAAGGATAATTTCTAAAAAAAACTCTTTGAGTGCTAGTTAAAATCCAGTACTTTTAGAGGATAAAATAGAATACATAGTAATATTTATTTATTTATTTATTTTACGCTGTATGCCTATGTTAATATACTTGTCTTAAACGTTGGCATGCGGTTCAAAAATCATTGCCATAATTTTTATCTTGTAAATATCTTTTTAAAGTTTTAAATTTGGAACATCTTTAGTTTAGAGCTCATGTAAGAATAGTTTCTTGCGGAGCACTGACTTACTTAGGGAGATTTCCGAGTGCAAGCTTACTCTGGACTGCTTACCCCTTATCAGACCTAATCAAGAGCCATTACTTACCCGAATTTGTTTGCTATGCAGGCAAGATCCTGGTGCACTGCCTGGTGGGCATGTCGCGATCGGCCACCTGTGTCCTCGCCTACTTGATGATCTGCCGGAAGATGTCGGCGGTGGATGCGATACGCACGGTGCGAATGCGACGTGATATTCGGCCAAACGATGGATTCCTGCAGCAACTGGCCGATCTGGATATGGAACTCAAGCGCAAGAACCTATATCCGTATTAGTGCAAATATCGGGGAAGTGGGCGGAGCCTAAGATACAACCAAAGATCGGGAATGGAAATCGGGGGGAAAATGTGACGTGGTTCTTGAAAGGATCCCGAAACTAACCAAAAAAAAAAAAAAAAAAAGAATATTATATTTGAATGAAAATGAAAATCGTTGTTCTAAACAAAATTGAAGCCTACAAAGCTAACGACTTATAATGGTAACTTGGTCTTCTGATATATAAACTGTTCATCCCCAAAACTGTATAATCGCGGCATACCCATTATTGTAGGACTAATATACACACAGACACATATATATATATGTATATATATATATATATACAAACAGCCAGAAGGGAATCAAGTTATCTCCACTCCCTCACACACACACACTTATATACACACACACACTCACCAGAACACACACTTAGAGACCTAGATTGGTAGAGCCACGAGGATCGAAGCAATACGAGGCGATCAACCTATATACCTTGCCTACTATATACCTAGACATACAGATTTATATACATGTATTCCGGACCCACATCTATCTACGTATTTTTTGTAAGGCTCATCTGTGTTAACGTTCTGTTCCATCTCCATTTCCATATTCTTGTCCTTATCCCCAATCTTCCACCCCCAAAAACATAGATATATATATGTCTACATATATAAGAAGAGCTGAAACTAGATCATGAACAATGTTCGAGGATACAAACGTAACCAGATGCATATATACTGATATATAACTGTGTAACGGATATACAAGCATGCGTTATATACACCTATACCATATATATATATATATACTATATACACCAAGTGTGGACAATGTAATAAAACCAAATTCATATTTTCTAGAACATGTACGATGTTTAAGAGCAGACGAAACAAATAACTAAACCAAATCAAATGAGCAGAACAAGTAACTAAAAACTAAACTATACTTAAGAAGTGATTAATAATAAAAACAGACAAAACTTGAACAGAATTATTATTGAATCAGTCTAGTAAATTTATTTTAAGGCCGTTAAATGGTTTTATGGGATTTGTCAATATCCTATATATATTTTGTTTCATTTTTATTTCCTTGCCGAGGGTATTATAATTTCAGTCCGAAATGATTCTAAGTGCATAACTTTTCTAATTTTAATACGATTTTAAAGTGGCATACCTCTAAAAGTTTATATTTTAATGCTTTAACCAACTGCATCATTAGAACATTTTTTATATTTTTTTCAATTTTCCAAATTTCCTGAAAATAGCTTTCCTGAAAATTGGTCAGAATTCACTAATTCCAACTTTTAATAATAATAATAATAACTTTTTTTAAATTTTAATAAGATTGTAAAGTGGCATACCTTTATAAGCTTGTATTTTAATTTTTTAATAAACTGCATCATTGGTTAAGTTTTTAATTTTTGATCGATTTTTTTTTCAATTTTATGATACATAACTAGAACAATCTAGTTTAATGGCAGCAAAACAAACCACAGAAAAGATATCGCATTATTCAGGAAACTACTGTTTTTAATTTGTGGAGAAAGTAGAATGCCAACTTCAACGGTTAGAAACCCTGAAAGAGTTTCGGTTCCTAGGTTCCTCTGATTTCTTGGCGAAGTGTGAAGGAAATTGAATTCGATTTCCCCCAGTTCCCACCCTTTCCCCCTTCGATTTGCCGTGGAGTTGTGGGGTCTCGGACATTAGCTGCGCCTGCTAACTGCCTGGAAACACCTGCGGAGGCATCTTCTTATCGCGGTGCCTACCTTTCGGACTCACCTCTGTGCGTAATTAAAACAGATGATATTGACTACCTACCTGGAACTGTAGCTGCTGCAGCTAGAACTTAAGCCGAATCGGAATCTGAGCGCCCTGCTAACCGCATAGTTGACCCTAATTTGGAACTATCAATAACCGAGGCGAACTGATCGAAAAAAAAAAATAAAAAATAAATACTAAGGAGGAGAACCCAGCAGAGCCACCACAAGATGGTCCAAAAACAACGAGGGCCGCGAAGATTTCGATCGTGCGCACAGTCAAAACAATAAAATTAATGTCTCCGCTCGGGTTCACGGGGTTCACGAATGGTTCGGGATCAGCGGGTGCCACTTAAGTGATCCCCGAGTGGAATTCCACTAAACCCTAAACAGGTAGCAGTTGTTAAAAGTCGTTGAACAACAAATGGAACAACACCGTTTTCAAGGTACAACCACTTCTTCGCATCCACTTCTAGACTCCACACCACCGCTCGGTTTATAGTGCACAAATGGCTCTTAGATATGCAGACTAGTCCAAAGGAACTCGACTTTGGCCGATACGATATCTACGAAAATTGGTATACGGGGTGCTAATACACGAAAATGTGTTATAAATAGTAAATCAAGGCACTGTGTGTGGTTCTGAATATTATGTGGCATGGGAACTTAACCCAAAGTGCTGGAAAATCTTTCAAAAATTTGTATATATCTTGCTAGTTCATAAAAGTGTAGTTTTACATACTATCCTTTTCAATATTGCTTGTACGTTATAAGTTTTTATTAAAATATAGTTAGTGATTTACAATTTGGCTAAAAAGAGAGGGATATATCATATAGTACTTTACAATCTATTTCAAATCCCTCAATTATTAACACTTGAATGACCTTCAAAGTTGAATGTAGCTATTGTAAACTATAAGTTTGATATTCCTAAACAATAGCAAACTATATAGCTAGTGTATTTCGTATTCGGAGGAGGTCTCCATAACTTCTTGATCTGGTCAAATGGCAAATGCGACGATGTCCAGCGGCGTTGTTGGTTTTTTTCGGCTCACTTTCCACGGAGTGGGGATGGCTAAACTAGTTCTTCGGTTTCCCAGGCACCGAAGTAAGCCGCTAAAAATCATTTTTCAAAGCCCACACTTAAGACCCGCACTTCGTGGAACAGCTGGCCCCCTTCGAACCCCGAACCCCGAACTATATCCATAAATGTATACCGTTCAGTTAATATCCCTCAGCTCCAGAGGGGTGACACATGCTCGGGACTCGGATCGGGAATGGGTAAACGGATGAGGACTCTATGCACATGAAACAATTATTATTATTAATAAGTTAGTTTTGCTCCACGTGCCACCATTCTTCCCATTCCCTTCGTCCCCGAAATTGCGTTATAAGATTAAGCATGAAAAATGTTACGAATTTTCCTCTCTCATAATTAATCTTCATCTGGCGCTATGTTTGCCTCTTCGTGTGTGTGGAATGGGCCAGGGGATTCCGCATGCAAAAGAGTTAAATAATTATAAGTACACACACTACTGGCGAAAAGGGTGAGGGTTTCGAACCCTTTTGGTACACGGCAAAATATAAACTATTTTCTAGGGTTAAAAATGAATTTAAAGGCATGAATAATAAAGCAGTTATTTTTATATAAACACAGAATTTTATTAAACGCATTAAAGCCTTTTTCCAAGTTCACAAAATAATTTGTTTGTTTGTTTAGTGTTGATTATATGTTTATGGAATATTAATTTATTTTATTTTAGTTTTGAAATAAATTTTTATATATTTACAGTTTTGTATTTAATGCTTTTTCTCTAAGTTCACAAAATAATGGTGGTTATATTATCTTTCAAAGGTATTGAACGATTTCCAGATAAAGACAATTTAACGTTTGAATTGAAATTTCTTGATATATGTGATGTATATATATTTTTCCCCTGGTGTATTTACTCTGTTCGGTTCCCCTTCGAATCGTCCTTTTAAGCTCTACAAATAGTTGATGGCCCAGCAGCTGTGTCCTGGCGAATCAGGAGCAGATAGATGGCGATGGTGAGTCCAGGATTCTGGTGGCAAACGGGGGGGAATTACCTTGTTACGGCTTTGTTTGAGCACCTGCAATTGTTTGCGAAGCCAGCAAGTGTGTTATTTATATCCCTTTTCACACACAAATATTATTTAATTTTTATGGCGCTAATTAAATTGATAGAACATAAAATGTGTGGTGTTCTGCTGTAAAAACGCATGTTAAAAAAAAAACCAAAAAAATTCCCTTGTTCATTTAGTTTACTTTAAAGTAATATGTTTTTCCTTTTGTACGAAACTCCTTTTTATTTGTTCAATGGAACCTTTAAAATTTAAACCATTACTTTGCCCATTCAATGAATGTCGGCATTTTGCACATTTTTTATTTATATCCCTGCACTCATTTACAGCCAATGCTGAAATGTTCAATTGAAAGCGTTTAATTAAATTTACCCACAAAATAATAAAAGTTAAAGAAATGCCAATTCATTTTTACACTCCAGCGCTTTGGAAAGCACTTTGTTTTTATTTTTTATTTTTGTTGTTGTTGTTGTTTTTGTTGTTTTTTGAATTATTAATGAGCTCAGGAGCTTTGGGAGTCGCAGCAATTTGGAAGCGCTTACAGCACACAAACTCACGCAACTTAAGCAAATATTAAATGCATTTTGGCCTTTCAACGAAAATGGGCAAATTCGAAAAGGGAAAAGCCAGATGGAAGTGCAGAGATGGGAAATTTGTGGCTGCTCGACGGAGTGAAAAACAATAAATAATGCAGCCAATTAAAACTTTGGCTGTTTGGCTTCAAATTCAACACCAACACCAACAGCAGTCACAACAACAAATGTAACAACAACAACAACAACAACAAAAAGTAAAAGCAATAACAATGCGTTGAGGCAACAACAAAATGTGTGTACATATAGCAACAAATGCAATAACAACTAATTGACAAACAACAGAAAATTGAATGCAATAAAGCACATGGCATGTGGGTTAACTTATACATATACGGCACAGTTCCGATCCAGCTCAATATATATACATATATGTACGTATATTTGTGTGTATGCAACCATCGGAAACATGCACTTAGCCATAGATACACGGATATATGGTATGCTATGGTCATCTATCTGGTCGGTGTGATGTGATGGACAGACAAAAATCAATTAAAAAAGAGAAGAATAGTTGGAAACGGAAAGGTAGCTCGACTGAGAGATACCTAGTACTTGAATACCCTTGAGCAATTACAGAAAACTGGGACTGAATTAGTTTCTGGTTATTGGAAATTATTGGTTTCAATATTGGTCAATAGATTCGAATGATTGATTGGCAAAAAGTATAGAAATAAATAATACAACCTCTTTTGTATAATACAAAAACTAAGGGAACAGAATTTAAATAAATAAGAATATCATATTCGGTATTAAAAAAATAAATTTGACTAAGAGATTTAAATACCTTATTCATAATACAAATAATTGAATTAATAATAAGATGATAGATTTTTCACATATACAAAAAAGAACTTACTAAACTAGAAAGTAATCATAGAAATAATTTTATTAACGAATAAATTTAAATAAATAAATTGAAATTTATGAATTGAAAAAATAACTTAGTTTTCAAACACCGAGTCAAAGTAATCAAAAATAAAAGATCTTAATAATCAGAGCCACAAGTACATTAATAAAATCTGTCATTATCCCCTGGTAAAATTAAAGTCCTCCCCCTTTTTTTATAAAAGGGTATTAAAAGAGGAAGGAAAACCAGAAAAATCAATGCAATTTGACAGGAAAACGGCGACGCAGCGGCAACTGACCGAGAAAAAGAAATAAAACCAGCTACGGGTTGTCCAGCCTCTCGGCTACTCGAAATTATTATTATAAACTTCTTCACTTTTAATGGAATTGTTATCAAAACACATTAAAAACGACAGACAAGCAGAATGAGTGAGTGAGTGCCGGGGGGTTTGGGGCGGTGAGGGGGGATCGGAAGGGGGTATTGCATCAGTGGGGCGGTAAAAGGGGGCGGGGCAGGGGAAGCTGGACGGACGGACACGCAACCCGAACGCATCGCACCGAGAACCAATCAAATGCACTTTGTCAATGCCAATTCACACAATAAATCTACAGGCAGATAGCAAAGTGCCAGACAAGACCGAGGGGAAAGTGGGGGGGGGGACCCGAGGGGGGTCCACCAGATATACAGA